TGGTCTTGTTTCTACTTTTTGTCTTCCACTCTTTTTTCTGCCATTTGTGGTTTTCATTGAGCATTTAATGTAATTCAATTTTTTCTCTTAGCATATTAATTATACTTCTATTTTTACTTTTTACAGTGGTAGCCCTGGAGTTTGCAATACACATTTATAACCAATCCATGCCCATCTTCACAGAACATGGTATCACTTCAGTGTATAAAGTACAGTACAAGTACCTTATAATATCAAAAGGTTCCTATTCCTCCCTCCTGTTCTTTTATCGTTGTTGTCATTCATCAAATGTATTCTTTAACCATAGTTTCCTTTAGTTCTTTGAATATATTTATAATGGCCATTCTGAAATCTTTGTTAATCTAACACTTTGTTATTCTTATAAGCAGTTTCTGTTGCCTGATTTTTTTTTCTGCTTATAAGTCAGACTTTCCTGTTTCTTTGTATGTCTTGTAATTTTTTGGTTATAATCCGGATATTTCTGATAATATAGTGTAGTAGCTCTGCATACTGGTCCTTGTTTTTGTAAATAAACTGGGCTTGCTTATGTTTTAGTGATCAGCTGGCTTATTTCAATAAGATCTATTTGGCCCTCCCCCAACACCCCATGGTGGGAAGCCTCTGATGTTGCTTCTCAGGCAGTGTAGCCTGCCAAACCTGGGATGACAGTGGTTTTGGCTAGCTTCACTTTGACTGTGTTAACATTCAGCTGTTAAACTCCACCAATTACGATTTTCAACAATGCTATAAGGAACATATTGTTTCACAGACAGTATCCTATCAATTTTGGGCTCCTTTGAAAGGATAGTTCTTGAGGTCAATGTTTGAGACTTGTTCTGATCCTGCAAGGACTCCTTCTGGTGTCCCTTCTCCCAGTTCTCTCCAGGAAAGTTATAGCCTAAAGTTTAGCCTATAACTCTAATAAATCTACCAATCCCCTCCCAATCCCCAGTCATTGCAACCTCCACTGTTTTTGAAGTGCCCTTAGGCTTGAACTTCTCTACACTCTTTTGCAAATGAAGTCAGTTCCTTTAGGAAGAAATTTGGAGCTTTCTCCTCCTGGTGAAAACCTCTGAGCCATTGTTCTGGAGCTGGAGGTGGGGACAGTGGTTTGCATCTCTTTGAGTGATGGGAGCCAAATGCTCAGTGGATGGGGGATAGTGGCCTTAGGTCTTTTTGGTTGGCCTTTCCCAGCATGAGAGCACCACCTTACAAGCCTGAACGAGATCCACTGGGGTCCCAGTATTTTCAGCAGTGATATCCCCAAGGTAGGGCCTGTGAGCCATGAGTAGGGGCTGGGTAGTAGGGAGTCCCCACCTGTTGACTCCATTTATTTGAAACTTAGCTTAAGCAAGAGGTGGCTGGGAGCAGGATGAGAAGTGCTGACATCCTGCCCCTCCCAGGAAGACAGCCCTCCTACTGTGAGCTGGCAGAGAGGAAGCCCTGAGTTCTTGGCTATACCATTCTAGAGTGGAGTTTTTGTCTCATTGACCTGGGAAGATGGAAGGAGGGAGGAATCTTGGTTCAGATACAGCAAGCTTACTCTTCTTATCAAGCTTTAGTATGTTTTCTTGAATAAGTGTTTCTTCATTTAGTGTATGCCCTTAGGACCATTTCTAGAGACTTTAAAAAATTGCAGGTTTGGTTTGTTTTTAAAATAATTCTCACTGGTTTCACTGGTTTCCTTAGGGAGTTGTCTGTAAAGCTCCTTATGCTATCATGTCAGAAGTGGAATTCCTAAAAGCTACTTTTGAAATGTGAGAAATATTTCTCCTCTTGTATTTAATGTCAACTCAAGAATGGTTTTCCATGGGCTTTTGGCCTTTCTTTGCCCATTTCACGTCTGTTGACCAACCCCATTCCTACCTGTATTTTCCTCCATCCTAGCTAGGGTCATCCTAGATACAGGCCATTTAGCCCGGAGACCTATTTTTAGCAGACCATGGGTGTCCTGTGAAAAGCAACCATTTGTCTTCCTAGATTATAACCTGAAGATTTGACATAACCCAGATCTTCTCAGTGGAAATTTTTTTTTGGTCACAAGTAGCATTGACTAAACTCTCTTCAAATTCATTTAGCTTTCTTGATAATATAGACTCTTAGGAAATGAGTTTCAGAAGTCTATGGTTGACAACATAAACTAGTATTTTATTTCTTTTTCAGTAACTGAAGTTTCAAAATTTGTCTGTTTACCATATTTAACTTTTGGTAGGTAGTTCATGTTTTCCTTAACTGTGCCTAGCATAATTTTTTTTTGAGATGGAGTCTTGCTCTGTCGCCCAGGCTGGAGTGCAGTGGCACAATCTTGGCTCACTGCAAGCTCCGCCTCCCGGGTTCACGCCATTCTCCTGCCTCAGCCTCCCGAGTAGCTGGGACTACAGGCACCTACCACCACGCCCGGACTAGTTTTTTGTATTTTTTAGTAGAGACGGGGTTTCACTGTGTTAGCCAGGATGGTCTCAATCTCCTGACCTTGTAATCCGCCCGCCTCGGCCTCCCAAAGTGCTGGGATTACAGGTGTGAGCCACCACGCCCGGCCCAACCAAGCATAATTTTTTAGTACTTGCCCACATTCTTACCTTCTTGGCATTCATTTCTCTAGGCTGAATTGTCTCAGGATTTTCAAACCATTCTTATGTGTAGTATCCTTTTCCTTCAATTATCTCTTTTATTCTCTTCTGAACCTCTTATATTCCCTTGCATTTTGTTTGAAACCCAACGACCAGAACTGCCCATAACTGACCAACATGGTGCTAACAAGTTCTGTATGGCAGGTTTTATTTCTCTCCTTTTGAACAATGTCCATTATATTTTGGTTTCAGCAGCAAGGTGATCAACGCGAACAAATCACATGTCTTCCCAGGTCCCTTTCTGGGGTGGTAAATGTGATTTCAAAATTCTTCAGTTGTGTAACACTTTGCTTACTTCTCTGTGCACTTATGCCGACTGCTAAGACCCAGGAACCCACCCAGCAGCTCCGCACTTTCACATGCATGGCACACTCCCAGTGCTGCACGCGATTCGTGTCCCTTTCTTTCCCATTCAAGAAAAGCATTACTGTAGACATACATTGCTTTCATTTCCTCTGTTAATTATACCGTTTTACCTCTGGTGAACTCCCACTACCACCTAATCAATCCTGTGTTTTCTGTGAATGATCCAATTTCTAGTTTCAGTGGGGGGTATGTCAGGCTAGGATAGTCAGAGCACTCCACTCCTCTGTACACAGTGATTATTCGGAGGATGGAGGTAGAACTCGAGCCAATGAGACTCCACCCTAAAATGTCTTACTGAGAATTACTGAAGGCAGAGCCATAGAATGAAGCCAAACACTACTGAGGGCCATCTTTGTCACTTGGGGGAGAACATGACTAAGAATGAAGCCAAAAGTAAGGAAAGAAAGGGAGAGATCCCTGATGTCAATGTTTGGGCACCTGGATATATCTCTGAACTTTAGTTCTGTTACATAATACATTTCCTTCTTGGTTGGGTCAGTTTGAGTTTGATTTTTGTCATATGCCCCAGAAAGAATCCTAATGATCATACCAAAATGCAACTGGATGAGAGTGATTTTATTATGGGGAAATAATCTTGACTTGGTTCCAATTAATTTAGAAAAAGAAACTGTTGGCTGAGCACGGTGGCTCACACCTGTAATCCCAGCACTTTGGGGGGCCGAGGTGGGCGGATCACAAGGTCAAGAGATTGAGATTATCCTGGCCAATATGGTGAAACCCCATCTCTACTAAAAATACAAAAATTAGCTGGGCGTGGCGGCACGTGCCTGTAGCAGCTACTCGGGAGGCTGTGGCAGAATTACTTGAACACAGGAGGCAGAGGGTGCAGTGAGCTGAGATCACGCCACTCCACTCCAGCCTGGTGACAGAGCAAGATTTTGTCTCAAAAAAAAAAAAAAAAAAGAAAAGAAAAGAAAAACTGTTTGCAAATTTTGACATTTTATTGCTTGTAACATACTGGTGTTCTGCTGTGGTTCATGGGGCCAGTGATTGAATTTAATTTGGAAGCTGATATATTTCAAGGGCCTGTTGCAGTGCTCAAAAAAGTACTTAACAAATGAGTTGAATGAATGTGTCATGGAATTAGGAAGTGTATAATCTACATGAAAACCATGTACAGTCATATAGTCATGCATTACTAACAAAGGAGATATGCCCTGAGAAATGCATCATTAGGCAATTTCATCATTGTGCAAATATCAGTGTTCTTAACACAAACCTAGATGGTATAGCCTACTATATACCCTGGCTATATGGTATAGCCTATTGCTCCCAGGCTAGAAACCTGTATAGCCCATTAGTGTACCGCAAATTGCAGGCAATGGTAAGTACCTGTTTTTCTAAACACAGAAAAGATAACAATAAAAATACAGTATTTTAAACTTACGGGACCACTGTCATATATGCGGTCCATCATTGACCCAAAATGTTATGTGGTACATGATGATATTAATTCCTTCTTACCATCAATAAATATGAGACTAATTCCATCATCACAGGTCTGAATAACTGCTCTGTTTCCTTACCCAAAAAAGCACATCTGCATACTTCTTTGATCTATGTCCTATGCCAAAAAATGTCTACTCTCCCACTATATTAAAAGTAGAACTTTTGACACAAATGACATCCTCAACCTTTTGAAAGTCTAAGTAGATTATGTATCTCAAATTCCCCTTGGTTATGTCTATTTCTCTGTCAGAGAATTCCAACATATTTAGGCATGACTTTCCCTTGAAGAAAAGACACTACCTTTTCCTCAGCTGTTTCTGTTTGCTTAAGTGTTTGGCAGTTCTCTTCTTTATCATATATATTACTAGGTTGTCCAGTTTAGGAGGGGAACTCGTCAACTTTTAAATTTCCAAGACTTCTTAGAATATTCTCATGGGGAGAGATTGTATTTACATTCACCAGTCTTCAGGAAAACAACTTGTTTTGTTGTTTTAAAATGTGCAGTGGAGTTATTTATAAGACACTGACAAAAACTCTTTATATCCATATCTTTATTTAAACAAGTTTCTATAATAGCTAGGAGAATACAGTATTAATGACACACATTTACTAAGCACAACATTGGACAACTACAAATTTAGAGCATAAATGTAATTCTGATATTGTTTTGGTTTTTATCTTAGCACTAGGTGATATCTAGTGAAAACCCATGTTTCAAAGGCTTTTTTGATATGAGATGAATTATTAACTTATTTTTAAAAATTGCACATGAGATATGCTAGAATGGGTTCTAGAGTCTAGAGTTAGTTGATAATGCCTTTCATGTCTCAGTATTTCTGCTTCCTTTTTAATGGGTAAATGTTTCACCTAAGAACTCTCAAAAAATTGTATCAAAATTTTCCATGCAGATCAAAGTAGAATTCCTTTTCCAGACCCAACAAGGAAAAATATTTGAAAACCGCAATGTTCAATTTCATTTTAGTTAAAAGGCATGTCAATTTCGTAGTAAATTAATGAACTTAATAATTAAAATACAATATGTTAAATGGCATGAACTCATTTCTGTGCAACACTGTTAGAGCAATTTAAATTTCCCAAAGACACAAAAAAGTTAATTTTACTGCAGGATCCCACAAAAATACATAACTAGGAACCATAAATTACAACATATATATCCACATTTAAAGAAAAAATTCACCATTTGTTGGGAAAAATAATGGCTCAAATGATTTAGGGAGCCTGAAATGTGGGCTAAAATTTTGTAACACAGTAACAATAAGATTTGAAACTGCTGACGCTGAAAAATGCATAAAAATATACTGACCTGCCAAGCACTGAATTATATATACCAGTTTCAACTAAAAAACAACATTTTTTCTTTCAAATATTTCAAGCATTACAATACTGAGGAAATGTTAGTCATATGAATCCAATAACATCCATTAAGTTAAGCTAATGAACATTTTAGATAGACCAAATTACAAATAAAAAAAGTATAAAAAGCATTTTGGAAGATATTTTACATAGTATTTTTCAGTTCCTGATCTACTGAGAAATCTACTGTAATTCAGGTTGGTTTATTTAATTTAGGGTGATACAACAGAACAGAACTTATAGAACACTTTCCTGTTTTTACTCAACCTTTTATAGTACAGGGTTCTTAAAAAATTTTGAAAAGAATGTCCACAAAAAGTTTGAGTTATACCCTTTACCTTTAGTAACAAAAGGTTAGTAGAAAGCAAGACATTTAAGTATTACCAAGAATCTAACTTATCTCCATAATTTCTTTCACATATTCATTTGCTTACTTGTGACACAGGGTCCCACTGACTCAGAAGCATTCTCTCAGCTGGCCTCTCACTGGCTCTGAGACTGTCGCTGCCCCACAGTTCCAGTTCCCATTTGGAAAGGAAAGAGGAAGTACAGGAGAAGAAGGGTCATGCAGGGCCACACCCAATCCAAACTCTCACAAAACCTTGAGAAACAGGGCAAGATATCCCTTCCAGGCAAGATATCCTTTACAGAAGAAAAGTTCTGGAGAACTTAAGGCAGCTCTAGAAGGGAAGGGAGCAAGGGTTAAGGCGGCCCTCACAGCACAGCCTGAGAACAAATTACAGTGCACTCATCCATGAGCAGAGGCGACAGCAATACAGAGCCTCTTCAACGTGCATGCACACGGCACCCCTCCTAGCACCCGTCAACACCTGTGGCATGCACACACTGCAGCGCCCACACACACACTGACATGTATATGGCCTGCCCAGTGACAGCTCTCAGAAGGTGCCCGGTGGCTTGGGCTCCCCTGTGCTGAGGACCTAAATTGGGAAGGTGGCCTATAGCTGCAGGCCTGTCCAGGCTGCACAGCTCACCTGGTGGCTCCAACAGGGACTCTGATGGGTGTGTGGAGAGTAACTTTCCTCTTAATTTCAGAGAGACTTTTGCTGCTTCCTGTCTTTTTGGTTGAGATAGTCTGCCACCAATTAATGCCCAAACAGAATATTGCACCCTCCCAGAGAGCACTGATTCACGACAAAAGTCAAGCCTAGTTATAGCAAGTAACTACGACAAAAAAGAAAACCGCCGGGCGCTGAGCACTTGGTCCCCTTAAAACAAGTAACTTGGTACTCGGCACTTGGTCCGTTCCCACATGCCAGCTGCCACCTCGGACAAAAAAGCACCCCTTGCTGGCCAGGGGCATTCCACATGTACCAGGAGGGGCAGCACGTGACCTCACGACTTTTTAAAGTCTCCTGCCTCACAGGTGCCCGCACCACCACTGCTCTGTATGGGAAAGCGGGACAGCCAGAGGGCTGTGCGACATCAGGCAAGTCACTGCCCCTATCTCTATTCCCAAGCTATTATCGGCAAATGATTGTAGAAGCAACCCCATCCACTGTCCATGCTGCTGTGAGGATGAAACGAGGTAACAGAGAAAAGCGCTGCAGGAAAGCATATCTGGACCCAGGTACTGTTTCTGCATTACTTTCAACAGGATGCACTAGTTTTGGCTCTGTTTTATCATAAGCAGCTGACATTACCCAGAGGATCCCTGACTATGCCTGCTAAGGAACTCTATGAATTAGTGATGTGTGTGTGTGTGTGTGTGTGTGTGTGTGAGAGAGAGAGAGAGCGAGCGCATTGTGTGAGGACTTCTCAGGATGGTGGCAGGTGCTCATTTTCCTAGGGTTACCAGGAAAGTAATTTCTCACAACAATCACTACACTGAAATTATAATAATATAGTATTTTCATAGCCTCCCCTAGCATGTAGCTATAACCTTACTAACATATTTGATCTATATTCCACGTAATTACTCACCCAGAAAGAGCCAACTATCAGCTATCCATGGAAATGAAGAAATAACACAGCAACTCATCCAAACTGACAATAATCCCCAAATCTCCTATCAGTTGGCTTTGGAATATGTTTTTGTGCTTCTGCACCTGATGAAAGAAGCATCAGATACGTGGACATTTTTTAAACTTCCAAAGGAATTAGAAGCTGCACTTTGTGGATTTTATCCCATATTTATCTTCCCTTCTTTTAGAGTTACTCTCGGGCAGATCAAAGCCTTAACCTGAGGAAAAGCTGCAAGAAGGGAAATTACTTTTAATTCTTCAGCTTCAAGTTGTAAGGGTGTGAGGTGAGTCTGTATGTAGTAAGGTGAATGGGGAGGGGATTATTGAGATAAAGAACTGTTGTGACTTTTAAGATCACTTCCTTTGAATTCCCATTGTGTGTCACAGAGGAATTAAGAAAAAGTCAATGACTGATCTTCTGAAGGAATGTATTGCAGAGAAGCAAGAACAAGACCAGCGCAAAGACTGGGCTGATGGTAAGCACCAGGAAGGCCAGCAGGGGCAACTGAGGACTGACTCCATCCACCTGCCGTCAGTGCACAAACAGCAGGCAACGGGAGAGACTATTAAGTTGAGGGAGGGGGAAGAGTGAATGTGTAGGGAAAAGGGTGGCAGGGTGTGTCTGAAGTTGGGTGAGAAAGTGTGGCTGACAGAGAGAAAGAACCTCAGAGGGAAAGCAATCCTCAAACTGGCCCAAAGATCCCCATAGTCAGCAGAATCTTCTTTTACCTTCAATAAAATGGTATACAGAGTCATTTACTGGGCCTTAGGGTTTCCTGGTTACAAGGATTCTTGTGAACGACTAAAAATCTCCAGGCCAATTAACCAAGAGAGGTTAATTCAGACCCTCATCTGGGGCTCTGGGTAGGCCTGGGAGGAAGCTGGAGCCCTGGAGTAGCAGAACCTTTGTGCCACCATCACTGAACAGGAGAAACCAGCAGGGGCGGCTGTGGGAGCTCTGGCTCCAGCACTTGACAGGAGAAAGACAGGAGAAGGGAGAGAAAGGCTCAGACCATAGCCTTTCTTTCATGACGCTTCAGTACATGAGCTGTCTGGAGTGAAAAAAAGGGCTGCATGGCAGTGAGAGCTACAGCGTGACCTGGAAGACCTGAGAAGATTCAGGGTGCACGTGAGTCGTGCTACACAGGATGAAGCTGGGGGAGGTCTGGGAGATTTCCAGGGCTGAGGTGGACAGCCTGTACCACGGTTGCATTTTCTTAGCAAGTCCCCAACTTACAGCCTATCGGATGCTGTTAGATTCTGACACATTCAGTACAAACCAAATGGCTGTGACTAAATTGTGCATTGAAAACCGCCTTGACAACCAGGAAAAACTGGGAGAATCTGATGCAATTGGTAGTGCTTCTGGTTGCTATTGCAAATAAATAAATAAATGTATTCAAACTGAATAAAGCAGTATATGATGTAATAAAAATTAAACTAATTATAATACAAATATAGTAGGACCTTCTAAAAGCATGTACATAAATCATGTACATTTAAGAAAGGTTACGGTCACAAACCTGTGATTTTACATTTGATTAATCCTAAGGAATTGACAGGCACTACACACTGGTCTTTCCATCAAAGAATGAACTTACTGAATAACTGCAGCTTTTTTTCTCTAGAATCTAAGGGCTGAGAAGAGAGAATTTTAAATGTGGAAGAGACATTAAGAATCAGTGTCCAACTCTCTTATTTTATAAACAAGGAACTTGAGGCCCACGTGAATTAACAGACAGTATTCATCTTTTAATAACAATCTTTATCACTGATATGAAGCTGTTTGACTTCCATAAATATTGCACATATTTTAATAAGATTTGTCATTTTTATAGACCATCTAACAGTTAAATGATATAATCTATGATTGTAATTCAGAACCAGAGTTTCTAATGAAAACTAATAATTTGCTTTTGTGCAACCTGAAGGATTTATTGTATAAGATTCCTAAGAAAAATGGTGAATATATTTAACTAGAATTTCAGAATGACAACTTACAGAATCTGGGTCTTAATGAACCAAATCCTCTGTAAAATTCAACAATCTTCTATTTCTTATATAAGTCTTCTTAAAGTATTTCTAATATGATGTTTTTAAAAGTATCTAGTGGCATCTGAGAACACTTATAGAAGTTGCAAAGCCTTAAAAACTGAATCATAATGAAATATTTATTATATACCTTCTTTTGCATAATAAAAGTTTCAAGACCTGAATCATGAATATTCTGACAATCTTTTCTGGATAGTGAGTGATATTAAATCTTTTTTTTTTTTTTTCCCCAAGGCAGTGTCTCTCTCTGTCACCCAGGCTGGAGTACAGTGGTTCAATCTCATTGCAATCTCCACCTCCCAGGTTCAATCGATTCTCGTGCCTCCGCCTCCCAAGTAGCTGGGATTACAGGCACGTGCCACCATGCCCGGCTAATTTTTGTATTTTTAGTAGAGACGGGGTTTCACCATGTTGGCCAGGCTGGTCTCAAAGTCCTGACCTCAAGTGATCTGCCCACCTTAGCCTCCCAAAGTGCTGGGATTAAAGGCGTGAGCCACCACACCCAGCCTAGATTAATTCTTAATAAATTAAGAAGAGAGAAAACCTGTCAAGGTTGAAAATATGCACTGAAGGAATCGGATCTGGTAATTAAAAATAAGTCACTTCACAGAACACTGTACCCTGATGCAATATCCACCCAGGGAAAATTAATGAGCACATCAGTGTAATACATCCTGAATAAATAATGACATCAACAATAGCCACTTTGTCTAATCCTACCCCTAAATGTCAAGCATTTTGTCATATTATTACATGACTTTCCAGTGTCTGCTACTTGTGCAGGTGAATCTGTAGGTATTTGCATATAATCCAGTTAAAACTGTGATCTGATTGAATTGTAAACAGAGTTGATAAGAGAAACTTATTGTTGTAGTGCCTAATAAGAATATCACTTACATTTTAAGAAGACAGTATGTAGCAGCAATTTAAAATGCTCAGTAAACTATAGTACAAATGGACATCTATACTATTTAGCAAACCAACATTCCTTTAATATCTCTATATAATAGTGACACAAATGAGGAATTACTTTACATATTGCCAGTTTATTTCTTTGAACCAGTTTGACAATATCAACATAATTGATTCCTAAAACTGATATGATATGTACTCAATGGAGACTTTTCTTTCCATTCTCCGGTTTAGTGCAGAGGAGATTCTTTGGTGCCTTCCTAACAACAGCTCATCTATGGAAGTTATGCTTTTTATACCATTCAAATGCAGTGCTAAGGATTTAAAATAAATGCTGCCAGCTGAAGACACATTTTTCTCCTCCTTTCCTTCCTCCCTCCCTCCCTTCCTTCCATCATTCTCCTGTATGTAAACTCAGGGTACCTAGTTGGTTAAGGATGAGTGTTGCTATAAAGATAACACAGCACAAAAGAGCCTATCTTTGTTTCCAAAGTGATGAAAGTATTCTAGGGAGATTTCCAGTTAATGACTTCTCATATGGGAGATAATCAGTACTTTCTCTTTAAAAATGTATTTTCAGTAGCTCACTGGAAATAATGGGTTCTTATTTCAGGCAAGAAATGTATTGTCAATGTTTGCCTGGGCATCACTTTCAGACCCGTGAAATGAAGCCCAGGCCGAGGCTGGCTGGAATCTGGATGGTTTCTAGCGCGAGGGAAGATGGGTTGAAAGGAAAGGTGACAGGAAAGATGTGTTTAGCATCCATGAGCAGCTGGGGAGAGTCTTTCCTGTCTCGTAAACGCATCTGAGAAGATTAAGAAAAAAAATTAACAGAGCATCAGTTCTTTGAATCTAAAAGACTTTTCTACTAAAATTTCTACCCTCAAATTCTCAACTAATGAAGAATGTTTACCTTTGTTTTAAACTCACTTCATTTTCCCAATAAACTATTATCAAAAAAGTTAGTGCATTGTAAAATAAGATAAAAGATAACATATTATCCTTCAATAAATCACAAAATGTCCATTCAAAAGACTGTGTTGGTGAATCAAAGAAGATGGGAGCTCTTACCTGTATAGTACGAATGAATGACACAGAGACTCTTTCTTCAAACTCATTAACAGGAGTATACAAATTCAACACTTTCACAATCTGTGAGAAATGAAATGATCAAAGTTTTTGGCATATTATCAAATACACACTGGGCACCTATAATCTGGAAAATTAAAAGGATCTGTGCATACGATTTCAGTTCTACTCAGTGGTGGGCTGAGACCAGAAGGAAGGAGGAGCTGGTCTGCACATTTACCTTTGTTATTTGAATTTTTACAGGAGAATGTATCAATGTAATGTTTGTGTAATATTGTAAGAAGCCGTGTACATTTAGAAGAATATTCAAACAGCACAAGAGAATAAAACATGAAAAATAAATGTCCGCACTCCCATCCTTCCAGTCTCCCAAAGTGGCAACTGTTAACCAAGGGTGGCCAGGCTGGTCTTGAACTCCTGACCTCAGGTGATCTGCCTGCCTTGGCCTCCTAAAGTGCTGGAATTACAGGTGTGAGCCACCATGCCCAGCCTACTGATTTTTTCTGTCGCCCAGGCTGGAGTGCAGTGGCGCGATCTTGGCTCACTGCAACCTCCGTCTCCCAGGTTCCAGCGATTCTTCTGCCTCAGCCTCCTAAGTAGCTGGGATAACAGGTGCCTGCCACCATGCCTGGCTAATTTTTGTATTTTTAGTAGACATGGGGTTTCACCATGTTGGTCAGGCTGGTCTTGAACTGATTTTTTACTGTATTGGGCAAAACTGAAAATTTCATGTTATAGGACATATGATGAACATTAAGAAAGTCTAAGACTTAGCACAGAAAATAACTGGGCAAAAAGAAAATTGGGCATGTTCTTCTTGCCTGTGCCTTGCTTCATGCTGTCACTATCATCCTCAAATGCCCTTCTCATTCCCTTACTTCCTTAAATTCAATGCCCAGATTAATAGGACCTTCCCTGAATACAGTTATCTCCCCTCAGCACTTCCTTTAGACATCTTACTATAGAATTTGCTAGAATCTCTACGGTAGAGTCAGTTGGATACGACTCTGTCTGCCCTACTAAACCGTAAGCTCCTTGAAGGCAGGAATTTTTCCTTATTTATTGAAGCATCTTCCCCAGCAATAAATATGGTGCCTTTAGATGGAGGCTCAATTAGTCATCTGTTGAATTGAAGTAACAAGAATTATCTGTCTCTAAAAACAAAGTCATTATTTGATAATCCACTCAATTATCAAATAATATAGAAAGCTGTTTTATGGAATAGAAGCTGCATAGACTGTATACTCCATGAGAGCAGGGGCTTTGTTGTGCCTTTGGGTGCATCCCAGTGCCTTCAATGTTATATAGAACACTGTAAGCACTCAATAAATATTGGCTGAATATTAAATATATTTAACTATAATTAGCACTGAAATGTATTAATTTCTGGCAAAATCTCCTTGCTTTAAGATCGGCACAGGTATATATCTTCTTGGACACAGATGAAGTCAGCTCAGAAATACAAGCAATAAGTAGGAGACTTCTTTACTTCCCTAAAGATCATCTTTGATGAATGTTAAATTATTTCATAACAGGGAAAGGTGCTCTACCTGGGCAGTAGTTAAAGCATTGCACATAGAACAAATGGCTTCTGCATCATCATCTGTTTTCTTTTTCACTTGCAAAAGTTGAGCAGCCTGAATGAGAGGTTCTAGGGTTTCTTTAGCCCCACTGTTCATCAGATTCTTGTCACGCAGCCATTCTTCAAGTTGACTGACATTGTACCTATTCCAAAAAAAAAAAAAAAAAAAAGAGAGATACAGAGAATGCAAATTTGCTGAATGTTGTCAAAAATGTCTTAATTTTTTTTTGTGTGGCCTTGTCAGGATTTATGTTAAAATGACAGGCAGTATTTTTGTTCAATTTTCTTAAATCTCATCAGCTGTGCTTAAAAATTTATTATAGTCATGAGGATTATAATCATCATTATATAAGATTAAATGACAAGATAATGTAATTCTCTTTAGTGGAAGATGGAAGTGAAGTCATTATGGCAAAAGTTATTAGACTTGCTAATAAACAAAATAGAATACATAATGTAGCTCTGTCTTTATTGGTGGGCTGGCCAGAAAACACTTTGTAGCTTCTCTTACAATTTCAGAGCTGGGTTACTGTTGCAGGGTGAGACTTGATAATCCTTGAAGTACTCTCTCTTAAGACAAAGTTCAAATCAGGTAACTGAATAACCAGAAGCCCTACATATACCTGTGCTCAAGCCTTAAGGGAAGAGCCTAGGAGATGAAGATGGTGACCTGAGAAAGCTCCGGGATGAAGGGAGAGAGAGGCAAGGGAGGGCCACTGGAAGAGACAAGGACTCCAAATGGGGACAGAGACAAACTACAGACGCTGAGGTTTCACGAAGCAGCCAACCAAGTGGCAGCGGTCTGAAGACTGAGGTCAATGGACACACAATCAGCACTTAGCACCCAAGCAAATAGGGGCCAGCATAATATTACCACAGGCGGCTCCACATTTCCATGCAGACCTTATAGAGAAATATGTTCCACTATCTGAGAGGAAAGCATTATTGTATTAAAATTCACTACAATTCAGTGTGAGTCAGGATGGAAAATTTGAAAAGAACACTAAGAGTTCCTGAGATTGAGTAACTACTAAGACTTTCATAGGAGAAATCATTTTTCTCTCCTCTTGGTGAATATTCTAGCTGTTTTAAAATAAAAATTTGTGTCCCAGTGCGGTGGCTCACACCTGTAATCCCAGCATTTTTGGAGGCCAAGGCAGGTGGATCACCTGAGGTCAGGAGTTCGAGACCATCCTGGCCAACATGGGAAACCCTGTCTCTACTAAAAATACAAAAATTAGCCAGGCGTGGTGGTGCATGCCTGCAATCCCAGTTACTTGGGAGATTGAGGCAGGAGAATTGCTTGAACCTGGGAGGCAGAGGGTGCAGTGAGCCAAGATCATGCCATTGTACTCCAGCCTGGGCAACAAGAGCGAAACTCCATCTCAAAAAAATAAAAAATAAAAAATTTGTAAAAAAAATTATGTTACAATAATGAGGTTATGCTGAGGAGTAGTGGGCATAAAATTAAGTGTAGCTTTTCTTAAAATATAGAGGGGGGATATTGTAATAATTAGTAAAAGATCTATTAGACCTGTTCTTGTTGTCATAGGTACAAAAAGGTATTTTTCCAAAAATATGTTTCTAAAAGCAATCAAACAATACAAATATTCATTATTATAATTTAATAATTTCTTATTGTATAATTAAAACACACACATAAGGAGAGGAAGCAGCTATCTCATCTTTGTGTATGTTTGAATCATCTCTTCACTCCCCCAAATAAGCAAGCTTCACAGTGGAGTAGGGTTTCCTATCAAGCACGTGAAGAACCTGTTGGCAGGGTACAAACAGGGAGCAATAATGAGATGTGAAGAAATCCAGCCAGGCAAGGGAAAGTGGCTCCGTGCTAGGTTCTCCCTTGCCGCTTGGCCGCATGGCATCAGACATGAGATGCAAGGACTGAAAACAAGCCATCAGCTCTCCACAACCCTGGCAGGCCAGCCGGGCAGCAAAAAGAGACTGTCGCAGGTGTTGGCGTTTGCTCACCTGATCTGCATGCCTTTACTCCAGGAGCACATGTCCTTCCGCAGGAGTAGGTTGTTCAGGGTGATGGCCCCCACGATGTAGAACATCTGCTTGACCACCTGCTTGATCAGTTCAGGGTCCATGCCGTGCTGACACATAACTGAGTGGAAGGAGTTGAGCTGCCGAAGGATGGAGTCCAGTGTGTAGGTGCCCTCATCGGCGATACTGGAGGTTCGCTTTCTCAACCCCGTGGGCTTCACCCCAGACACGCCCTGAATTGTTTCATGTTCCAGCATGCCTGAGACTGCAGGAGTATTTCAATTGTTAGAGGAGAAGATGTGGAAGGAAATCTTTCACGTGCACACATCCATGTGCACAAACACACACACATTCAACTTAGGAAAATTAGCTGGGCGCAGTGGCTCACGCCTGTAATCCCAGCACTATGGGAGGCCGCCGAGGTGGGTGGATCACTGGAGGCCAGGAGTTCAAGACCAGCCTGGCCAACATAAGGAAACCCAATATCTATTAAAAATACAAAAATTAGCCAGGTGTGGTAGCGTGTGCCTGTAATCCCAGTTACTCAGGAGGCTAAGGAAGGACAGTCACTTGAATCTGGGAGGCAAAGGGTGCAGTGAGCTGAGATCGCACCTCTGGGCTCTAGGCTGGGTGACAGAGTGAGACTCCATCTCAAAAAAAAAAGGAAGGAAGGCAGGAAGGAGGGAGGGAGGGAAGGAAGGAAGGCAGGAAAGAGGGAGAGAGGGAAGGAGGGAGGGAGGGAGGGAGGGAGGGAGGGAGGGAGGGAGGGAGGGAGGGAGGGAGGGAGGGAGGAAGGAAGGAAGGAAGATCTGGGTGCCAAGATACAGGGAAAAGGAACTTCACTACAAAAGGGCTTCTGGATTTTAAACTTTACTGAAGGAATAATTCTTAAATGCAAAAATTTACTATAAATTTAAGTAAACTTAATGGTGTCTCTTCTAAAATAAGAGTAAGAAGCAGTAGCCTTGTGATAGCACAAGTGTGTGTGTCTTGGGTGGGCTTTTGAGAGTGATTGGTAGCAGTTAGGGTTAAGATAAGCATTCTCCATGTTATCTGAGCCCCACAGGCAAAAACAGTAAGAAAGGCAGGGCACTGACAATCATCTTGGAGAAGACATGGGAGAGGGGAGTGGCTGGAGAGCTGGGCCCTTCCTTATTCTGGGCTTCCCACAATAGCAGTGGGCCCTTGGGCTGGCCTCCGTCTCCCAGGATTCGTCTTCTCACCTGTGGCCTGGCTGCTTCCCTGTTGTGCTCTCTTAGCATTTGGCTTATGCCTCCCCTAGAATGTTTCTGAGATGTCCACTCCCTGTGAGTCTCTTGAGAGCAAAGGCCACGTCTGGTTCATCTTGCTATTTAATTGTGCTAAACATAGATTCCCTAGAACTGGCACATTTGTTGTTGCTGTTAAATGACTGGGAGATGGGGGTAAGGATTTAGATTGGGGCTTCTTTGAGGTGAACTTCTTTTTTTTCTCTTTTGAGACGGAGTCTCACTCTGTCGCCCAGGCTGGAGTGCAGTGGCGCAATCTCAGCTCACTGCAAGCTCCGCCTCCCAGGTTCACACCATTTTCTTGCCTCAGCCTCCCAAGTAGCTGGCACTACAGGTGCCGGCCCCACGCCCAGCTAATTTTTTGTATTTTTAGTAGAGACGGGATTTCACCATGTTAGCCAGGATGGTCTCGATCTCCTGACCTCATGATCCGCCTGCCTCAGCCTCCCAAACTGCTGGGATTACAGGCGTGAGCCACCGCACCTGGTCCAGGTGAACTTCTTATTCAGCCAATAGAAACAGGCAAAGCAACAGAAAAACTGGCTGAAGCTGACCTTCTTGGTATCTGTGTTACCTCCTATATTTTCGCTGACCTAGGGTGCTTTACTGACTTTTTAAGGGACATCTGAAGAAAACATTGCCATCTCCCATGGCTTCCTCAGCTTTTGATGTCTCAAATAGCTAGTTAACTGTGGCCTATGAAAGCAAAGGAAACACTATGAGCCCACAGAAGGGAAATGAAGAAGTTGTGGAAACATGGAAAATGCATGGATGGGGAAAGAAAGTGTAGCTGGAAGTAGCCTTAAGAGCCTGCTGATAGGCTGGGCGCAGTGCTGGCATCTGTAATCCCAGCATTGCAGTTAGGGTTAAGATAAGCATTCTCCATGTTATCTGAGCCCCACAGGCAAAAACAGTAAGAAAGGCAGGGCACTGACAATCATCTTCGAGAAGACATGGGAGAGGGGAGTGGCTGGAGAGCTGGGCCCTTCCTTATTCTGGGCTTCCCACAATAGCAGTGGGCCCTTGGGCTGGCCTCCGTCTCCCAGGATTCGTCTTCTCACCTGTGGCCTGGCTGCTTCCCTGTTGTGCTCTCTTAGCATTTGGCTTATGCCTCCCCTAGAATGTTTCTGAGATGTCCACTCCCTGTGAGTCTCTTGAGAGCAAAGGCCACGTCTGGTTCATCTTGCTATTTAATTGTGCTAAACATAGATTCCCTAGAACTGGCACATTTGTTGTTGCTGTTAAATGACTGGGAGATGGGGGTAAGGATTTAGATTGGGGCTTCTTTGAGGTGAACTTCTTTTTTTTCTCTTTTGAGACGGAGTCTCACTCTGTCGCCCAGGCTGGAGTGCAGTGGCGCAATCTCAGCTCACTGCAAGCTCCGCCTCCCAGGTTCACACCATTTTCTTGCCTCAGCCTCCCAAGTAGCTGGCACTACAGGTGCCGGCCCCACGCCCAGCTAATTTTTTGTATTTTTAGTAGAGACGGGATTTCACCATGTTAGCCAGGATGGTCTCGATCTCCTGACCTCATGATCCGCCTGCCTCAGCCTCCCAAACTGCTGGGATTACAGGCGTGAGCCACCGCACCTGGTCCAGGTGAACTTCTTATTCAGCCAATAGAAACAGGCAAAGCAACAGAAAAACTGGCTGAAGCTGACCTTCTTGGTATCTGTGTTACCTCCTATATTTTCGCTGACCTAGGGTGCTTTACTGACTTTTTAAGGGACATCTGAAGAAAACATTGCCATCTCCCATGGCTTCCTCAGCTTTTGATGTCTCAAATAGCTAGTTAACTGTGGCCTATGAAAGCAAAGGAAACACTATGAGCCCACAGAAGGGAAATGAAGAAGTTGTGGAAACATGGAAAATGCATGGATGGGGAAAGAAAGTGTAGCTGGAAGTAGCCTTAAGAGCCTGCTGATAGGCTGGGCGCAGTGCTGGCATCTGTAATCCCAGCACTTTGGGAGGCTGAGGTGGGTGGCTCACAAGGTCAGGAGATCGAGACCATCCTGGCTAACACAGTGAAACCCCGTCTCTACTAAAAATGCAAAAAATTAGCTGGGCATGGTGGCTGGTGCCTGCAGTCCCAGCTACTCGGGAGGCTGAGGCAGGAGAATGGCGTGAACCCGGGAGGCGGAGCTTGCAGTGAGCTGAGATCCGGCCACTGCACTCCAGCCTGGGCGACTGAGCGAGACTCCGACTCAAAAAAAAAAAAAGAGAGGCTGCTGATAATTTGCCAGAAGATAACAGTGTTTGGTAACTTAAAACAATTTTTTAAAATTCAATGCATTAAACTGAATTTAAACATTAAACATTAGGGAAGGAAACCAGAAACTACTGTTTCAGTCTTGTGGAAGCAGTGATTTTCATGCATCCCAGTTAATTATGGCTGGGTTTCTGGGATTCCTCGGCTAATTTTAGCCCTGTATCTTACTACTTTATGCTCCCCAAATGAATAGCTGCCCTGAAACATGTGCCCCTGGAGGCTACTTATTGATGGGCACGAATGATAGGCAGGCTGCAATGCCCAATGGGGCCCTGGCCTTACCAATCATTGGCTGAAGGATGTTCTCTAACACCCGCACGAGCTGCTGGTAGATCTGAATGGCCAGGTCACTCAGCACCTGCCGATACTCAGCCAGGTCAAAATTGGTGAGGCAGTGTTCATTCTGGCGAGATGTGTTGTGCTTCATAAAGCCCTAGAGTCATAATGCAAAGTTAATGATACACGTGAAGTAACCTGTCTCTTCAGTTTAACTATCTCCGATTTGATCAGCATCTTCATGCTCTTTTCTGCTCTGTCCAAGGAGCTTCCCCACTAAAATGCCAGGACTGACATTCTGCAATGCTGACGTGTGTTTGTTCACTTCCATCACATCCCCCCTCCACTTCTTACTAGCTTTTCAACAATACCTAAACTTGGCAACCTAGCATTTAAGTCTTCCCAACAGCAATGTCAATGAAACAAGTTGGAGGAACTTAACTAAAAAAATAAAATAAAATAAAAAGGTGTTTCACTTCTGCAACAGCAGGTTTACTGTCAAACACTAAACTATCTAGAGTACTAATCTCTTAACTTCAGTTCATTATAGTCCTGTTCTTAAAAACTACACCCAAAGGACATATATAATCTTGAAATAGACCAATTTCTACAGAGACTGGTGAATACATACAAAAAGTTCCCTTTACTCTATTTCGTGGTACCCACACCATGGTTTTCAGTCAGAGGTTAGAAGGGAATCTTTGGTGGTATCTGTTAAAATGGAACTGAATGGGCGGCCCTTTTTCCAGTCATTTTGCAGTTTAACACGTTGCTTGCCTGACGCTACCTGATAAAGGCAAGTGCTTACTTTGAGGATTCTCCCCACAGCCAAGCATCTGCCTCCTTACCACCTACTTAATGACTGGTCCAAAAGTGGGGACTGACAGGATGCAGTCAACAACCCCTCAGGGGGATTCTGGTCTGTTGGCCCCGTCTTCTCAAGGACCGGGCCTTGCTCATCTCTGTGTTTCCCATCATCTGCCAGGACAGGCCTGGGTCTTGGGGTGCTCGGGAAATGCTGCTGGGCACCTTCTCTGCTGCCCTCCTGGCAAAGGGATGGGAGGCATGGAGGGCAGTTGGTTAGGGTCATGGGCCCTCAGCGGTGCCAGATCCAGGATCCCAGCTCTGCTCCTTGTGGCCAAGAGGACTTGGGCAAATCAATGAGCCCCAGTGAGCCTTGGCTTCCTCATCTGTAAAAGTGGGCTATAATTCCTACCTCACAGAGATGCTGTAAGAATTAATGATCATAAATAACACCATGTATAGTAAGTGCTGTCTGACACATACTAAGCAGCCCTTAATGATCATTATTAACATTCTACATAGTTTTGAAATATTTGAAGTCTATCAAACAACTAATGAACACATCCCTACAAACAAAAACAATAGAGATTTTTTTGGACAAATTGAAAGACATGATCTTTGATCACCTTTTAAGGTATTGTGGCAAGCCAAAATTGATTAGTTTCTTTAAATAGTTCACTATTCTGATACTAGCTCTTGAAATGCCCACTAAAACATACTGACAAAAAGTTTCACTTCTGGTAACTATTCACTGACCAATGCTCATTTTAGTTTCTCTATGCTTTCTCATAATGTAAAGAAGAAGCTGTCATTCTCCAAATCACTGTTTCACAGAGAGTGAACATTGAACAAAGCAATGAACTTCCAAGCCACCTCTGAATTTGGGTTTCTAAATAAAGAAATGGTTAAACATTTTGTGCTTTTAAATTTTTCCTTAAAAAGGTCAGAGAAAGTATAGCATGCTGGTTTTGTAATCAAGGTTTTCTCACCTCTTCTCCACTGTACTGCTTCAAGCAGTGCAAAAATCGGCATGTGTTAGAGAGCCAGAAGGAGACGGTTTCAAAATCATCACCTCTTTTCTGAAAGAGAGAATAATTCTAAATTTGCCTTTTCCTTAGGGAAATAACCTAAAAAAAATTGAACAGATACCAAAAGACCCATTTCTTTCAGTTACCATTATAAACAATTATAAAAATAGATCACATTACAATTGTAAAGTCTTATGTCATTGCTAGCAGAATGTCAGCCACCAGGTTCATTAGTTGTTGCTTTGCTTACCATTCACTTTTTTGGCATAGAAAATTAAACTGATGTGAATTTAGCTGTTCCTTTAAGCAGAAAAAAATTCACCTGGCCGGGTGCGGTGGCTCACACCTGTAATCCCAGCACTTTGGGAGGCCGAGGTGGGTGGATCACCTGAGGTCAGGAGTTCGAGACCAGCCTGGCCAACATGGTGAAACCCCATCTCTACCAAAAATACAAAAATTAGCTGGGCATGGTGGCACATGCCTGTAATCCCAGCTACTTGGGAAGCTGAGGTAGAAGAATCACTTAAGTCCAGGAGGCGGAGATTGCAGTGAGCCAGGATTGTGCCACTGCACTCCAGCCTAGAGACAGAACAAGACTCTATCTCAAAAAAAAAAAAAAAAAAAATTCACCTAGCCACCGCTGACCCAACCTCATGTCCGTCTTGGGGTTAATGATGGGAGTCAGAACTAAAAGCAGAAAGAGTAATAACTAATATTGTGATAGAGAATTTGAAGCACTTAAACCCAGACTAGATTAAAAATCTTGTCAAGGGTAAGACAAAATTTCTGAGCTGTGAATCCAGAGATGAGATGGAGGAAGTCCTGCGATAAGCAGTACAGTCAGGGGAAAGCTGGTTGGCTCTTCACCAGGACTGGGCTACTGTGGCAGGAAGAAGAGAGACTCATTGTGCCTGAAAAAGCTGTGAGGGCTGGGAATACTTCCCAGAAGCTTCATGGCAGACATACTTGGAAGGACCATGCATTTGTCAACTAAACCATTTGGATGAACTAATCCCAGTTTATATATGGGAAGTCACAGAAATATCAATGTTTGCCTACACTTTTTCTCAGAAAACTTTGCAAAGGAAAACCAGAATAGTTTACCTAGGACAGGTGCCTAGCATTAAATGGTCTTAGAAGCTCATTTTTTTTTTTTTGCATGAAATAATATATTCCAATAACTCTACTACCATATTACAACAAAACCCAGGTTCTTAGAAGCTGTGTGAGAATACCTGCCTTTGGTTTCTTGGTAGTGGCTTTATGCAGTAAACGTGCACAGGATATATCATGGGGAAAGATGGGTTTCTCATCTTTTTTTTTACATAAATAAAATCACCTTTTTAAGAAAGTACAAAGCACCCTTGAATTTTGTAGAATACTCCCCTAAAAAGACTTTTAAGAAAAAAAATCCTAGAGGATATCAAACCTAACTAAGTCTTTTCAGCTGAGACAGAATTACTGAACTCAGGTCCTGACTTTACCACTAAGTAAATATCCGAAAGACCTAGCTATGTAGTCTTCCAATGTCAGAGGACTGTGAATAAAATAAATAAAATAATAAATTATTTACTGCCAGTAAATACAATTTTATTACATTCCCAAACACGGAAAATCATCCTACAGTTTAAGTGCAGATTTGACTAAAAATAACTCTGCCTCTTCCAAAAATCTGGATTACAACTGTTCCTAGCGGAGGCTCTGGGCTAAGCTGACAAAAGCAATGAATGCAGATTGGGAAAATGTGCTGGTCATTGTCAGGCTATGGGAGAGCGTCACTAAAGCACCAATCTAGACTGTCTTCACTGACGTCTACACAAATCAAACTGCAGAGATCCTCAGAATAGTCCCAGCTGGATGTAACGGCACATATACTAAACAGTTACCAGATAAAGGTGATTAAAACCTAAGGAGAAGACTTCATTCTAGAAATAATCCAGCATCTGTTTTCATTAGTGGGCTCCAGCCTTTGCTAAGCCACTTTTTTTTTTTTTTTTTTGAGACAGAGACTCACTCTGTCTGTCGCCCAGGCTGGAGTGCAGTGGTGTGATCATGGCTCACTGCAGCTTTGACCTCACAGGCTCGAGCGATCCTCCTACCTCAGTTTCCCAAGTAGCTGGGACTGAAGGAACACGTCACCATGCTTGGCTAATTTTTTTATGTTTTGTAGAGATGGGGTCTCACAGTGTTGTCAGGGTTGGTCTCAATTTCCTGGGCTCAAGCAGTCCTCCCACCTCTGCCTTCCAAAGTGCTGGGATTACAGGCATGAGCCACAGCACCCAGCTCACTTTTAAACAAAATAACTCAACAAATACAATTTGAACACTAAGGGTATCCTCTGTCCTCATGAAAATGAGATACTCTATATTACTTCAAAATAAAAGAACATTTGCTTCTTTGGAAATTAAAAAAACATTAAAATAGAATGCCAACTCTTTACCTAAGAGAGGTTACTAGATTGAGTTTGTCGAAGTAATTTTTTTTGCAATAAACAAGCTGTATTTGATCAAAATTAATAAATCCATGTTAGTTCCTACTCTACCCCATAGGAAAAACAAGTTGAACTCAAAGCTATTTGCAGTTTTTGATTTATTAGAAAAGATCATAAGCTAAAAACTATGGATTCTCTACACATCTTCGGCTAGTTATGCTGCTTAGGGCCGATGGCAAAAAACCAGTTGCCAAAGTTGAAACAGGTATGCAACACAAATATACAATTCAAAACTGGGATGTGAGACAAATGCACATTAATTTTAAATGGTATTAAAGAGTGTTATGTTCTAGTGCCCACTCACTTTTAATCTTTACAGAATTTGGTACAATAGTCAAACCAGATAAGTATCTTCTTGCAATTATGATGAGAGAAAGAAAACTTTATGATTTAGTTTTTTCTCTCTCTAGGAGTTGGCCTAACAAGTAGCAAAACTTGTAGTTTATCTAAGTACAATATTGCATCAACGCACTTAAAATAAAATGAGTTATGTTGGGAAGACATTCATCAACTTTTAACTGTTAAATCTTCAGAAACTCCATGCTTTAGTAACCACTGTAGAATGTTAACTACAGAAAGTATCTGCACAATAGGGACCAACAGAGAACCAGCATTTATCAAAAGTTTGCTCCCCAGGGCTGACGGAGGGAGGAATGGGGAGTTAGCATTTAATGGGTACTGTGTTTCAGTTGGGGAGAATGAAAAAGCTCTGGAGATGGATGGTGGTGATAGCTGTACAACAGTGTGAACACATTTAATGCCACATAACTGTACACTTAAAAATGGTGAATATGGCAAATTTTATGTTATGTATGTTTTACCTAATTTTTTTTTAAGTTCATAAAAGAAGTCTTAGATTTGAAAGAGTGGCATGCTGACTATCCACTTATCTTTACCCTAAAAGCTCTTATTAAGTTTGATAACCCGAAAGCAAAGTACCTGGAACACATGATCTTAGCTCCTCACAGCAACACTGAGTTAAAACTAAGCCTGTGCTCACTGTTTCTCTGGAGTCAAGAGGGGGATTATGCAAGGTGACTCAGTGACTACTGAGTTGTGTAGGCTTTCTGCTCAGTTATATAACTTTGCTGTCTTTTCCAAGTCTCCTCTCTGATTAGCATCTGTGTGTTGCTTCCCACATGGAACCAGGCATTTTAGGTAACAGGGAAAATTATGGGGTGAGGTGGAGAAAAAGTTGGAAGAAAAATTGTAATGTTTTATCAGACATCTTTTTATATGAATGAGCCATATCTTAAACTTATTTAACATCTATTTTAATTTCAGCATCACATTCCCTGTATATATGAACTCTACTAAATATTTTTTAGTTCTAAGTAAAACCTCAAACTATATCTGTCCATGAATAAACTTAGTTTACTGCACAATTAAATGCAGTTATGTCAAGTTGATTTTGATTACTGTTCAACTTGAGCACTGTTTTGAAAGAAGGCAGACAGACATGTTCAAGGAAGAACATTTCCTCCAGTGGAAGTTTTCACTCAAGACTGAAAAGTGGCTGGGTGCAGTGGCTCACACCTGTAATCTCAGTACTTTGGGAAGTTGAAGGGGGAGGATCACTTGAGCCTAGGAATTGGAGACCAGCCTGGGCAACACAGTGAGACCCTGTCTCTACAAACCATAAAAAATTAGCTGGGCGTGGTGGCGTACAACTGTGGTCTCAGATACTTGGGAGGCTGAGCTGAAAGGATCGCTTGATCCTGGGGTTGCACTGGGGCTGCAGTTGAGCTGGGATTGCACTACTGTACTTCAGCCTAGGTGACACAGCAAAACCCTGGCTCAAAATAGATAAATAAGTAAATAAAAATTGGAAAGTTAGTAACAAGCAACTTAGCTAAACTCTAAGGAAGGAAAAGCAATCAGTGCAGATTCTGTCATCATTAACAATTCATGATGAGAATTTTGTTGAACAGGAACTGACCTTCAATACTTTTTTGATGCTGTTAATTGTTGATGTTAGCAACGACCTTACTTTCTGATCATCATTCAGGTAGTCAGCATGTCGAACACACATAAACAGGATATATGCCGGTAATCCTGGAATCAAATTGACTGCTACACCACGTGGCTTCAGTTCTAAAAAAAGAAAAAATAATAATTTTATATAACATGGAAAATTTTCACAAGGCATGCATTGTGAGACATAAAAGCACAGTTGTCATGTAAGAGTTCCATCATTCAAGGTAAGTAGGTAATATAAAAAGTGTATTTTAATAGCTCTTTAAGCAGAAAAATTCTGGAGTGTGGGGCATGTCTATGTAATGACAACTCCCAAACTGATATCTCCTGCGCTGACTTTTCCCTTGAACTCCAGTCTCACTATCAACCGCCTTCTTGACAACTCTACTCAGGCACATGAAACTAAGCCTCTCCCAAACCAAACTCTTGCTTCCCTAAGGAACCTCCTTTTTTGGAAGTTGTCCCCATCTTAGTAAATAAATGGCAGCTCCAGTCTTCCAGTACCCTAGATTACAAACCTCATCCTCATTTTTGACTCCTTTCTCTTCTTGTACCACATATCCAATCCATCAACAAACCCTGTTGGTTCTATCTACAAAATACGTCCAAAATCCAGCTACTTCTCACTGCTTCTACCAGCTACAGACGTCCCATGGAGGCCACCATCATCTTCTGCTGGGCTGCTGCAACAGCTCCCTAACTGGCCTCCCTAATTCATCTCTCGCTCCCCAGTAGTGCATTTTCCATACAACAATCAGAACCATTCTTTCAGAAAATGTTGGTCAGATCATGTCACTTTTGTTCTGAGAATCCTTCAAGCAGCTTCTCATGTCATGCATTTATAAAAGCCAAAATCCTCACCATAGTCCATGGGATCTGGCCCTATTCCCCTTCCCCACTCCAGCTCACTCTGCTCCAGTCAAATGAGTCTCCTTGCTGTTGGTTAAACATGACAGGTATGCTCCCTGCCCAGGGCCTACGTGCTTACTGTTTTTCTGCCTTGAATGTTCTTTCCTCAGATATTAGCATGACTTGTTCGCTTACTTCCTTTGGTGTCTGTCCAAAGATCACCTTACCAAAGAGTGTTTCCTGACAATTTTACACAAACCAGTACACCTGCCTTCACTCTTTATTCTTTTTATTCCATCATATACTTGTTTATTTTGTTTTCTTTATTTCTCCACTGGAATGTAAACTCTGTAAGACTGGGTACTTCACTTTGCTCATTACCTAGAAAATGCTTGGCACATAAGAGTTCATTAAACATTTGCTGAATTGATAAATCTGTTAATTCTGTGCTTAAAAACCAGTGGCTCCTTAACATTTTTGCTAAATGAAATTCATGTTGAAACTTAAGCACCTGTGCAACTATATACAGTACTAAGTTTAATGCCAGGAACATTCAATCAGGTATAAGTGCCAACCCCATTGCTGTCACCTTGGCACCTGGCGGGAGGAATGCTGTGCAAAGGCTGAAAGGAGAGGTTTTTAGGATTTTCACTTCACAGCTTACGGTGTGTGCACTCTAATCATTTACCACCACCCTCTAAAAAGTCTTCTTGCAAAGCCGGTGGGCTCAGACCCAATCTTAAAGGCAGTGTGCTATTCTGAAATGCTTTTTCCACTCCCATCCCATTTGTTCTGTCCATTCCTTCCTTTGTTAGAATCTTTTCCTTTTTTTGTTTCTTCCCTATTATTACACTGCTGTACTTGACCTATTTAGTTGCAAACCTTTCTAGGGGAGTAAGGAAAAACTGAAATTCGGGAACCTAAATGGCCTAGAGCAGTTGTGCTCAACTGTGGTTACACTTGAGAATCTCTTAAGCTTTTTATTTTTATTTTTGAGACAGACTCTTGCTGTGTAGCCCAGGATGGAGTGCAGTGGTATAGTCATAGCTTACTGTAGTCTTGAACTCCTGGGCTTACATGATCCTCCCACCTTAGCCTCTTGAGTAGCTAGGACTACAGGCATGCACCAACACCTGTGTAATTTTTTTCTTTTTCTTTGGAGAGATGCGGTCTTGCTATGTTCCCGAGGCCGACCTTGAGGGGTTTGTTTGCCTTCCTTCCTTCCTTCCTTCCGTCCTTCCTTCCGTACTTCCTTCAGCCTTCCTTCCTTCCTTCCCTCCTTCCTTCCTTCCTTCCTTCCCTCCCTCCTTCCTTCCTTCCCTCCTTCCTTCCTTCTTTTTTTTTTCTTTTAAAGTACTAGACATTGCCAGGTTCTTCTCTATAGAGATTTTTATTTAACTGGGCAAGAGGGAGAGATACATCAGTATGGGTCAAAGCTTCCAGGTGATTCTAATGAATCTCAGCCAGGGCTGAGAAGACCTGATCTTGAGCAATCCTTGTAGGTGGGTCTGAGGCATGTGTCCCTGCAGTTGGACTGAAAGTGCTTGGTGTGGTCAGAACACTACTGCAACACTAGAATACATGGTACATGATGATGTCTAATGAAACCTATGCTGAATATCTCAAAAATTAGAGACTAGTTTTTCCCACCATTGACCCATGTGCCAGAGGAACTTTTATCCAATGCAGAAAATACTTGCCCAGAATCAGGTTCTTAACAAGTTTTTGCTCATCCTCCTTCTTGTATTCCAGCATTCCTTGGAAATCCTTTTCTTTCCTGGGAATGTTGACTGGTCGAATGGGTTCATCAATGATCTGTCCTGGGGATATGTTCTCCATCTGGCCCACTTTATGAGAAGTAAGAAAGGAGAAGAAAATGTTTTCCATATAAAAAACATGAGAGGTCTCCAAGTTCCTATAATTTTGAATGCATTCTACAACAACTGAAACTTGCCATATTTGCCACTTAATTGCCTCCTCTTAAAATAATTTTTTTTTCGTTAAAATTGGGTGAACAGATGGCAAAATTATATGGTAATCTTACTCTGAAAGCCACACCTGCCTAACTGTAAATTAACATCAAATAACCTTACATGATCCAAAACCTTTTTTATGTAATAAGGTTTACTTTTTAATAAGATTAAATGTCCAAAAAGTAAGTGGTTTAACAGATTTGTTAATTAATTGATACTAATCAGAAATGATTAAACATATTTTGACTTTAATTCACAGGAGGAACAATCAGTATCCTACAAAGGGGCAGAAGGAGCAGAAACAATTCCCCCTTGCTCTTGGCTCAATGACTCTAGTCATTAAAAGCACAAGAATATTTACTTTAAATGTATTATTACAATCAGTTGAAAACACATACAGATAGCTGGTAGAAGAGTGTTTCTTCATACCACTTGGTCCAAAATGTATTATTTTTCACAAAGGACTCAAATGGCAAAGACCTAATTTTCTCCTGCCACCCTCATTCCCAGAGAAATCATGAACACATAAACTATCTCTATGTAGTATGATTTCCTAAATGTTATTATTTTTTATTTCTTTTTAATAGAATGTTAAAAATTCTACTTATGAAGTTGCAATCAATGAAGTACAACCACTGGCTTACAATGCTTTCAGATGTTAAAGACAGTCACTATTGTCAAGGGCAGCAGCTAGAGAAGAATTATGCTAAAGGTTCAAAAAAAAGGTCTCCAATTTCATCTCAAAATTGAGACTTGAGTGGGAAATCCAACGAAAAGTAAAGGGACATATGAGTTATCACAGCCGCTGTGGAGATACAGGCTAGTAACCAGGTTTTTTATCCTTTTATCTACAGGGAGGGAGAGTGGTTAAGAGATTTGTTTAAGGGCAGATTAAGTTTGAGTTCTGAGATAGCTCTCAAACAAAATGCAGATCAAATGCAAAAACATTAGAAAGTTTAATATTGCTGACTCCACGAGGTGTCAGTAGTGCTTCTTGTGCCACTCTGGGTAATTTCCTGGGTTAGTTCTGAGAAGCCAGTCCCGCAGGAAGAGGTTATCACAGAGAACATCAGTACCTGCCAGTGCTCTTGCTTATGTGGCACGGAGCCTGGTGACACACCGTCCACCTCATGCTGCAGCAGCACACACTGGGACTATCAGCGCTGAAAATCTGGTTTAGGTGAAGTCACCACCATCCAGCAACACTATGATATCTAAAGAGTGGTCAGATTGTGATTGGACAGATCAGGGCTATGGCCATCTCCCATAATCTAGTTTTTCATATGCATGATCCAGTATGAAAGCCACGGGACTAACTCTAAAGTGTATTCTTCCATACAAGAGAAGAGGAGACTCAAGCTATTTGGTTTTACGTAATTTCTGGTGTCAGTTTAAACATAATACCACAAGGACCTCTGAAGCAGCACACGGTGGCCTCTACAGATCATAAACCTGCAGCTGCGTGTAAAAAACAAAATAATAAAACCCTTGCCATCTATGCCACTAGTAACTTTAAGCTGCATGTACAATTCCAAAAGGGGAAACTGGGAGAAAACAAGTTCAACACACCAGGTTTATCAATAAATGCACATATTTGGACTCCATGTAACCCAAAGAGCATATTTTAAACCTACTGACTTATCAAATCTTTGATGCTATCGGTTATGAAATACAGTATTTTATGTAACACTAAAAAAAATTGCCAACTAAACTATAATCCATCAACAATTGTAAGATACACCCCAATTTCAGAGATGTTAAAATGAGAAACACTGTGCATCTAAGAATTTGTGAAATACGATGGATACTTTTACTAAGAAAGTTATGTTTTAAAAGGAAGCTTCACCTTCCTTTTGCAAAATCTCTAACCAGGACATTTTTGGTGCTGTATAAAAATGTCAGATAAAATTTACCATACTCTCATTAAAAATTTTCTCTCTGCCTCTGAATTCTCCCTAGGGACTTAAGTCTTTGCAAAGCTCACAAATGAAATATAGATGTCAGTTCAACATAACCTTGATTGGTTTAGCAGTATTATCCACTAATTAAAATAAAATGTTGGCCGGGCACAGTGACTCATACCTGTAATCCCAGGACTTTGGGAGTCCAAGGCAGGCAGATCACCTGAGTTCAGAAGTTCAAGACCACCCTAACCAACATGGAGAAACCCCATCTCTACTAAAAATAAAAAAAAGTTAGCCAGGCATGGTGGTACATGCCTGTAATCCCAGCTGCTTGGGAGGCTGAGGCAGGAGAATCGCTTGAACCTGGGAGGCAGAGGTTGCAGTGAGCCGAGATCACACCACTGCACTCCAGCCTGGGTGATGAAAGCAAAACTCCGCCTCCAAAATAAATAAATAAATAAATACGCAACTAGCTAAGCCCTTTGCCCTTCTGCCTTCTGCCATGTAAGAACACAGCATTTGTCCCCTTCGGAGGATCCAGCAACAAGGCACCTGCCGTCTTGGAAGCAGAAACCAGATCCTCCGAACTTGCCAGTGCCTTGATCCTTCAGAACTCTGAGAAATAAATTTCTGTTCTTTATAAATCACCCAGTCTCAAGTACTTTGTTATAGCAGCACAAAGGGACTGAGGAGCCCAGTGATCAATTCTTCTAGGAAGGCCTGAACCAAGACTCTAGTTTCATTTTCTATATTCCTTATAAACTTGAGGGAACCATTTTGTCCTCAAAAAGGAAAGAAAATTGGAAAGTTTTTAAAAATTTTACTTTAGTTTGGCACCAGGAAGATCTTCATCTCAAGTCTGAGACAATCAGATAAAGTCCTAATAGCAGAAAATTTCTGTGGGAAAATCTGACACAAAGGAGAGAAATCAGTGGCCCTCAGAAGGTGTGTGTTCTAGTCCTGCCATCTCACCTGCTGCAGACATGGGTCACTTACAGGCCTTAGTTTTTTCCTCTTATGAAATAATTAATTTCTAGAATCCCTTCAGGTCTTAATTTCTTGATTCTATGAATATTAAGATGGATGACAATATAGCACAAAACAGATCAAAGTTTGACACACTCTTCATTTAGCTATATAGTTTCTGCTAAAAAATTATACATGCTAGCATTTTTTTAAAGTCTCTGTTGGTTTTTTAAAAAGCCTCCTTAACTAAATGTAGCTTGTAGGAGGAGGCAAGAGTTGCGCTATTTTAAACCAAAAGGATTTAAGTGTATTGCAATACATTTAAAGAAAAGTATAAAACAACGTTTAGTTATTAGAAGGTGGCCGTACTTTCTGTGTAACAGGGACATACAAGGATGAAAAGTGTCACCTTGATTCTCTTCATTTGGGGTAGAAGCAGGGACACTGCACTCAGCAAGTGCCCAAGTCACATAAATCTATTTCATTTCATCCTCTAGATATGTATCACTTAACTCAAAATGTAACTCTTCTTAAGAACTATTATAATGTTTGTTTGATCTATGAATTGCTATTCTCAAATGCTACTGATAGCTTTATAGCTGTCTGGATAGTTTAAATGATGAGGTTGATTTCTGATTGACAATGGCTTAAGAGTAGTAATATCTTAAAATAGTCTAACCCGTCTCTTCAATTAAAAATATACATATCAAAGAAAACTAATAAAAAATTATGTAAAATAATGAATGGCTTTTCTGTTTATCAAAATTTACTAAAGTATGGCAAAGGAATCATTAGGAGTTGAACAAAAAAAGAATCTCACATGTCAATACACTTAAAATCTGTTTTTTTCAAGCAAATACTCTGCTGTCTGATTATCATCTCATGATATAACTAGTGCAAAGTGCAAAAAGTTCTCTGAATAAAGATTTTTAAGTTCTGCTAAAAGACATTATAGCTTGTGTGAGATCGTGTGATTTAGAGGCTCAAATTTTAATGTAATACATGACTCACGTAATGCTAAAGGATTATATATAAAGTATGACTATAAAATAATCTTTCTGATTTCTAAACAAATATTTCAATATTTGTACATCCAACAGAGTAATATTCTTTACAAAGTAAATGTCGATGTTGCCATGTTATAAATATTTCTGAAATTTATTCACTCAACAAACATTTATGGAATGACTATGAGATAGGTCGACACTATGCTAGGTGCTGTGAAAACCAAGGGAAATAGAGATGTTTCCTATGCTCAGGAAGCTCAGAGTCTATTATGGAAGCCAGTAATTCAAACAGAAAAATTGCTAAAAATATGACATAGTGAAGACCATAAAAGATATCAGCCAAACTGTGGTACACGGAGAGCAGAATCATAACGTCTGTCTGGGTAATCAGGAAAGGCTGCTCTTGAGGATGTGACATATGACTCTGGTCTCAAAGGCTGAGCAGGACTTAACCAGGAGAAGCAGGATGACCAAACAGAAGGAGCAATTATGACAAGGCCTGGTATGTTGGAGGAATGAAAACCACACTTAGAGTTAATCATGATAGATTCTTTTGAACATCCTCAGTGATGGGGAATCTTCACTGTTTGAACCAAGCAAGAATTAGATGCAGAATGACAATGAGAGAAAATGATCAACATTTCACACAGGTTTGAAGGCAATTCCAAAAAGTGTCTCAAAATCCCTTAAGCAGTGAGAAAACTGAAATAACCTTAAAATTTGGCTTTAGGCTGGGAGCAGTGGCTCACACCTATAATCCCAGCACTTTGGGAGGCTGAGGTAGGTGGATCACGAGGTCAGGAATTTGAGATCAGCCTGGTCAACACGGTGAAACCCTGTCTCTACTAAAAATACAAAAATTAGCTGGGCATGGTGGCATGCACCTGTAATCCCAGCTACTCAGGAGGCTGAGGCAGAAGAATTGCTTGAACCCAGAAAGCAAAGGTTGCAGTGAGCCGAGATTGCACCACTGCACTCCAGCCTCAGCGACAGAGTAAGACTCTGTCTCAAAAAAAAAAAAAAAGAGTTTGGCTTTAGTCTTGTTCACTGCTAGATCCCTGTATCTATAACTCTTAACAAATAAACACACTAATAGAAAAGATGAGATTCATTTCTATATAAATAATAACAACAGGCCGGGCGCGGTGGCTCAAGCCTGTAATCCCAGCACTTTGGGAGGCCGAGACGGGCGGATCACGAGGTCAGGAGATCGAGACCATCCTGGCTAACACGGTGAAACCCCCTCTCTACTAAAAAATATAAAAAAAAAAAACTAGCCGGGCGAGGTGGCGAGTGCCTGTAGTCCCAGCTACTCGGGAGGCTGAGGCAGGAGAATGGCGTAAACCCGGGAGGCGGAGCTTGTAGTGAGCTGAGATCCGGCCATTGCACTCCAGCCTGGGCGACAGAGCGAGACTCCGTCTCAAAAAAAAAAAAAAAAAAATAATAATAATAATAACAACAACTGATATTTGGTTATTTCTCAAGGAGTTTTTTCATCTTCATCATATAGAAATCATGAGATGTTTTTTAAAATCTTATTTCTTTATCATAATTTATATTTTTCTTTTTTACTTCTCTTTTTTTCCCCCATTAGACTGTAAGTTCTTTGAGGACAGACTCTGTCATACTAATCTTAGTATCCCTAATACTAAGAATAGTAGTAACTAATAACTAAGTCGCATGAAGCATTTTTACTATGTGTCGATAACTCTTCTAAGTGTAATATACTTATTAGGTTGATGGAAAGGCATTTGTGGCTTCTGCCATTAAAAGTAATTGCCTTTGAACTAACCTAATAGCTCATTCAATCCTTATAAACCATGTCAGATAGATGCTATTATCTTTCTAATTTAACAGATGGGAAAGTAGAGGCATACAGAGGTTCAGAAACTTGGCCAATATCATATGATTAATAAGTAGAAGAGCTAGGATTTGAACCCAAGAAGCTTGACTCCAGAATCCACATTCTTAACTCCTATGCTATACTGCCTAGCACATTGTCTGGCATATAGAAGATATTCATTAGATGCTTACAGAGTAAAATCTGTAAATTATTACTACCATGAAAAAGAACACTTTTCTTCATCTAAAAATGTAAAATTCTACTTGACAGAGGTTAGGTTTGCCAAAAGTCCTATTTTGTTATTATCCCTAATATTTGCATGCAAACCTCATTAGGCCACTTATATAGCCTAAAGACTAGTCTTTAGGCCAAGACTCAAACCAAGACTCAGCAACTGTCATAAAAACATGTTTAAATACCTTCTAGTTCACCAATTTTTTTGGCAAATACTTTCAATTGCTTTTTCAGTTTACGGACCGTCTTATCCTGTTTTTCAAGTTGTTCCATCAAATCCTAAAGATCCAAAAGAGAAATATATCAGAAAGATTGAAGCAGGTCTTCTAAAATGCATCAAGGGAAAACAGACACATATCACAGAAACAACACTGTTAGTTTTACAAAAAAGCTCCAGAAAAGCTCGTTGGTGGAGCCACCACCTGGCTAAAACTGGCAGGCATGGGAAATGCAGCTACAATAAAAGCCATATGTTAAAATATACAATGCAGTAAAATCCTTTACAGCGTGATGGACAGCAGGCTCACCGCGGAGTCTTTCCAGTAGACTCCATGTGGGAAAATCAACTGAATGCTTTGTAAAATGTATTGTTATTCCAGTAGAATGCTTTTTTTTAAAGGAGGACTGACTAGGCAAAAATAAATTTTCATGAATGCACAAAAAGGTCTGTGAGAAGAATGGTTGAACTTAGGTAGGAACTGACACTCCCCATGTGTGAAGCACTGTCTCTATGAGAGCCACCCTATGAGATTCTAAGAGTAGCCTTGAAACTTAAGAAGAGTTCAGAAGTTTTGGGAATTAAAAGTTAAGTTGAAAAAAATAATCACAAAGAACAGGATAAAGAGTGGTCTGTTTATCTAGGACCAAAGTGGCAAGTGGCATAAGGCATCTATAAAATCTTGCAGGTGATGTAATTTTGCTTATACAGAAGAAAGGGGTATTTATGAATGCTTTATGCAAAAAGAGAAACAAAAGCAGTACACTTAAGGAGGAAGGTTAAAAAAAGTCCATGATTATTGGCTATTTAATAAAGAATTTGCTCAAATGACAGGCATGGTTAAAAACTCAATAATCAAAAAGAAAGTGGACAACAGAAGGCTCAGAAAGAGCTTAGAAGGGCTATGAGTCAGCAATGATGTGTGTGGTTTTTATTCAGGTTATGGAGAAGAAAGGCATTCCAAATACAAATATTCATTTTCCAGTTTAGACAGGAGTAGATTTAGCTACTAGGCCAACCATTCAAGGGAATAGTTGCTATCTCTTCAAAGTGTTAAGTTGTGCTTCTTGGATTTTACGTGATCTTTCAAATCACATTTTGCTTCCATCACACTGTAAGCCTAGTGTTAATAACAAACCAAACATGACAATGGACTCAGGACACTGATAGAGGTGACACCACTGGCTAAAAGACAGCTGTGGGGAGAAACAGGTTTCGTGAAAAATTTGAAGAGACTTCCTGGGAGGGGGCAGGCAGCGGTGTGCTCTTCAGTTACAGAGGGCTAGAAGTAGCGAGGAAGACAGTGGAAAAGCACTATGGTTTTACATACAATCATCCGCTTGTAAAGGGAAATCCGATATGATTGATACTTCTTAGGTTCATCTGCATATAATTCCTCAAAATACTGAAAAAACAGGCACAATGGATATTTGTTTTTGTCTGTGTCTTTGAGGGGAATGCTATCTTTCAGCAAAATCAATTTTAAAATATTTTAAAACACAAATAGTGAAACTATATATACTCGAAAGGCTCTGATTTGTCACCTTCCATTACCCTTTTATCTTTCTAGTATAGACTATTATAATTATACATATACAGATGTTTCTTGTGTGATCAAAGGAAAGAGGCTGTGGCCAGGATGCCATCACTTAGCAGGCCTAGATAAGGCTGTCATTTCCCTCCTCCAACCTCCTGCCTTTTTACTCCCAGCCTCCCCTACGCATGATGCTCACAATTTGCTGTACCCTTTTTTTTTTTTTTTTTTGCTGCCAGCAGCAGTGGCAAGAATAGGGGAGGCAAATATAATAAAAGTGAGAATAATAGCAATGTTAGCGCGTGAAGTTGGAGAGGCTGGTGGGAAGCTGTGCATCTTCCTTCGCTGAAAGACAGCATGGGGGAGGCCTGTGAAGCCTGTTCACTAGATGAGGTAGAAAAATCATTTTTGTGTTTTGTGTTGGTGGTAGGTAGGTGGGCAAGGTAAAGTTTCAAGAACACTAAGCCCAGGTCTCGTGCTGGGCTTTAATATCCTGCTCAAGTATTTCTTATAGAAATGCACAATTAAGATTAAGAAAACAATGATTTTGAAAAAGTGTATCATTTCCTGTACTTATGTTTGAATCCATCCTCCTGAATTAGTAGTCAGAATAATGGCAGGAGAAGCAGTTGACCTACAAAGGGTTTTCCCTAAACTCAAATTCATTAACTGGGCTCTCTTAGCTTAGAATATAGGGGCTCAGTCTATTTTTTGTATTAGCTATGAAAAATTGCCAAGAAAATTAATATTGCAAACAAGGTTGCAAGGGAAATGTCTGACCAACTTAGTGAAAAAAACCCTGGAAATCTGCCACCCAGAAGCATCTTTATTTCACGATTTCACCTTGTATTTTAAAACAATAATTTAAAGCACAGAATTTGTATGCCAATCAATCAACTCATTATATTTTTCAGTATATTCGGTAATACTTAGTCATCAAAGCATTGTTAGTTTAATTTAAGCAACAATATACTTGAGCGTTGTAAAATGACACTTCAAAAATATTTTATGATTCAGAAAAATTTCCCCACAAATTAGTGAGATTTCAGTCACTTTGGAAAAAGCCCACACACCGCCCCCACCCTCCTCCCTCATTCCCTCCTCCCTCATTCCCACAGTGGAGCCTTATACAGACAGACAGACTATGAAAAGAATAGCTTTGCGTTTTGCTTTTAATTCATATAAAAGACAGTTGAATAAATGACACTAGAAAACTATTTGTAATGTAAATTATCACTAATGGAGTAATGGAGGGATAATTCAGATTGTTAAATCTTCAGAGGAAATTCATACTATTTTATTATAGGTCATTAAAAATGTTAATTTAAAAAAGATGGCCGGGCTCGGTGGCTCAAGTCTGTAATCCCAGCACTTTGGGAGGCCGAGACGGGCGGATCACGAGGTCAGGAGATGGAGACCATCCTGGCGAACACGGTGAAACCCCGTCTCAACTAAAAAAAAAAAAAAAAAACTAGCTAGGCATGGTGGTTGCATGCCTGTAATCCTAGCTACTTGGGAGGTTGAGGCAGAAGAATCACTTGAACCTGGGAGGCAGAGCTTGCAGTGAGCTGAGAATCCGGCCACTGCACTCCAGCCTGGGCGACAGAGCGAGACTCTGTCTCAAAAAAAAAAAAAAAAAAAAAAGCCTCGAGGCATGGTGACTCACGCCTGTAATCCCAGCACGTTGAGCTAAGGCGGGTGGATCATTTGAGGACAGGCGTTCAAGACCAACCTGGCCAACATGGTGAAACTCTGTCTCTACTAAATATACAAAAAAAAAAAAAAAACTAGCTAGGCATGGTGGTTGCATGCCTGTAATCCTAGCTACTTGGGAGGTTGAGGCAGAAGAATCACTTGAACCTGGGAGGCAGAGCTTGCAGTGAGCTGAGAGCACACCACTGCACTCCAGCAACCTAGGTGACAGAGTGAGACTTCATCTGAAAAAAAATAAAAAATAAAAAATAAAAAAATAAAAAAGACACAAATCACCATCAATCCTAAACAACTTTTCTCAAAGTCAGGCTAGCACTACAATATAGACTTTATATAGAAATGTGCAATTATCACTTTTTAAGGATTTTTAATATAGTAAATATATTTGTCAAAAAACTGTAAATCTGTAATAAAAGTTATTAGGTGACTGAGAGAAATATTTTAGAAAATATTTTTGGCAAAAAAAAAAAAAAAGGAACAAGGCAAAAAGAAAAAAGAAAAGAAAAAACTCAGACTCCATGCCAGGGTTTAGAATCTGACAAGGAAAAAAACAATTTCCTCATTTGTTATACAAGTTTTGTTTAAAATAACAGAAAATATGTAAACCTGAATCCTAACACACACCTCCCTGGCGTGGGAGCTCCATCCAGCATCAACCAAAAACCGCTGTTGGTTTTGCCAACCGCCTTTCTCAACCTCAACTCTAACCATACTTGTCTGCTAGAGATGGAGCCTGGCATGGCCTCAGTGTCTGCTTGGGGACCAAAGGTAAAGAAGCCTGTCCCCAGTCGTAGTTGTGACAATCACATAACAAACCTCCTAGGATGGCAGAGGATCTGCAGCTGAAATGGAGGAAACAGATCACCTGAGCCTCAAGGCCATCAAAAACCCAGCCTGCACCCAGGTGGCTGTCTGCCTCCAGGGAAGGTCTAAGAGCACTCAGCCTTCTGTGATAAATAGAACTCGTGCACGTGCCTTTTTCCTTCCTACCAAAGTATTCGTATTTTCCTTACGCTGTCTCTGCTGGAGTAAAAGGGGTAACAAATACAGAGGGGTGAGTTTTTCCAGCAAGAAAAAAACCTGTGTTTGATAAAAAAGAAACTAGACTGTCGGGCAGGCCAGGTTAAGGAGCATGTGGACCCGGCAGCTCTCCTTACCAAGTTTTCGTTGGTCAGCCGGGTGATCTCGTGCTGCAGGCTGGCCTCGATGCGGGCCTCTGGGGGCAGCTGCAGGTTCTGGGCCAGCAGCTGCTGCTGTCGGTTGTTCTCCTCCTTCAGGCTCTGGATCTCCCCACGGAGGGCCTCGGCCTCATTCTCATGGCTCCTCTTCTGTGACTGGAGCTGGGATTCCAGGAGCCTGTGGAGAGGACACACAGGTCGGAAGGGGAGATGACACCCCAAGTTGCTGCCTAATGGGTGTAAGGCATCGTGTTCACTTGCAAGAGTAGGAAACGCAGATACTCTTTAGTATCTGTATATCTTCTGGCTTGATTAAAGTCAAAAAACTTAAACAAGAAGCAGAAATAGAAATGGATGCCCTCACATTTGTGTCTTTCTGCATTATATAAAGTTCTCAGAGGGCCTAAGAATCAGCAGAGTTTTAGTTCTTTTGAAAGGTTCATAGGAGGCCGGGTGCAGTGGCTCATGCACTTTGGGAGGCTGAGGCGGGCGTATCACCTGAGATGACGAGTTTGAGACTGGCCAACACAGTGAAACCCCATCTCTACTAAAAATAGAAACAATTAGTCAGGTGTGTTGGTGCATGCCTGTAATCCCAGCTACTCAGGAGGCTGAGGCAGGAGAACTGGTTGAACCCAGGAGGCAGAGGTTGCAGCAAGCTGAGATCGCACCATTGCACTCCAGCCTGGGCAACAAGAGCAAAACTTCATCTCAAAAAAAAAAAAAAAAAAGGGGGGGGGGTCATAGGAAATGAGGATGTGAAAAAAAAAAATCAGTTGAAAAAAACAGCTTTAATTTGCCTTCCATTTGCATTTATAAATTAGCAAAGACAGTACACGTTTGCCACAAAACAACTCTGCACTATAAAGGGCAACATTACAAACTTCCAATCTAACTAAATGTGCCTTCAGAACTACAGAGTTACTAATTCCAGGCAGAGGGTGGGACCAGTTTCCCATTTTTATATTCTACTCCTATTCTGAAAGACAGAAAGGCTGAAACACCACTCCAGCCTTATCTATACAGATTTACCCAAATTCATACAAATAGTTCTGAAATTTCCTACACATATTTTAGATCTGTCATCTTCTCTCTCCCCATAAACGTACATATCAGAAACAGAATCCTAACAAGATGTGGTTTTAGAACACAAATATTAATAGGACCAACAAAGTGGTTATTGCTTCTTCAAGCAAACATACAGCCAGTTGTGCCCACAGAGCAGACCAGGCATTGGCAGTGAGAACACCAGAGTCAGAGCATCCTCCCTTTGCCACGCACCCCTGCTTCTACAGTCACTCTTTTCCAAATGCAAAGTTATGGTTAAGAACTAACTAATATGAAGAAAGAAAAGACATTCTTTTATTCCAGTCCCTTGGTTGCCAACTGCTGAGTAAAACTGATGCCATTGCAAGCAAACTGTTAACAGTGGACTAAAAATATTTTTGTGATTAAAAAATTTCAAAAAGATCTGCAGCAATAACACCCCAAAGTTAATGACAAGAGTTAATGATGAGAGCAAACAAAGCAGAATAAGCAGAAGCCCCTTGAACAAATATTTGAGTATTTTAAAAATTTAATCACTAAAATGGAATTTTAATAAGAGTTCAAAGACAAATATCACTAGAGTAGATGAATGTCTGTGTTAGAAAGGTGCTGCTGTTTCAATTTTATTTTCTCTCCTCTGAACATATTTAACGTGTTGAATTTGGGTAATTATTCTGAGCTATAGCAATGCAGAAAACTCTCCTGATTTGCTGTTTCACAAATTTGAATTTCATAATAACCACACAGAGTGCCAAATCATGCATTTCATCTTGCTTTTAGACAGCATGATAATAATACATAAGAACGTAGGCTGGGCGCAGTACCTCACTCCTGTAATCCCAACACTTTGGGAGGCCAAGGCAGGATTGTTTGAGCCCAGGAGTTTGATACCAGCCTGGGCAACAAAGTGAGACCCTGTCTCTACAAAAAATCAAAAAATTAGCTGAGTGTGGTGGCACATGCCTGTGGTCTCAGTTACTCAGGAGGCTGAGGCAGGAGGATCGTTTGAGCCCAGGAGGTCAAGGCTGAATTAAGCCGTGATCATGCTACTGCACTCAAGCCTGGGTGACAGAATAAGACCCTGTGTCAAAAAAAAGAAAAGAAAAGGAAAAAAAAAAATGTAGCCACATTGCCATAGGCACATATATCCTGTAGATTTATCTATAGGATATGACAAGCCACTGTCTAAGTAATAAATCTTAATCTCTTCCCCAATAGTTTGTGCCCTAATTGAAAAATTTTGTTTTTCTTCTAACTCTCGGAATAGAGAGATTCACAAATTTTAGTGTCTGAAGGGGCGTGTCTTATATTCACCATGAATCCATTTTAGCTTTAATAGTATCTTGTAGTGAAGGTTTTTTTTTTTTCTGAGACGGAGTCTTGCTCTGTCGCCCAGGCTGGAGTGCAGTGGAGAGATCTCAGCTCAATGCAAGCTCTGCCTCCTGGGTTCACGCCATTCTCCTGCCTCAGCCTCCCGAGTAGCTGGGACTACAGGCACCTGCCACCACGTCCAGCTAATTTTTTATATATTTTTTTAGTAGAGACGGGGTTTTACCGTGTTAGCCAGATGGTCTCGATCTCCTGACCTCGTGATCCACCCGCTTCAGCCCCCCAAAGTGCTGGGATTATAGGCGTAAGCCACCATGCCTGGCCAATGAAGGTTTTTAAAGGTGTTTGGACCGGGTGTGGTGGCTGATGCCTGTAATCCCAGTACTTTGAGAGGCTGAGGTGGGCGGATCACCTGAGGTCAGGAGTTCGAGACCAGCCTGGCCAACATGGTGAAACCCCGTCTTTATTAAAAATACAAAAAATCAGTCAGGCATGTTGGTGCATGCCTGTGGTCCCAGCTACTCAGGAGGCTGAGGCAGGAGAATTAGTTGAACCCAGGAGGCAGAGGTTGCAGTAAGCTGGGATGGTACCACTGCACTCCAGCCCAGGCAACAGAGTGAGACTCCGTTTGAAGAAAAAAAAAAAAAAAAAGGTGTTTGGCTGAATGTTCTCAGTTTTACTGAAAAACTTTGGACAAATAACACAATTACTAACACTAATTTACCCAAGAAGACAATCAATGCACAAGAAATACAGAGGTGAAAGTCAGGAGGCCACTGTTAGTAAGAAAAACAACACATTAATAACATTCCATTTTGAGGAGACAAATATAACCTGTTGGCTTGTTTTAACCCTTCATAAACCAGCCACAGCTCTCCATCCTCATTCAACTCACGGTAATCCAGAGCAGATGATCTTCCATGCAAAAGGAACAACAATGCAAAACACAAAAGGACAGAGGATGGTGATGAGGTGACGATGGTCAACAGCAGCACACAGTATTTCAACATTTTATAAGTGAATAAGACTGTTTTTATTCATTATGACAACTTTAAGACATTACCACAAAAATTATTTTTGGTTAATTTTTAAAAATGGTAACATGTAGCATCACATGTAAATGGGTAGAAATTAAAGCAAAATAATCAAGGATGTAGAGTTACTTTTCCTGTAAAATAAGAAACTACTGGAAGGTGAGAAAGAGGTTCTGTTTTTGATGTTTTATTCGGCTAGCAAAGTGATCTAATATATCACATATTACATTAGAGGTTATGACACATATAGAACGAAAATTTCAGCTACTGTCTTTGTGTGGCAAACTTCATAATATTTTTCAAAATGAATTTTTAAATCTTCTAGGTAGGAACGTTTTTAACTTAATAAAACATAATTTCCCACATCAAAAATATCAGTTTAAAAAATTCTTATAGCAGTAACATAAATCAGAACATGTCCAAGGTTCTCAGCTTTTATGACATGATTTTTAAAAGCTTTTTTGTGTCAAAAATTAATTGTAGACCTGGAAAAACTGCTATATTAGAGGTGTATCACATCTTATTAAAAATATGTGTAATTAGTAATTATGATAATGTTAGTAATCATTTATTTTCTACTTAGAATATAAACATAATATTTTTGAGTGTTTGCTCAGTGTCAGATGCTGTTCTACATTCTTTCACATGTACTATTTCATTTAGTTTCCCTAGTAACCCAACATAAATCATTTGCCACATTGCAAAGGAAGACACAGAGGCTTAGAAGTAAGATACCCATAGAGGTTACACAGATGGTAAGTAGTGGATCCCAGCACTGACTCTGGAGTCCAGGTTCTTACTCCTGCTATATTGTTGTTATGTTTACATAACCCAAATTCTAGGCATTGTCTTCTACTTTACATCTAGAAAGTTCATCTCTCTCTAAAGAATTCATCTATTTACATGGTTTCCATTGTATTATTATATTCTGATGACTTCAAAATTTATATCTCAGCACACACTGAGCTACAGATTTACATATTCTCCTGGCTACAGATTTACATATTCAACTGCCTAATATATTTCTTTCTCTGGATGTTTTCCCGGCTCCTTAAATCCAGTATGTATAAATCTACTGATCACCTTCACTGTGTATTTCCCCGCACTCCAGTCCCACCATCACAAAATGGTATCACCACATCTAACCAAGATAGCAGAAACCACGGAGTCGCCTTCAGGCTTCTCTATCCCTCGCCCACACATCCAATAAGCCAAACATTTTTCTGACCTCATCTTCTTATGTATCTTTCAAAACGTTCCATTTATGTCAATCCTAACTGGCACCCACCACGCCCAAGTCACCATAATCATTGGGTTACAGGCATACGCTCTGGTCTTTATGCTTTCAATTTTGTTCTACTGCAATCTATTCTCTAACATAACAGCCAGGGCTAGCTTTCCAAAAATCAAATCTCATCACACCATTCTCCTACTTAACACCTTTCAGAGGATTCCATTATCTTTGGAATAAAGTCCAAACCCTCTCAGCTGTCTCCCCAGCAGCCTATAACCTCGGTGAGAGTAGGAACCGCATTTATCTTGCTTATTACTGTATTCCCAGTACGTGGCACAGGGCCTGGCATGAAGTAGGCACACTGGTGATTGAATAGCTAAGTGGATGGAAGAACAGTGTGAGACAATACAGCTCTTTCTGTATTAACACATTCTTAGATATAACATATGTTTATAATTTACACTGATAAATTAAAATTTAAGTTTAACCATATACTTTTATAAGCATTCTCCACCCTTGCCCAAAAAAGAAGATAAGAAGTATAGTCATCCTTCAATATCCATTGGGTTCCAGGTCCTCCCTTGGATAGCGAGATCTACAGATGTTCAAGTCCCTTACATAAAATGGCATACTATTTGCATATAACCACGTACATCCTCCACATACTTTAAATCATCTCTAGATTACTTATAATACCTGAAAATTTATAATATGTAATCTCTAGATTACTTATAATACTCTGTAAATAGTTTTGTTTTAAGAAATAATGATAGGGCCGGGCACAGTGGCTCATGCCTGTAATCCTAGCACTTAGGGTGAAGCAGGTGGATCACCTGAGGTCTGGAGTTCAGGACCAGCCTGGCCAATGTGGCAAAACCCCATCTCTACTTAAAAAAAATACAAAAATTACACAGGTGTGGTGGTGGGCACCTATAATCCTAGCTACTCGGGAGGCTGAGGCAGGAAAATCGCTTGAACCTGGTGGGGGCGGAGGTTGCGATGAGCTGTGATTGTGCCACTTCACTTCCAGCCTAGGCGAAAGAGGGAAACTCCATTTCAAAAGAAAAAAAAGAAAGAAAGAAAAGAAACAAGAAAAAAGTCTGTACATGTTCAGTAAAAATGTAATTTAAAAAATTTTTTCCATTCTCCATTGGTTGACTCCACAGATATGGATCCAATGGATATTTAGGGCTGACTGCACCTTACTTTTTGTATGGCAATATTCTTCAGTTTATAAAGTATTTATGCTTACCAATCCTGAAACTATCCATCAAGAGACCTAGACCAATAGACTAAGGCTTTGCTGGAAAGGAGGGTGGTAGTAAGGCCAGGGGAATTCCAGATATGAGCCTTCATTCTCCTATCCTAGAAGTCATGGTGCCCTTTTAGAGTTACATGGCCAACACCAAGTGATTCCAGATACCTCATCACTCCTCTTCACTCTAAGTTTCAACTATTGAAAACTGCAGTTGCCCCTACAAACCTTCACAAATAACCATCCTGAATAACAAATGATAGTGACTACCTAAGACAGTACAACCTGAGCAGGTGGTTTTCTTCACAAGGCAGCCCCTTAAAGCTAAGACATTAAATATTTTAAAAATCTTTCTTTGATTTAAAGCATATTTTCCCTGACACCTTTTGTCAATACTATTACCTTATATTATAAATGAAGATCTTAACTAGAAATATATTGGAAACCTTGGATTCCCTTTGAAGGCCAATTAATGTCTAATATAAAGGAATGTATACACACTTTTACTGTGCAAGAGGCTGGCTTGAAGGCTAAAGATCAATACAATTAAACCAAAATGAATAAAAGAAGGATCAACTTACCTGTTTGTTTCTTTCAAACCAATGTATGCTTGTGCTATTTCACCTTTATCTTTCATTTTTTGTACATCTTCCAAAAGTATTGTGGAATCTGTCATTGTATTCTGAGGGGGGAAATAACATACTTACGCATTAAGATTCAACTCAAAAGCTGTGGACATATAACACATTTATTTGGTATAATTGGCGGGCAGGGGTTATGTGCTCCACCACACCTGTGACCCACCAAAGCATCAGCCCCAACCTCATGTAACTGCAGAGGGGAGTTTGGCCCAGGTAGTTAAGAGAAAGGTACCTTCAGTTTTTCTCCTGAGAAACACTAGCACTCTACTACAAAGGTGGGAAGATTCTAGAGTGCCACAGCTCTGTAAATAAAATCACTGATGGGCCATATATTTTACATTATGTGAAAAAATATATATATAATTTTTATAAAGTATATAATATAGTATATATACAGCATTAGAAAAATAACAAGGCACCAATTTAATGGAATGTACAAAGCCATTCTTTCTACTACTTTTTGACTAGTTACAATGAAGCAGATGCCCCAACAAAACAATGAAAGTTTGACATAAAGTTCACTTTTTCATTAAAAACTCAGAAAAAGAAGGTAGTATTCAGATTATATGCTTCAGCAAAATTAAGGTTTTTTTTCTCAACTTCAGTTCTTTTTTCTCTAGTATAATATAACATAGTACTTAAGCTTTTGAAATAAACATCTGGCAGGTCAGAATTATTAATGATTTTATATAAAAATAACTTTTTTGCCAACATTTTAATTTTCTTTTTAATTTTCTCCTTTTAGTCAAATCTGTCTGACAACCAATGTAAGTTCAAAATCTTCTATTCAGCTACTCTATCTTTCCAGACAAGAGTAAGAGATAAGAATCACTGCTGTGCAAACCACCATGGAACATGTATACCTATGTAACAAACCTGCACATTCAGTACATGTATCCCAGAACTTAAAGCAAAGAAAGAATCCCTGCTCTGTAGCCTCTAAAAAAAATATATACTTCAGAACCCAATGGCTTTGATTAAATGGAAACATTTCCACATAAAATTCAACTCAAAAGCTTTTGGACCACATATTTGTCTAAATAGTATACGTCTGATTCTTTAGTAAACATGATCTAAGTAAGCTCAGGCCTTGCAATGAAACAGACTTAATAAAATACACTTCAAATACCATGATCTTAAAGACAAGTTCCAAGATAACTTTAATGCCAACTAGAGACTTACATATGCTTGTTTCTGAATTTCAATGTGCATTTTAAAAATCCTTCAAAAAAAATACCACTTTTCTCTTAATGTTATCCTTTTGTAAGTTTGTAAATGCTTCCTCTGAGAAGACCAACTATAATTTCACAAAATATACTAATACATAGTTTAGATTTTACTGAGTTTTAAAAATCTTTCCCATTAATACCACATAATTTTTTTAGCTATATTTTATAAATATTTTAGTACCTGTTTTACAGAAAGCTTCTTTTTTCTCTTTCTCTGAAAGGAATAAAATCTTTCTGTTTTATAAAGGGCCATACTCAGATTTTTAAGACCCATAAGTAATAACTTTCAAAGACCTGATTGTTTACATCAAATAATGCTATCTGTGTGCGCTCTGATGTCTCAGGACTTACACGGTATGGTTTTGAACTTTTAGCAAATGAGGTAACTTGATCAAATTAGCTAATTCAAGACAAGAAAGCTTTCTTAGTATGCTTCTCTCCTGGGTAGTAAGTTCTTCCCTCATTCTGCCTACCTTAGCTAAAAAGTGGCACTTGGGGAATGGGTTCAGACTTGGGCTACAGCATTTAGGAAGTTCCTGACTCACTGCTCAAACTTTGTCTCTCTCAAGCCTGTGACCAGAAGTTCTAAAAGGGTTTTGCTATATAGGAAAATCACAGCAATATCTGTCACTCAGTATAAAGAGAAACAAGATATGGTAGAGAAATCTGACTTTGCAACCTCGTCACGAGCCACTTTTCATTCTAGCTGTGGACTCTACACTCAGGGAGATAAAAGTGGCAGCAAAGAACAGTGTGCTCAGCTTCTCAGGCTCCTCTTCACCCTTAGCCAACAAGCCTGCCACTGGTAGATATGAGAGCTCAGGAGAGCCTGTGCTTTGGAATGTACTCCAAGTTCAGGGCTTCCCTCCTCAGCCTCTGGATGGCCTACCAGAACTACGGCAATGAGTCATAGAGCTGCCTATAAATCAGAAGTCATGGAGTCCCCTCCATAATCCAGACTGGAGCCTACTACAACCACTGTTTCCCTACTGACTTCCCAAATCAGAAGGAGTCAAATTGGAAATTCACTTATAAATATCAAAATATCAAAATAGACTTGGTCAGAAAGCATCAATTGCTTTTATTGGGGGATATTTGTAAACTAAAGTTAGGATTAAATAGAAGTATTTACTAAAAAAACAAAAATGTATAATTACCTTGTCATCCTGAAAATCACAAGTCAGCAAGCACAAAAAACAGAGAAAACAATAAACCCTTAGTTTCATAAATAAATTTCATCAGAGTGCCTATCATAACAGATAAAAGCTAATTTAAAAACAGCCATGAGTTGTTTCTCTAAAATTAACTCTGTAAATACATTAACATTCCTGGAGCTATCATAAAACAGACACTAAGATGTATTTATGTGTTGACAACTTCTATTTCCAGGAACAAAAGTTTGAAATTCTTTTAAAATTGTTTTGATTTTTCTGGTTATAAAATATCTTTGAGTATGGGAGAGAATGACCCTCCTGTTAAGGTATGTGGGTGAAATTCTTATCATAGGTCTGTGGAGTTAAAGTTATGTGCCCCGTAGGAAGTCATTTGTCCAAGGGAAGATTCCTAGAATACTCTAGAGGTGGAGCCAATACACAAGACCTGCCTGGGCTGGATCATCCCCTAGCTCTCAGGGTGTTGCTCATCACTGCCCTGAAATGGAGTGGTGACATGATGGGTCTCTCAGACTAGAAACTGAGAGGGACAAATAGCCCCGGGGAGTCTGGAAGATCTTAATTAATGTCATGGGCATTTCTCCTAGGAGGGGACATGAGTGCTGCCATGTTTAGGCTGGGAGCTGAGCGAGCCGGTACGTCAGTTGGACAGGGTCAGCCCATTAGGGTCAGGAGAGCAGCTGTCACACGGGGTACATGAGCTGGACAAGGGAGAATGTGTGATAGTAGAACTCCATGCTCTGTTAGCTGGATTGTTTTTACGCCCTTTGCTTCATTTCTCTTTTCCTTTCTCTTGATTTTTAATAAAGTTTCTTGTGAGATTACCGCATTGCAATCCCATAAATATATACAACTATTATTTGTCAATCAAAAAATTTTTTAGAAAGAACACTAATTTGTCTCAACAGAACTAGAGAAAGGAATCTTGATTTTGAACTCTGCTCAACCAAGACTGCTAGCCTTGTTTTCTGAGGCCCAGCCACAGTGGTAGCCAAGGGAACCAACTGAGACAGCCCGGGAGTGAGGTGTGACCTATATGGCCAAGTCAAAATGGGGTCTCTTCTCATTTCTGGCTTAAGGTGTTTGTGATTATTATTATTATTAGTTTTTGAGATGGAGTCTCGCTGTGTTGCCCAGGCTGCAGTGCAGTGGCGTGATCTCGGCTCGCTACAAGCTCTGCCTCCTGGGTTCACACCATTTTCCTGCTTCAACCTCCTGAGTAGCTGGGACTACAGGTGCCCACCTCCATGCCCGGCTCATTTTTTGTATTTTTAGTAGCGATGGGGTTTCACCATGTTAGCCAGGACAGTCTCGATCTCCTGACCTCGTGATCCACCCACTTCAGCATCCCAAAGTGCTGGGATTACAGGTGTGAGCCACCACATCTGGTCTGTGATTTGTTTTAAAGTAAGAAAGCCCATTTCTCTATATAATCCACTACTACTGGAATTTTATTTCCCCAAATTAGTCAAACATCTTGTTTTTAGAATTTGATATTTTTTGGACCAGTGTTGATCTCAGGTGTGAGTTGCCTTCATCAAGTCCAAACATACGTGCCAGGCACAGTATCTAAACTGCACGCGGAAATACCATTTCTAAGAGGAGTACTCTCAGATTTTCAGGCATCCAGCTCATTATATATCATGGATTTTTTTTTTTGAGACGGAGTCTCGCTCTGTCGCTCAGGCTGGAGTGCAGTGGCCGGATCTCAGCTCACTGCAAGTTCCGCCTCCCGGGTTTACGCCATTCTCCTGCCTCAGCCTCCCCTGTAGCTGGGACTACAGGCGCCCACCACCTCGCCCGGCTAGTTTTTTGTATTTTTTAGTAGAGACGGGGTTTCACCGTGTTAGCCAGGATGGTCTCGATCTCCTGACCTCGTGATCCGCCCGTCTGGGCCTCCCAAAGTGCTGGGATTACAGGCTTGAGCCACCGCGCCCAGCCATGGATATTTTTTATATGACACACCACACAGCTGGGACTCTTGATTGCCTCGAGTCCTGTGATGCTCTGCTGCATGCACAAGGGCAGGGAGGCAGGCCAGGTTTTCAAGATGATCACTCAGATTCCCTCTGATGGCAAATGACCGAAAGGCCCATCTCTCATCAGCATATGGCAGCGCTGGGTCTCAAATGAAGGCAGGGAAGGACTTCAAAGGGCCATCTATGTCCTCAGGGCGGGAGTCCTTTCTGTTGAATCCTGAAACAGCCCCTCCCACTGGGACAGCACCCCCTACTAAAGAGAACTGCCTGAAGTGAGCAGAAATCATCTCCATGTAACTTCACTCACTGATCTCACTTCTAACCGGTTCATCTATTATTTCTCCAACTAAACCAGCTATTTTCGACAAATGATTTTAAAGTTTTATTTAATGCCTTCCCGCAGTAAGAAAATTTAGAGAGTTTTGTATTTAATGAAATTTTATTTTAGATCAAAATTTATTGTGGCCAGATTACTACAAAAAGATTAATTTTAAAACTCATGAGGGATGAAACTTTGATGATCATTTGGGATTCTCCTTGCTTTTTGTTCATTCCAATTTATGCTTACAATAGTTTTAAACAACACTGGGATTTTTTTTTTTTAAATGATGAATCCTCAATTAGATTAAAAATGCTCTTAAGTGTTTGCTGCACTATAAACTGGAGGGAAATGATAAGAAGACATTGAGGCCAGTCCCCGAACACCCAGTTTAGTTGTGTGCTTGTGCTTACCTTGGGATGGATGGCCTCTTTCTGGCTCACCAGTTGAGACCTTAAGATGAGGACTTCTTCCTTGCGGACATCAAGCTCCTCACTCACAGAGGTCAGCTGCTCCATGAGGACACGGTAGGCAGGTGCACCTGGGGCGGTCACCTCTGGTGCACTTTTCTCACTGAGGGCCTTGCGCAACTCATTTAGCTCATTCTTCAGTTTTTTGTTTTCCGATTCTAGTTCTTGACGCTGTATGAAAAGACAAAGAAAAGTTCATTGCTGTCACCCTCAACTTTATATTGGATGCTCAAACTTCTCCCAAGCTGGTAGAAGAATTCTGCTGAAAAAGTTCATCAGAATTATCCTAGTGAATGGCTTCCTAGGTTCTGCCAGGAGCTCTGCTCTGCAAATTAAGGAAGTCTGACATCAAGTAGAATTGAGCAAGGTCAATGGAAGTTTGCTTCATCAACCCAAATTCCAGAGACAAATGTATTCTGGCCTGCCCAGGGTGTGTTCACTGGCATGGAGAGATTGCTGAGTCCCAAGGGGCGAGTTTAGCCAGTGCTATGGAGCCCAGCTTTTGTTTGTAGACAAATATACGGGAAATCTGAGGGTCCAGCTGGCCAGGATATTTCCAATGAATGAATCAGATGGGTGGATCCCTGAAATCTTTAGTAGTCTCCTCTTATTTCCTTTATAAAGTAGAATGGAAAGACTATTGAAATGTTAGGCTTTAACTTCTAATTTAAAAAATTTACCATATCGTTCAAACTAGTAAAACTCCCTTTAGTGTCTAAATGACAATAAATAGCGCATTTTTCAAACTTCTTTTCTGTGTGACATGCTTGTGACATTGTGGGTGGAGCCTTGGGAGGCAGGAGGCAAGGCTGAAGGCCTTCCTCCAGCCACCCAGAAGGATAGGCACATCCTCATCCCCCCAATATTTCATGTCCTACCAGCCAGCCCCTGCCACCAGTTAGTGCCGCCCACTCCATGTTCAGTTCAAACAATGGCAATAGGAACCCAGAACAGAGTGACACTGACACTAGAACACAAGTGTCACAAGATGCTGGTTGGGAAACATAGATGTAGACAGGCACTTAAAAGCACCATGGTGCCTCATTTAGCACAGGACACATGGCCTGATGATACTGAAACACTTGTGTATAAACACTGCATATTTTAGTTTCTTCCCAGAGACAAAAGCTTAGGTTTGTAGCACCATATCAGTCCTTTCAATGTGTTATATTAAAACTATTTAGGCTGGGCACGGTGGCTCATGCCTGTAATCCCAGCACTTTAGGAGGTCGAGGCGGGCGAATCACAAGGTCAGGAAATCGAGACCATCCTGGCTAACACGGTGAAACCCCGTCTCTACTAAAAATTAGCTGGGCGTGGTGGCTCATGCCTGTAATCCCAGCACTTTAGGAGGTCGAGGCGGGCGGATCACAAGGTCAGGAAATCGAGACCATCCTGGCTAACACGGTGAAACCCCGTCTCTACTAAAAATTAGCTGGGCGTGGTGGCGGGCGCCTGTAGTCCCAGCTACTCAGGAGGCTGAGGCAGGAGAATGGCGTGAATCCAGGAGTCAGAGCTTGCAGTGAGCCGAGATCGTGCCACTGCACTCCAGCCTGGGCAACAGAGCGAGACTCCATCTCAAAAGAAAAATAAAAAAACTATTTAAAGTCCTTCTTTTTTCTAGTTTAAGAATATATAACCTTTCTTTCATGAATTAATCTATTCTTTTATAAAAATGAATGCTCCCTCCCTTCCCCGTTCTCCCACCAACTGGTAATCAGATTCTTATTGCTTATTTCTGTAACAGAAGACACATAAATGTCATTACTTTGACGTGTAAACTACAAATGTTTCCCAAGTTTACTGTGTATCAGAATCACCCAGAGGTCTTGTTCAAACACAGATTGCTGGGGTCCACCCTCAGAGATTCTGATTTAATAAGTTTAGTAGTGTGAGGCCTGAAAATTTGCATTTCCAACAAGCTACCAGGTGACATTGATCCTGCTGGTCCAGGGACCATGTTTTGAGAGCCACTAATCTAATGCTTTGTGAATCGCGGCTTCATTCATACTACAGAGAATGTTTTTATTCATTCATTATTGTGTGGGGCAGGAGAAGATCTGGAGAGCAGATTCCTACTTCTATGTCTGGTCTGCCCCATCACACCCAATTGGATTTTTATAGTGGCCGACGCTAGAGTCCACATCCTTTACTACCACAGCCTCGAATGGCAGCTACTTCTCCTGTTCCTATTTAGACTGAAGTATAGCTTATATGAAATGGAATTTATAAAAAGAAACAACAAGAAGTAATGCAGAATAAGGCTGAAGCTAGGACCTCTGGTGCAACCTCCAGCCCTTAAGGATGTTCTCTGAGAAAAAGAGAGGCTCTGAGTGGGCCTCTTGCCAAAACAAAATATTCAAAGTCTTGAGCAGAAACTCCCCATTACCTTGAGTGACTCATATTCCAGTTCTGCACCTCTAATTTGTGGTCTTTCTTCTTCCTAGGGAAAAGTTAAAGTAAAAGTTTTATATTTTAATCGTCACATTTTTACTCTTAAAATATTTACTTGCTCTACAGAAAACGGGGAAGAGAGTTTAGCCCTCACTATTTTAACCAAGTGCTGCTTGGATAGGCTGGGCTGAGTCCCCACTAAGGAAAAGACTGCTGAAATGGACATAAAGCCCCGCCTCAGCTCTGCGGACGGGCTGTGCTGTGCACCTTGGCCTTGCTGCGGAGCACCTGCTCCTCCTTGCGGTCCAGCTCATCCTGCATCACCTGCTTCTCCTGCTCCAGCTCTGTGACCCGCTTTTGGAGCTTAAGGAACAATGACATGTCCAGAGGTACCTTCTTCTCACTTGGCTCCTAAACACCAGGAATCACAAGATGGTCAAGACAAGCCAGAAGACATACAAGTCAATGAGAAAATGACAAATAGAAAAATAGGCAAACTTACAGAATAAGAAATACAAACATCTAGAGAATATATTTTAAAAATGCTCAACCTAGCTAACAATGAGAGAAATGCAAATTAAACAACACTGAACTGCTACTTCTCCCCTATCAGACTGGCAAAGACTAAAAAGATTCATGATGCTCTGTGTTAGCCACAGTGTTTCATATGATATTGGTGGAAGTAAAGGTAGGCCTTTGAAAAGGGCGATTTTGCTGAACTTAATAAAATTTAAATGTGCATACCTTTAACCTAGCAAATCTACATTTAGGAATTAATCCTACAGAAATACTTACACAAGTATATAAAAATATATGGAAAAAGATGTTCATTGCAGCATTTTTTTTTTTGTAATTGCAAAAAACTGGCAAGAATCTGAATGTCAGTCAATAGGACAGTTGCTTAAATAAATTACGGTATAGCCAAACTGTGAAATATTTTTTAGTTGTTAAAAAGAATGAAGTAGGCCAGGCCGCGGTGGCTCATGCCTGTAATCCCAGCACTTTGGGAGGCCGAGGCGGGTAGATCACAAGGTCAGGAGCTCAAGGCCAGCCTGACTGCAACATGGTGAAACTCCATCTCTACTAAAAATACAAAAATTAGCCAGGTGTGGTGGCGCGCGTTAGTAATCCCAGCTACTCATGAGGCAGAGGCAGGAGAATCGCTTGAACCCAGGAGGCGGAGCCAGTGAGCTTGAAAGCAGGCTATTTGAAAATACACAGTCAGAGGAGATGAAAGAAAAAAAAAAAAAAAGAATGAAGTATATCAACATGAGCAGATAAATATGTCTTAAAGTATTACATGAACATACAAACTGCAGGACAGAAAATATACCTTGTTTTGTTAATAAAACACAAACGTATGTGACTTTTAAATGTACACCTAGCACATGCATATAAAAATTTGGAAGGCCATCAATGGTTATCTCAGAGGACGGAATGTACTATGGGAAAGTTTCATTTCTTTACATAGTACATTCCTATATTTAAATTGTTTACAATGGGCAGGTTCTACATTTGCAATCAGGAAGAATGATTTTTGAAAATATGAAATGCCAGCATAAATATATTGAGATCACACAGAGAAAACTAAAATCTGAAAAACCAAAACATATACAGTCAGCCCTCCATATCCTTGGGTTCTGTATCTGTGGGTTCCACATCCTCTCAGATTCAACCAACTGTGGATCAAAAATATTCCCAAAAAAACCTCCCAAACAATAAAAATAAAAATGATTATCACATTTTTACTGTTAGATTATTTACTGCCTCTTCAGAAAACAGTGAAAAGAGTTTAGCCCTCACTACTTTAACAAAACGCTGCTTGGTTAGGCTGGGCTATGTCCCCGCTAAGAAGAGACTCCTAAAATCGACATAAAGCCCAGCCTTGGCTCTGTAGATAGGCCTACACTGCGCACCCTGGCTTTTTATTACAAATAAACAACAATACAGTATCATAACTGTTATACTGCATTGTTTACATAGCATTTATATTGTCTTAGGTACTACAATATGCTGTATTTGTCTTAGGTATTAAATAATGTTTTATTTAACTATATATTTTCTTAGGTATTAAATAATGCTATAGTTACATAGCTTGTCTTAGGTATTATAAGTAACGTAGAGATGACTTAAAGAATATGGAAGGATGTGCATAGGTTATATGTAAATACTACTGCATTTTACATAAGAGACTTGAGCATCCTTAGATTTTGGTATTCATGAAAGTCCTGAAGCCAATCCCCTGTGGAAACCAAGGGACGACTGTATAGTTCTTAATAAACTGAAGAATAACCTAATAACATTTTAAAAGTGTGTCAACTGGTTCCAAAACAGAATCACAGTGAGACCTACTAGGATAAATAAAGGTACACTAATTAAAGCTTAAAAATAATGGAAACAACTAACCATCATCATGGAAGTTGTGGGTGCCATAATTGTTTTAACATGTTTACTTAAGGTTTTAATTTTTAATGAGGTAAGAAGAGAAATAATTGTACTATTAGAATTAATGTAGTAGAAGTTAAAGAGTCCCTTTGTTAGAGAGACAGAAGTGAGGATGGAGGAGCAAGAGAATGGCAGCAATCATCTATTTAACTAAACGGTCAATGTATAATTATTAAATGATTGGCAAATCTACCCAATTGTTTAAAAAGAGAATATTTACTTTTGCTTTTCTGATATGAGAGCAGAATAAGCTTTTATAGAAAATTTAGGAAATAAGAAAGGTTCAAAGAAGAAAAACACACCATAATCCTATCTCCACAGAAAAACTATAATTTTTTCTTAGTCTTTTTCTCTATGCATCTATAGATTTAAAGAATTAGAATAATATTGTCATTATAATTTTATATGATCTTTTAAACTTGGCATTGCATTGTTTCCCAAATTTATGATATTTAAATATACAGTCAGGTGTGTCACCATTTGCTTAGCTATTATTTTACTGATGGGTGTTGAAGTTGTTTCTAATTTTTTGCTGTTGGAATATTACTGAAATAAACACTCCAGTATACAAACATCTAAATATTAACTTCTTAAAAGCCCATCAAATTGGCCAATTTACACTTCTATCAGTAATCACCACCTTGCCTTGAACAGTAGTGACTGTTATAATTAAAAAAAAAATTTAGCTCAGTTAATAGACCAAAAGTGGAACTTTGTTGTTGATTTAATTTGCATTTCTTTGACTTTTTTTTTTCTTGGATGGAGTTTTGCTCTTGTTGCCCAGGCTGGCATGCAGTGGTGCAATCTCGGCTCACTGCAACCTCCACCTCCTGGGTTCAAGCAATTCTCCTGCCTCAGTCTCCTGAGTAGCTGGGATTACAGGCGCCTGCCACCACACTTGGTTAATTTTTTGTATTTTTAGTAGAGACAGGGTTTCGCCATGTTGGCTAGGCTCGTCTCGAACTCCTGACCTCAGGTGATCCACTGGCCTGGGTCTCCCAAAGTGCTGGGATTACAGGCATGAGCCACTGTGCCTGGCCTTCTTTGACTTTTGAAGAGACGGAATAATTTTTATTTTCAGGAATTGTATATTCATTAGCTACCTTTGGTCTTTTGTGAATTCAGAGTAGTGTTAAGTGTTATTCCAGTTCTAAAAACAACCCAAGAAGAATCAACTGAACAAAGAAGTAGGCATTTACAGGCTGTCAAAGTCATTTGTCCACAAATTAATTACACCTGAACTTTTTCTTTCTGCCTACTTTGTAATACTCAACAATTAGAAAAAGTTTAGGTATATAATCTTTATAATAAAGTCTGTCCTGACTTAGCAGAACAGATATAACATCTTGCCACAACATGAAATCACTATAGAATTTCATTCGTATAAAAATTCTTTTCTATATGTCCCCCATAAAAATTAAGCATAAAATATTTACATTGATGCTTATTTACAATTTAAACATTCCATATTATATATTTTAATGTTTGTTCATTATGAATGATGTACATGTCCCTGAAATTTTAAATTATTTCATCTTTTCTTACACTGTCATAGAACCTTTCGTTCCAGAAATGAATGTAATATTTCATTCATTATACCTAAAATATCATTTGGAAATCATTCCTTTGAGCCTTGAATGGGCACTTTTTGTTTAAAAGGAAGCCTCTTATTAAAATGGGATGGTGTTTTGACAACTAGAAGTAGCAAAAAAAAAAAATGAAAAGAAAAAAATGTGATAAAAAAACTCTTCAGACATCGGTTAATACTACATAAACAACTAGTTGATTGCTGGACAAGAGCAAAATTCTGTGGATAAGAGTATTAAAATAGAAGATAGAAGATCACAAAAGATTACATGTGAAAAATGCAAAATGACTTAAGGCAAAAATATTGGTAATTATTTAAGGGTGCTCCCGATGGTGCCCATTCTGAGCCCTGATGACACGTCTAACTAAAGAGATATCCTCGCTATACCCCATGAACAAGATGGAAGATTGGGCCATCTGTTACAGAGAAGTTTCTGAGGTTTTGTTTCGCTTTCTTGCCTTAGTAAGGACTTTGTCACCCAGGGCTTTTCTAAGACAGCGAAGCTCTTTAACTGACCTAAAAAATAACACTAGTCTCTCATCTGAGGAAAATCAAAATAACTGAATGTAGTCACAAAATTACCACCATTACAGGCCTGGCAGTCATTCTGAAATAACTCCTAATGATAGCTGAGAAAGTTCTGGTGACCCTTCCCCAGATGTGAAAGGTGTGAGAAAGCCTGAGAGCAGAAGCAGAACAGGGATCATCAGTCAACGGCTCCTAGAAGAGGTGCACACCAAGCAGGAGGAGCACTGGTTCCAAAGCAACATCAACCCAGCCTGTGAAGATCTGCAAGCGCAGGAGGGCTGCAAAACAAGTGGGGCCAGCAGAGGAATTCTCCAGAGAGCTACAGACTGGTTTCCAGTGAGCACACCTTTTTTATTATGGCTTCCCCTTACCAGCAGGAGCTGCTAAAGTGGTACTACACTGGACTGGGCAGTTTGTAAATGTACTTCCCTCCGACTATTGCAAGTGAGAACTCCCACTGAGATCAACAGGATGTAATCCTAAAACCTTCCTATCTATCGAAGGCTCAGAAGTCCTAATTTTAAGTCTTCAAAGTCTAACTTTGTGGTATGATGGCACCAATGATTCTTCTCAACATACAAGTCTTTCCTCCCAACAAGAGATGGAATCTATCCTCTTTGCCTTGAATCTGGGCTGGCCTTGTGATTTTCTTTGACCAGAATGTGGCAGAACTAACACTGGGCCAGTTCTGGGCCTAGCTCTAAGAGGCCTGGTATCTTTTAGCCTCTCACTCTTAGAACCCACCTACCTGCTGCTGAAGAGAGGCTACATGGAGAGGCCCAGGGAAGAGAAGCAAGCACTCTACAGAATGCAGCTACATGAGGCACTCTGACCACCACCACATGGAGCAGAAGAACTCCTCAGTCAAATCCCACAGAATTATGAGTAATAATAAATTAATTAATAATAAATAAAAAATAATAAATAACTGTTTTTTAAAATTTGAGATCAATTATTACATAGCAATAGATAACTGGAAAAACCTCTATCCTGCTATATACTGGCCATACTGTTATATCCATGGGCCCAGCCAATGTTAGCTATAGATAGAAAAGGGATTTGGAGACTTGCAGTGTAGAATCCCTGGATGGAAGTCAGTAGAATACAATGGCTTAAGAACATGAATTCTAAAGAGACAAGCCTCAGTTAGTATGCTGGATCTACCATTGATAAGCTGTGAACTTGGACAAATTCCTTAGCCTTCTTGTATGTATGATTCCAATGATATGACATTCCAACTATATAACATTTTTCTTCAAAACAGAATGAGATGGCAGAAACTTCATTCTTAAGTAGAACTAAGACAAGAAAGGAAAGAATCACTCAATTTCTCTAGCTATTCTGCCAGAAGCAGTCTATTTCTGATTTGGTCATTTTCAAAGAATATAATATAAAAATAGTACGGTTGTATCTGAATTATCCATTATTGAAACTATATCATATTTAAAAAGATCTTAGAATTGGTTGGGAATAATCTAACTAGAAGTCACTATACTCTTGGAGTTACAGTAATACATCATTTTGGTTTCATACAACATAACACAAAACATTAAAGCAGATTTCTAAACTATTTTCCATGCATTTTGTAGAAGAAAGTTACATTGGTAAAAACTGGCAAAAAACAGAGGCAGCAGTTTTGCTAAACTCTGGGGCACCAGTGTTTATGATATTCAAGGACAAAGGGCTTACTTGAAAAATAATTTACCTCTGTCTACAGCGGTGGTCTATAGATATAAAGTAAATAATCAATAAATAAATAAATAAAATAAAATAATTTACCTCAGTCTGAAATAAAATCCTGTATACACACCATGTTAGGGGTAAAAGAGAATTACAAAAATAAAATCTCACCATCAAAATTGCATTAAAAATTAAAATTAAAATTTGTATTGACAAAAAAATATGCAATAGGTATGTATGTACATAGCACTTAAGTGTACAAAAAGGTAAATAAGATAAGTTTGTATCTACAGGTCACTTATGAAGAATAAATGATTCAAATAAATACTATGTTTATGGCCAATTGGAGTCTGCTCTGCAATGGAAATGTTCCTTGTTAACAACAGCATGCTCACATCCTACTTTCAGTCTAAACTGTACCTCTGTCCTCGATGGAATGTCTTCCATTTCTGCAATTTCAGAGCTAAAGGTATATTCAGATTCGTTGCTGCTGTGGGTGGAGTCTGTCCTCCTGTGTCCAGGCTTAGGCACATGCTGCAAGGCAAATAACCCAGGTATAAGTAACACAACATAATTAGTCTAGGCATAGTTAAGACAGCATCCACCTTGACTTGGTTCTTATCCCTACTGCCTGACTTGTATTGGTGCCCAAGTGATCTGTTCCATATTGTTTTGACCAAATAATTACAAAAAGGTCACCTCTTCAAAGAAAAAGGTACACTGGCATGACATGACAGGAACAGCTGCAAATCCAAATGCCCAAATAAAAATCACTTGTGATTATTAGTGGAGTACCCTTTGGGTGTTGAAAACTTTGAGTGGTCAGTCACACTGGGTGAAGCAGTGCTCAGTGAAGCACTGGGTAAAGCTTCCAAGCACTGACTTTAGTGCTGTAATCAAATAAAACTTATCAAAAACCTCATAAAATATATTGAAATGGCATGCAGAGTCATTTTACTGCATGGTAATTAGGCAAAAATGGTTTAAAGGAAAGATGAAGGAGTTCACACAGGCAGCTCTAATTTCTGTCACTTTAATACGCGCAGTCAAATCTTTGGAGTGAGCAGTGGGCAGGATGGACAGTACAGGGGAGGTAAGAAAGCCGCTCTAGTAATCCTCCGAAGAGCCCTCGGTTATTACCTCAGGACATCCGGGTGGCATTTTTATGACATGTAATACCTAGGAAATTAGTGTTCAGAAAGCTTATGGGGAATAGAAAAGTTTAGCAATGACACATCCTTCCCTTCTGTAGGAGAAGGGGTTAGAGAATAACCTGAGGGAAGAAGGAATTAAAAGGCTGGGCTCTTAGCATGTCCCCAGCAGGAGAGATGGAAAGATCCAGTGGCCTTAAGCTTTCAATGTTACAGTCCTGAGGGCTTCAGAAAGGCCTCCAAGAGCTTTCTCATCTGTCCAGTTTTCTTTGTACCTTTCCCCAGCTGCTGGAAAAGAGCTGGAAGCCACAAAGAGCTTCTTTGTCTCTTCCCTTCCTACACCCAGGCTTATGGAGAGAAGACTCATCCAGAGACTTAAAAGTCTCCCAGGCCAGCCCAACCTGTACTGCAAAGCGAAGGGAAGATCCAAGAACACCAGCACCTCTGAAACAATCCAGAAGCTGGGGTGCACACTAAAGGGGATAATCATCACAGATGAAGTCCAAGGCACTCAAATTCACTGTCTGTTTACAGACACAGGCACTCTTACTTAAAATTTCCAGCCCAAGACCACAGTTGTATGAATGGCATTTATTTAATAAACTGGTTGTATCACTAAGAAAAACAGGTAGTCCAGATAAACACCAGGACAAAGATTTTTAATAAGCTTATTAAATATGAGAGAGATCCCTGTCTTCCCACATATATCTATCATTATACAAGGAATACCTTAAGACATTAATAGAAGCAACACTGCTTGTTGCTATTTAATGTAACTTTTGGATACAGGGCAGTGGTTAAGTGCTCTGGGTCTGAAAGGAGACAGAGCTAGGCAGGAATACCAGCTCTTCCACTTACTTGTCCCTTACCCAACTTTTCTAGGCCTCAGTTTCATCATCAGGAAAAAAAGGGTAGTAATTTCTATCTCATAGGGTCTGTGTGAGGATTAAATAAGAGTGTGCAAGTAAACAGTCTGGTGTGGCATAAAAAGCATTCAATGAATGTTAACTGCTGCTGCCGTGATTGTTAGGGGACTGCAGTGATTCAACAACTTCCTTGTTGGTAACTTTTCAGTTCTCTGTTTTTAGGATTTTGCTCCCCGGTTTATATGTTTTTCAACTACAAGGATATATATTTGACTGGATCAATATGTTCTCCTTCAAGATCTGCACCTCCCTCCTCTTCTGCTCCTGATTTCTCCCATGATTCCTTCTTTTCCAGAACCTGTTTTATTCCCTTTGCCAAGACTAATGACCCCACGATTGACAAGCTGGTTTCCCTCCACTCTCTGGAATTAATTTACCTTTAAATACTTCATACGCCTGTATTCCCATGCCTCATCAGCTTTTCTTCATTGGCTTGAAACTCCTTAGCCCTGGATTGGTCCTTCCTCATTGCCTCTGCCCCTGTATTGTCTGGACAACCCAATGTTCTTGGAGAAAAATGCTACAACACTTCTTATACTAGGGCCAACAACTCTAGAGGCTGGTAATAAGTGACACTATTAGCTTACTAGTGTTCTTTGGCCCATGTATCACATAGGTTATGGGAAGCGCTGGAGGCAGCTTATCAAGTCCCCTCCCTAGAGTTTCCTCCATTCATATGACAACTCTGTTTACGACCAAATGCTTCATTAGCTCTGGATAGAAGCAGTGAGAATGCCATTTCCAGAAGAGTGTCAGTCTAATATTAGTCAAGTACTCATCTGTTAGCTGTTCAGTTGTACCTAAACATTAAAATAAGATATTGTCGCTAATATTTTAATTGTCTTGGGTTATAAGATCAAGTTTTTTATTCTCTGCAATTCTGGGCAAATATTTTCTGCAAAACCTGTGATCTGGACTACATCTGGAGCTAGGAAATGAGATCTAGTGAAGAGATGAGTGGAAAGCAAGCGAGCTCTTATCTCCCTTCCTCTGCTTTCTCCTTTTCCCTTCCTCTGACCATTTTGTCTCCCAAGAGGAATGACAGTGAGTCACAGGCATACACAATGGAGAGGACACACGACTGAGAAAAAAGAAATTCAGCAACTAAAACTACCCCTAGAGCACTGCTGGGAACAGATGGAGAGCAGGCAGACTTGCTTAGAAGAAAGGAGGAGCTGTGTCAAGCTGCTGGAGGATGGTGTCACTGGAGGGCCCTTCTAGAAATGGCCACCTCCTTGACTAAAGAGACCCATGACCTCCTCACAGATGGATGTCTCTGGAATATGCTCAGAGAGGGATACATGTATGGTACCTGCTTCTCTCATTTTATTTTCTGAAATTCATATTGCATGCACTATTAAAGAATCCAAGAAATTCTGCAGAAAAGACATCTGTTTATCTCTGTTTAACCTGGTAGATTACATTTATTTTACCTCAGAATTTCTTCTCCAATGCCACTTATTAACATCCCAAATAACTAGGAGGTCTCAGAAACACCTACTTATAGGTTATAAAGTTTAGCTCTAACCATAACTGAAACAGAGATTAACCATAAATGTTGGCAAGGTCATCTAATAAATACAGTGAACAAAAATATACCAAAGAATGGAACTGGGGAACATAAACACTGAAAAAGAAGAAAAGAATTCTAGAGAAAGCTAAGAATTACAGAATGTGAAGGAAGAAAGGTTTCAATGGGACCAAGGGGAGCATGGTGATCAAGGAAGATGAAGCTTAACAAGGGTCTTTAGATTCGTCAATTATAAGAACAGTTATAATGGTCACTTGCATCTACTTCTAATTTCTCTTTGTCACACATAAATCAGAGTAGTGAGGGTTGAAATAATGGTCCAACGTGGCATTTATATTAGCTTTTTAGTCTCTTTTAGACAGGATTTTCTCATCTGCAAGGTGATGAGAGCCTATCTTTCGTATTACATAATCTCTTTTATTTTGACTTTTTAAGTGTCATATTGTAATGAACTTTGTCAGTAGGTCCAGATAGAAGCAAAATTTGAAGCAAATACTCTGCTCCACAGATACTGAATTATCTGGCTTTTTATGAGATATTTCAAAGTATTTCTGGTCATTTGTATAATTAGGTTACCTTTAAGGCTAGTACTCGTAGGCAGCAAGAGAACTTGGGAACTCTTTGTTTTCTGATAGCAGGATATGTGGAATAGGGAGGATGTGCAGAATTATTACAAGTATGAAAGGTACATTGGTAAATGCAGAAGAGTCCTTGAAATAGATAATTCATTATAAATGGAGTCTGAATTTTCTTTTCATAGGAATATGTCTTCGAAATTATAATCAAAATCAGTCTATATGTAAATGTTTCATTAGGCCATTCAATATATGAAACAAAGTCCAACTGACTGGGTGCAGTGGCTCATGCCTGTAATCCCAGCATTTTGGGAGGTGGCCAAGGCGGGTGGATCACTAGGTCAGGAGATCGAGACAATCCTGGCCAACATGGTGAAACCCCGTCTCTACTAAAAATACAAAAAATTAGCCAGGCATGGCAGTGGGTGCCTGTAGTCCCAGCTAGCTACTCAGGAGGCTGAGGCAGGAGAATCAATTGAACCTGCGAGGCAGAGGTTGCAGTGAGCCGAGACTGCGCCACTGTACTCCACTTGATGGCAGAGCGAGACTCCGTCTCAAAACAAAAACAAAAACAAAAATTCAACTGTACTGACTTTATACTATCATTTAGCCCAGTCTTTAAAGTGTTTGACTTTACTGAAGTACTTGTGCATAAAATTATATTATTTCTGAGATTTGCTTTAAAATAATCCAATCCATTGGATGGAGCGGGTTGGGGAGATGGAACGGGAGGTGAGTATGTGTTGAACATTCTGGAATTGGGTGGTAGGCACACGGAAGATATGGAGGTTCATTCTACTATTCTATTTACTTTTGTATATGTTTAAAATTTTTCATTAAAAAAAGCAAAAGTGTTTGACTCACCACCATAAGGGTCATCTCTTCTTTGAGGTCATCATATCGTTCTTCTAGGCGACTGAACTCATTCAGAAGGTTCTGATATCTCAGTCTTTCATCATTAAGGTCGAGCTCCAGTTGTTTTGTTTCTTCTACTAACTTCTTCTCCATAGTTTCTGAAATTAAAAAAAGGATATGCATACCAAAGATGGACCCTTGAAAATGCAATTGTGTAAACACGTATACTGATTTCCAGCTTCTCTGCAGGGAATTTTACTTTTAGTATCACTGTGATTCATGAAGAGTGTCTTAGTAAAATTTAGGTAAAGAAAAAATGACCAAAAAATGAAATAATTTATTAATATTAACAATCATCTACTGAGTTATTGCCCGTACTCTGGCCTTAGTCCCACTAATTGATACACTGGTTACAGCACATCCTTGAAAAACTTCCACTAGTCACTGTCTAGTAACTAAACTATATGTATTTTTATTCCACTGGTATTTTATTCATAAAATTCTTTTGCCCAAAGTAGTATACTCTCTCCAAAAGTCAGAGATATTTCTCAAGAGAATGGCAACTTTTCAGTGGACCCAGCTGTCCTACTCTACAGAGTCTCTCTTCATTTACCATCTCATGGCTCTATCTTACATTTTCTATGACTTTAACCTCCCGTGCTGTCCTATTACTCTGCAGCTTCTAACCAGATAAAATGCTCAGGCTGGCCAGCTGTGTTGTGTGTTTCTTGGTCATCCCCCACGCGCTGCTGAGGAAACCTTGTCTTCTTTATTTACCTACCCCCTCCACCCTCTCTGCGGCTATGGTTTGTTTTTGGCTAGGACATGATCTGGAAATTGGAGATTAGCCCTTGACTGCAGATAAAGTAAAGTAACAAAACCTCAAATCTCAGCTATATGTCTTAACTCAATCAGTCAACCAGTCACATTTATAATATTAAGCTTCCTACCACTTTGCTCCATTTTACCCATATATTTTGAGGTTAAATCTTAATCTGCCCTGCCTGCTTCTATAGCTTCACCACTGCTTTCTCTGTGAGCACCATGAGGCAAGGGCTACAAGTGTCCTGTCACAGCTGCTTTCCTGGTGCCCACCACAGTGCTTCCCTAGAGTAGGGCTTTAATAATTTGTACATGAATGAATGAATTTCTTCTCTCTAAAACATTCTACAAGTTGCCTTTTATTCTCACCAGTTTGCAGAAGCTGTTCTGAGGCTACCAAAAAATTTTCCTTTGGCAAATTCACTGACATTTCTTTGTTCTTACAGTTCACTTTCAAATAACATTTTATGTTTTCCTAGAAGATTCTCATCATTCTGGATCCTTCTGTTACATGCTGCCTCCCAGCAGCCTTCTTTCCAGGGCTGTGTTTTCTCCTTCACCTCTTAATTTTATTTTCTGACTCCTTTTCTTTACCTCATCCCTTAGTATGGTCATTAATTCCAGGTTTTCTTCTCTTTCCTCTCTACTATCTCCTTCAAGTAGGAGAGGTGAGGCAGTCTCTCTTACCACCACAGTTTTAATGGGTATCTTTAGGCTCCCTTCTTATTTTTTCTCTAATCTTTAATCTGGATTTGCTTTCTGAACACCTCCATGTTGAGGTCCTGACTGACATCTCAAACTTAACACTCCAACAACTGGCCTCATTAATTTGCCTCATAAATGTGTACTCTTTTCTCAATATCCCTATTACTAATAACATACCATTATTGTTTTGTTATCTCATTGTAAAATCTTAGAACATTTTTGCCTTTTTTGAATACCAATGTAATCAACGGAATGTATATGAAAATGTACTATTTTCATATAATAAATCACCATTCCCAACCATCTTTTCTCTTCCATTTCCACCACTAATTACTGTATAGATCTGTATCTTCTTACCCCGTATTTATATATATGTGGATTCCTTATTAATTTATCACCTTTCTAACCTACCCCACAAACAGAAAACAGAATAAATGTCCATATCTGGTTAGTTCTCTATTTAAAAAATTAGTGTTTTTTTAGTTTAATAGCAAAAAGTGGTGAATCTTAGAATAACATCCATTGATTTAGTCAAAAAAAAAGACAACATACACACACACACACACATAAATATACACATATTAGCTCAAAAATTCGTACTAAAACATTAGGAATCCTATAAGCCTTAACTAACGAATCGTACATGCAGAACAAATTTAATTTTTTAAAAAAATTACTTATGACACTGACTGAACCTGAGTTCACATTTGTACCTAGAGATACCAGATTTACAAGTTTATCAACCAACTAATTCAACCAAAATACATGATCTCTTGCATCTTGGAACTTTGTAAATTTGCTGATGATAGCCTCAACTTTTAAAAATATTTAAACTCTAAATAACGTTGTGTAACTCATCAAGTAACACCGTAACTTATACAACTTTGGTGTGAGGTTGGTTGGCGTGTAGTACACGTGTAAGCTTTACCTGTCATCTCCTTAGCCTGCTCCACGATGCGGTGATTGAGGGCTTCTTTTTCTTGCTTCAGCAAAGTATTTTCTTCCTTCAGATTTGATACCAGCTATGAAATGAAACAATAAAGTGAGATGGCTGCAATGGACAGAGGAAGCCTGATGACCAAGGATAAAGACCATAAGCAGTCATTCCTTACTTCCACCACCTCTGTGCTTCCTGTCTTTGCCTGGTTATGTCTAGTAACCTTACCAACTGGCTCAAGCATTACTCCCTCCCAAGAGCCTTCCTGAAACCCTTTTCAATTAGTTGTCTTTTCCCTGTGCTACCACAAGACCCTGTATATGCTCTTTATATCCGTCACAAATGATTTACTTTCCTCTTTTACAGAATAGACTAGAAATTCTTGAAGGATAAGGATGGTGATGGTTTTTTACTTTACACCTTAAACATAAAAAATTGCCTGGCACTAAAGTTAGCATTTGCTCTCAAAGGTAATTGATATTACCTTCTCATTTCAATGCTTTCACATAAAGCTTATGTGTACCCATGATTCAAGTGGACAGATTAAGGAGGTTAAGAAGGATGTGAGGATATTTTAGTTTGGGAAATTCACTGAAAACCTTTTGATTCTCCCTGATATCTATGTTGAGAAAGAGAATTTCTTTTTCATCTCTCTTTAAGAGTTTTACAAGGCTGAGGCTGGGTGCGGTGGCTCACGCCTGTAATCCCACCACTTTGGAGGGCTGAGGTGGGTGGATCACGAGGTCAGGAGATCAAGACCATCCTGGCTAACACGGTGAAACCCTGTCTCTACTAAAAATACAAAAAAATTAGCTGGCGTGGTGGCGGGTGCCTGTAGTTCCAGCTACTTGGGAGGCTGAGGCAGGAGAATGGTGTGAACCCGGGAGGCGGAGCTTGCAGTGAGCCGAGAAGGCGCCACTGCACTCCAGCCTGGGCGACAGAGCGAGACTCTGTCTAAAAAAAAAAAGAGTTTTACAAGGCTGAGAACTAGTCCTTTTATTCCATGTTTAAATAAGCATTGACATTACAACAATGTCAATGTACTTAATGCCACAGAACTGTCCACTTAAAAATGGTGAAAATGGTAATTTTTTTTATAGTTTTTTCTTTCTTTTTTTCTATATATATATATCCTTTTCTCACCGTCTTTTTTTTTTTTTTTTTTTAATTATAAAGTTCTAGGGTACATATGCACAACGTGCAGGTTTGTTATATATGTACACATGTGCCATGTTGGTGTGCTGCGCCCATTAACTCATCATTTACATTAGGTATATCTCCTAATGCTATCCCTCCCCCCTCCCCCCTCCCCACAATAGGACCCGATGTGTGATGTTCCCCTTCCTGTGTCCAAGTGATCTCATTGTTCAATTCCCACCTATGAATGAGAACATGTGGTATTTGGTTTTCCGTTCTTGCTATAGTTTGCTGAGAATGATGGTTTCCAGCTGCATCCATGTCCCTACAAAGGACACGAACTCATCCTTTTTTATGGCTGCATAGTATTCCATGGTGTATATGTGCCACATTTTCTTAATCCGGTCTGTCACTGATGGACATTTGGGTTGATTCCAAGTCTTTGCTATTGTGAATAGTGCCACAATAAACATATGTGTGCATGTGTCTTTATAGCAGCATGACTTATAATCCTTTGGGTATATCCCCAGTAATGGGATGGCTGGGTCAAATGGTATTTCTAGTTCTAGATCCTTGAGGAATCGTCACACTGTTTTCCACAATGGTTGAACTAGTTTATAGTCCCACCAACAGTGTAAAAAGTGTTCCTATTTCTCCACATCCTCTCCAGCACCTGTTGTTTCCTGATTTTTTTAATGATCACCATTCTAACTGGTGTGAGATGGTATCTCAATGTGGTTTTGATTTGCATTTCTCTGATGGCAAGTGATGATGAGCATTTTTTCATGTGTCTGTTGGCGTATGAATGTCTTCTGTTGAGAGGTGTCTGTTCATATCCTTTGCTCACTTTTTGATGGGGTTGTTTGCTTTTTTCTTGTAAATTTGATTGAGTTCTTTACAGGTTCTGGATATTAGCCCTTTGTCAGATGAGTAGATTGCAAAAAGAAAATGGTGAATTTTACGTCATGTATATTTTAACAAACACACTCACAAAAGCTGACTCTTAACTTTCTAATTCTTTGCTGGATAAGGATTCCCAGGAAGGAAAAATCAAAACCAAAGGTAATTTTGCAAAGTACATAATTTTCATCTTTGGAATAAAATGTGTGCTTATGATGAGTAAAATCTGAATTCCTTTTTCTAAGCAAAAGTTTAAGAAACTCTGAAAACAAGAGCTTTAATAATAGGGAGAAAGCTGGCAGGCAATCTCTCATCATGTCAGGGGGCTTAGGACAGGAAAAGAGGGCTCCGGGGAGCAGGAAAGTTGGATAACCACACTGTGCCACACACAGCAGACATCAGTCCAGAACGTATCCCTTCCTAGGGCTGTCTTCTCTCCGCACTGATCTTGCCTTAACATCCACTCTCAGTTTAAAAAAAAAAAAAAAAAAAAAAAGCCCCAGCTCTCTGTGGGCTTTCAGGAGAGGCTCTTGTTTGGTAGGGGTACACAAGTCACCTATGGCGCTTTTTCAAAATAATCTGCCTAGCCCACACTCCCAGAGTCTGGATAGTTCCCTTTTTATATAAAAACTCCTCAGCAGTTTTGATAAATGCTCTTGGTTAGGAACCATACATAAATCTACTGTAACTTCAGGGCTCCTTGATCAGACTGAGAATGTCATTTTCCTGATCATGAAGCTGACTGTCACAGTGAAATGTTTTCATACTTCCCCTATCACTACATTCCATCAACAGAACTAATGGGGCCGGGTGCAGTGGCTCACACCTGCAATCCCAGCACTTTGTGAGACCAATGTGGGAAAACAGCTTGAGGCTAGGAGTTCAAGACCAGCCTACACAACATAGGAAATGCCTTCTGAATGTCTGAATTAATGGTAGTCCCTACAGCTATCTCTGTGAAAAGAGGAGAAAATGAAATGAAATGAAAGAAGACATGTGAATCTGCTTGTGTGTTTATTCTATCAGACTAGAAAGGCAAGAACTTGGCTTTAAAGTGGAAAGGAGAATCTTCCCACCACACTTAAATACTGGACGGATTCTGAGGAATCAGAAGCTGGAAAGCTTCCGTGGCTTGGGAGACTTAAAAGGAAGAAAAGAGATCTTAAACATTCAAGAGTATCTTTATGAGTGCACGTCTGAGTTCTGAGGGAACAAACTTGCCGTATCAAAACAACATTACATAAAACAGAAAAGAATCTCACCTTTTGGCACTGCTGTTTCTATATATAGAGTACAGATCTAGAGATATAGCAGGAATTACTTTATTGGAACCTCGAATGCGATGGAAGGACTGCAATTTTACCAGCCACCCTACCCTAACCGACCTGCATCTAAGTTCCTGCTGTGGTTCTCACTGCATATGCTGCTATTCACATTTAGAAGCCAGTACAGACAAACCATATCAGGATTCTTGCCAGCAGTTACAGCTGACACAGGCAAGTCTGTTTTCATTTAAAGTTAGTAATACCAGTGGAATCTCTGAAAATTGATTACTTTTTTCCAGGAAGCCTAATGTTGAGGTACTTTTACAAATGTTTCAGCAGTACATCTCATTGATAATCTTACTTGATAATCTTAATGTCTTCTAATAATAAAGTTTTGATATGTTAATACAAATTTGTAGCATGCAAGTACTGGTCAATCTGAAAGCATTTTGTGGGGAGGGTTCCATCTGCATAAAGCTATTGGTTGCAATCACTGTGCATTTAGATTTCTCCTGCTTGGACTTCTTAATACAGCCTTAATGCAGGCTTCCACAAGGATCCCTACCATCAGGTACTAAATATTATGCCTAATGTTCCATTATTGGAACACTAAGCATGTGGGAGTTATTTATATCCTACTGCTCAAGGTCATTGCCAAAGATTGATTCTGCAATTCAAAAAACTGCAACCTTAGGCATAAATGGGTTAATCACATTAACCTTACTGAAGAAAAAGGAGTCTATGCCCCAGACTGACTGTTTTTTTTTTTTAAACGAGTCTATGCCCCAGATGGACTTCTTTTATTTTTATTTTTTATTTTAATATACGAGTGTTAGTAGGTACTTGGCCATTCTCTCCTAAAAATACTGCTCTGCCTCTGTTCTTATTAGAGTCAAAAGTTCTGCTAAAAGACCTGCAGCCTACTCATTCATAATGTGAAATAAACACTTAGGAAACAGTAATAATTAACAGTAATTCAACTAAAATTTGTACTACATTTCTAATAAAACCAACAGTGAGTCACATGGACCAAGTCATGATGACAGCACATTTCCTTTGTGTATGGAGTAGATAGGGATATGGACATTATTCCTACCTGCTCTGTTTCTTGTTTGTATTGATCTGCACGTTCCTCAATGCATTTTTTCTCTGAACGAGTTTGCTCCAGATCTTTCCGGAGCTTGGCAATTTCTTCCTGCAGACTAAGGACCCGCCCAGTGGCAACTTTCGCTTCCTCTTCACTTAGTTGAAGACGTTCTAAGTCACTTCGTAGTTTCTCAGTCTCAGAGTTGTATATTCCTTCCAGATTGGTTAGTTTCTCCACAAGGCATTTGTAGTCTTTGTTCTTTAAACATACACATAAATAACAATATGTATTTAGTGAGAAAACCATGCTTATTCATCATATTCATGCTGTATCGTCATAACACTGATATAGTATCTAACCAAAATACTAACTACAACATTTGCAATAGCACAACCAATACCTTCTAGGTGACACAAAGAGAGAAGAAAACAGGGACAAATAATTCAATTCTGTTTGATGGGGTAAGCAAGACAGATGTGATTTTCTCATAGTCACAAGGTGAATTACATAGTAAATTCTTAATTTCCTGATTCTTAACTCAGAAATAGGAGATCTATACTTGTTTTTGAAAACAGAACAAAATGTTGCTAAAAACCATGTAGTAGCTTAGTGATGCATAAGAATGATTAAAACAGCCTCAAAATCACAAGTTGGCCAGGTGTAGGGGCCCACACCTATAGTCTCAACACTTTGGGAGACCAAGGCAGGAGGATCACAAGACAGCAGGAGTTCAAGACCAGCCTGGGCACATAATAAGACCCTGTCTTTATAAAAACTTCTAAAATTAGCTAGACATGGTGGTGTGCACCTGTAGTCCTAGCTACTTGGGAGGCTGAAGCAGGAGGATCACTTGAGCTCAGGAGTTTGAGGCTGTAGTGAGCCGTGACTGCACCACTACACTTTAGCCTGGGTGACAGGGTGAGACTCTGTCCCAAAAAAAAAAAACAACATACACACACACACACACACACACACACAAATTTCTCACAAATCTTTGTTTACTACCTCAAAATTTCTTCCTGCTACTCAGAAAATCTTTCCTCCCATTTCATTCTGATCCCTGTTTTGCTTTGCTCTCCTTAGCATTTTTATATTCTTAACTACCTTTATATCATTTACATGTGCTAAAATATTAGTAACTATCTTCAATCAATCAAACTTTTATCTCTGCAATAGACTGCAAGTTCATCAGAAGCATGAACATCTTCCTGCTTCTTTTGCTATTTCAATGCTAAACAACTCATCTGTAAAATGAACATGATACCACACGAAAATAAATGATAATTACGACAGAGCATTACAAAGTATAAAATACAGTATGCCTGGTTCAAGCTGGTGTTTGAAAAATAAATAACATACAATGTGACTCTTGATCATAAAGGTTTGAAGCATTAGTAGATCTGTGTTCTCAAAAATAATTTCCTGCCAGGCATGGTAGCTCATGCCTGTAATCCCAGCACTTTGGGAGGCTGAGGCAGGAGGATTGCTTGAGACAACAGCCTGGCAACATGAGATCCTGTTTCTACAAAATAAAAAAATTAGCTGGGTGTGGTAGTATGTGCCTGTAGTCCCAGATACTCAGAAGGCTGTAGTGGGAGGATCACTTGAGCCCAGGAGGTTGAGGCTGTAGTGAGCTGTGAACATGCCACTGAACTGTAGCCTGGGTGACACAGAGAGTGAGACCCTGTCTCAAATAATAGTAACAATAATAATAATAACAACAACTTCCTGCCTTAGTTTTTGCAATTGTGATCCACCTTATGAGTTATAATTACTTTCATGCTCATTATGGAAATAAATATGGTCATAATTTTACTTTTTACTAAGACCGAAGGGTAAAGTCAAAGAAAAACAATATTGAAAATAATCCCGGTGGATTTCTTCGGGCATACTCCACTCTCAGGGCCCCCTGTGAAACACACCTGCTCATCGACTTTGCGCTGCAGCTGCATGATCTTATTCTCCATGCCGATGTGCAGCTTCTTATAGCGCTCCACGGAGCGAGCCTCGATTTTGAGCTTCTTTAGCTCACGCTTGGCCATCATCCGCCGGAAGCAGCACTGAAGGTAGATGATGGCATGCATGCTCCTCTTGTAGTGTGTGCGGGCCAGCCAGCCCCGGACTCGCTTTTGAATGATGACTGCTTTGTGCTCACGGAGTATCTGCAGAAAAGGATAAGGGAAAGCAATGTCAAGACTCTGGACTACACTCGAGATTATCAATCTATGTTGGGCTGAAAATCCATACATTACCTAGAAGAAAAGACACAAAAGTTGAATTGACAATGTACTAGGTAGATTATACATATCATAGATATATGGAGGCCACAAAATTATTTTTAAAAGTGATTTGAAAAGTAGACTTTAGAAGGTGATTTCAGAAACATAATAAAAATGTGTCATATGCACATATTATGTGTTTAATTCTAAGCAGAATATAGATTTGGAAGCTGTCTAAATAAAAAGCACCAGATTACCAAAAGAAAAACAACTTTTAATAAGAAAGAAAAAAATATATTAGGTTTCTTATTAGTATATGACTTCTGTTGGCAACAGATGATCCTCTATAAAATTAACAGAATCAGGCATCCTGTAAACTATGTGCTACTAAAATAAGAGATATCCCCACCACCCTGACTGCTGATACCACCTCACTACGCATTATTAAGCCCGCGCATGAGGACATGGGGTATGGGCAGCAAACTGTCTGTAGAGGCCAACACTTGAGGTGCTAAAAAGTTTGTAGTGATTTATTTATTTATTTATTTATTTATTTATTTATTTAAAGAAACTAAAAGACGACACTGTTGTTTACCACATTTGAGGAATACCATTCTAGTGAGGATTTTCCACTGCTATTTCAAATGTAGTAAGGATTCACTTTTGGGATTCAAAGGCAGGAGGGATGGGGCTTTAAAATGAAAGGTAAAAGTAACAAGATGTGAAACAAACTAATCTTACTTTTGATTTCATGTTACATTTCCTAAAAACAATCATGATATTTCCCTAAACTTACAAACAACTTACAACAAAAGTTTGCCTTATGAGATGAATTTGTTGTCACTAAAGAGCACCAAACAGAGACCATGTAAACATTTTCTAGGAAAGATGGAGAAGAAATTCTTGAATTTAAGAAGAGGTAGTCAGGCGCAATGACTCACACCTGTAATCCCAGCACTTTGGGAGGCCAAGGTAGGTGGTTCACATGGGTCAGGAGTTTGAGACCAGCCTGGCCAACATGGTGAAACCCTGTCTCTAATAAAATACAAAAATTAGCTGGGCGTAGTGGCGGGCACCTGTAATCCCAGCTACTCAGGAGGCTGAGGCAGGAGAATAGCTTGAACCCAGGAGGGAGAGATTGCAGTGAGCCGAGATCGTGCCATTGCACTCCAGCTTAGGCAACAAGAGTGAAAAGCTCCATTTCAAAAAAAAAACAAGAGAGAAAATAAAAGAAAAAGTAAACTAGAAAAATCTGGCACCTGTAGATTTTTATGTTTATAATTTTATGAAGTAACTCTTCCATGATACAAATGATATTTAAATATTATATACTTAAATACTTGTTGGTGATTATTACAAATGGACATAATACACCTCCTATCAAACTCTTTTTTTTTGCTTTTTTGAGACTAAGTCTCATTCTTGTTGCCCAGGCTGGAATACAATGGCGCGATCTAGGCTCACTGCAACCTCCACCTCCCAGGTTCAAGCGATTCTCCTGCCTCAGCCTCCCGAGTAACTGGGATTATAGGCGTGTGCCACCACGACCTGCTAATTTTGTATTTTTAGTAGAGACAAGGTTTCATCATGTTGGTCAGGCTGGTCTCAAACTCCTGACCTCAGATGATCCGCCTGCCTCGGCCTCCCAAAGTGCTGGGATTATTGGCGTGAGCCACCGTGCCTGGCCTTATCAAACTCTGAAAATGTAAAATCTCTGAAAGCATCGATTCATATATATAGCAGTTTAATAAGATCATTAAAAGAACACTTTCTATTTTTAGGTTATTGCACTTGATAAAAATAATGACTAAAATGTGTCATCCTAGAAGATACATTTAATAAATAAGTGGTTAACTTTTAAACCATCAAATACAAAGTGAACACAGTTGTTCAGGAGATCTGAGTAGTGTCTTCAGCCCCCTCAAGCCTGCCTTCTGTGGTTGTTTTCCTAATGCGAAGGTAGCCTTCAGTTTTCCTTCAGTGTAACCACTGCATCGCGCTGCACTGAGGTTGGGAGTTCTGAACGTTCACTGAACATCACAGTCTGGAGGGAGGCCTCTGTCTTATCCGGATGAGTAAGGAGCAACTGGATGAGTCTCAGTGATGGCAAATTAAAGACTTCTAAACTCAAGCAACACACAGCAGCAAAGCTATTAATGCCAAGTTTCCTGTCCCATTTGCTTCTCCCATGCAACTTTGGACACTGGTCCATTTTTGTAATTTTAGTCAAATGGAAACATTATCTAATCAGAGCTTCCATTTTCAATCTCACTTTCATCATGAGTGAGAAAAATTAATCAACACCTGTACTCTCTTTAAGACCCCCCCAAATCTCATGAAGGGGAACCTTGGACCTGAAATACAGCTAGAAGGAGTACTAATGTGATGGCTGTTGGCTTACATGTGAGCAAGCCTCTATGCTGCTACCTTCCACCCTGTCCAATCACAGTGGGAGCCTGAGCTGGCCAGAGGCTGCTACTGCTAAACCAGTGGCCTCAAAACCCAGCTCAGATGTTCCTAAGGAGAGTAGTGAGGAACACAGGAAGGTAACTAGTTTGGTATATCTGAAAAGCCAACTTCAAACCTCTTTCCTCCCTAAAATCTCACGCCTATATAGAAAGAGCATGAGACTACATAAAAGAGGGGTAAGCAGAAAGATCTGGAGTAGCTATCTTCAAAACACAGCTATTAAATACACTCATTCAAGCCTCATCAGTTTCGAATTTTTTTGTTGTCTAAAATCACTTCAAATAAAAAAGTAAAATAAATAAATAAATATATAAATAGGGCCTAGGTCACACCTATATACTGCCTGTGCTTAAAGACCCAAATCACCCTATTAATGCTCCTTCTAATGGTAATGTCCATAGAGTTCTAACATCCAGGCTTATATTTCTTGCTTATTTGAAATATATTCTATAGGATAGATTCCCAAACCTTGCCAAAATGAAAGAGATAAAAATCGTTCATCAATGATCACAGGTGATAATTAAGACTACTCTGGTGACCCTGTTAATTATCGCTAGATATAAGATTATTCGTCAAACACTTTTGGAGCATCATACCTGTCAATACAATTTTAACCACATTAATGTTGTAATTTGCCTCCTCTTCACCATGGTAAATTCTTCCAAGGTTGTCTCATTCTTGGAATAACCTTCAACCTGTTTGTCATATATTCTATCTATTCAAAGTTCTCTGTAGTCATCTGAATAGTGGGCCCCAAAGAAATTAGGTGCTAATCCCTGGAACCTGCAAATGTTAACTTATTCAGAAAAAGGGCCTTTGCAGATGTGATTAGGTTAAGGGTCTTCAGATGGGAGGATTATCCTGGATCACATGGGTGGAACCTAAATGCTATCATAATTATTCTTATAAGAGGCAGACAGAAGAATCAGATACACAGAGGAGAAAATGCTGTGAAAACAGAGGCTGAGACTGGACTGATGTGGCTACAAGAGACTGGACTGATGTGGCTACAAGCACAGGAATGCTGGCAGCCACCAGAGGCTGCAAGAGGCCAGGATTCTCCCCTGGAGCTTCTAGAGGGAAAGCAGCCTGCTGACAACTTGATTTTGTCCCAGTGATAATGATTTTGGACTTCTGGTCTCCAGAACTCTGAGAGAATTAATTTCGGTTGTTTTAAGGTAACAAGTTTGTAATAATTTATTATAGCAACCACAGTAAACTAACATACTTTTTTTTTCAAATTATATAAACAAAGAGAAAAAAGGAGGTAAAAGATTTTTTCTCATTTCTTTTTTAATAACTATATGTGATTATTTAGTATTTTAAAATGCATTTCAGGCTGGGCATGTGCACAGTGGCTCACACTTGTAATCTCAGCACTTTGAAAGGCCATAGTGGGAGGACTGCTTGAGGCCAGGAGTCTGAGGCTGCAGTGTACTATGACTGCACCACTGCACCCCAGCCAGGGTGACAGAGCGAGATCCTATTTCTAAAAAAGAATTTTTAAAAATAAACAAATAGCATTTTAATAGCTGGTTGTCCCCATACAGTTCCTACATTCATCGTAGCCCCTGTAATGCTAATAGAATGAATAAACAAAGTTGAAAATAATGCCCCACCTTGCGATACCTATTTCTGGCCAAGAAGCCTCGCAAGTAAGACTGAAGAACGATAGTGGCAGCTCGTCTAATCTTGTACCTCCTGCAGACCACAAACATGCGCCAGTACTTTTGAATGATGGTTGCTGCCTTGGTTCTGCGCAGAAACTTAGCATAGCTGGCCAAAGAAAATAATATTATGTTGTCAGTAATCAGAAAAAAATGCAGGAATACATGCTAGAGAAACGTAAAGAGTGTCACTGTTTTAGGCATAAAGAGTAGTACCTCCATTGTATTATTCTAATAATGTGCATGCTAAGTCAACATTTATATTTACTTACATTTGTATAGCAATTTACAGTTTCCCAAAGTATTTCTGCATTTATTATCTCATCTGAGCCCTCCCTAACTCTGAAAAGTAGGATGGCCCACATTGCCAGATTTTACAAGAAAGCAAAATTCATAAAAGTTCATTCTTTCTACAACAGGATCCATTTACCCTGGGCCATGCCCTCTTTATAGAGCAGACAGACATACACAGTAATCTCATACTTAGTTATCACCATCTTTCTTGGATCTAGCCATTATTAATCTACCATATTTTTCCTGAATTTGTGAGGGTATAAGTTCATGATTAATTCATTTCTACTTATACTTCTCAATTAAAATTAACCTAATATGTAATCACACTAAAGTGTAATTCTCTTCCAGACCCTCTCAGTTAACTGCTCCTGAAAATTATTCAATGAAGTCATTGTTAACTAGCTCATATTCATGACTGTTTTAATTTATACACGATTTCCTCAAGCCCAATATAAAAGTGTCAAAAATAAAAATTTTGAGGACATAAGTAAGCAGCAGTTTATAAATGTTTTGAAGATAAATCTGAATCATTCATATAGCTGAGTGAAATTTTATTCTATTTAGCTGTCCTATGAGTTAATTTGTTGTCCCTTGGAACTAAGAAAAGGTGAGGTGTTATCTTTTCAGCTATGGTGACCACTCAAAACTGTCCTCCGACAGTGAATTAGATGTGCACTCTAATCTGTCCCCAGGAGACCTACCATCGGGCCTGGTAGCCCCGCACGTATCTCTGCACGGTGATGGCTGCCTTCCGCATGCGTAGGTACTTCTTCCTCAGCAGCCACCCTCGGATGGTCTTCTGGATCCGGATGCAGGCAGCCCTCAGTTTGTCCGCTCTCAATTTTTCTAGATAGGCCACTTGACCGGCACGGAAAAAGATCTTTGTCTTACCAAACTGGTATTTGTCCTTGTCCTATTTTTGGAATAAATTGTATATTCAGAAATAATAATCATATAAATGAAATTTAAAAGAAAAAATGTCTAAAAGCAGAATCAGTAAAGGAATGAATCTATTAGCTAAAACTTGGGCTATATCACAATTAACTAATGGAGCCAGATTTTTAATCCTATGCAAGTTGAGCAAATAGAAGGGATTTTAAGAAAAACTGCAGTTTAAGAGTTATTTTCCAGAATTATTCTACCTGGAATTATTATCTGAGGCCCAAAACTTGGTTGTGGGTTATAGGCAGTTATTATTTGCTTGTTTGTGTTTTAAACATCTCAAGGAAATGGAGATGTTGACTCTCTCTGACTGACCCAGGTTGTAAGGATTACATCGGGCTGTATATTCCATGAGAAGCTGAAGGGACAAAAACACCAGTGTGAAGAATAAGGCAGGAAGAAACGCATATGAAATAAAATTCAAATAAAAACCAAAAACCAAAATTCTTGGGTATTCATATTGAGTTACATTTCTAAACAGTTATCTCTTGGCTTTATCAATATCTGAAAACAAACTAATAAAACCCCATTAATATGTTTAAAATCCTACAAATTGGCCAGGCGTAGTGGCTCACGTGTGTAATCCTAGCACTTTGGGAGGTCAAGGCGGGTGGATCGTGAGGTCAGGAGATCGAGAACATCCTGGCCAACATGGTGAAACCCTGTCTACTAAAATACAAAAAATTAGCTGGGCATGGTGGTGTGCACCTGTATTCTTGGAGGTACTTGGGAGGCTGAGGCAGGGGAATCGCTTGAACCCAGGAGGTGGAGGTTGCAGTGAGCCAAGATCACGCCACTGCACTCCAGCCTGGCAACAAAGCAAGAATCCGTCTCAAAAAAAAAAATCCTTTTAAACTCCTTTTACAAAAATATAACCATTTATATTACATTGTGATTCACCTTATCTAGAAGTATACAAATCATTAACCATTCTTGCATTAAAGAATGGAATGTATGTATAAGAATCATCACTGTGATCTGAAATTCTTTTTTTTTTTTTGAGACGAGTCTCGCTCTGTCTCCCAAGCTGGACTACAGTGCTGTGATCTCGGCTCACTGCAGCCTCCGCCTTCTGGGTTCAAGCGATACTCCTGCCTCAGGTTCCTGAGTAGCTGGGATTATAGGTGAGCACCACCACGTCCAGCTAATTCTTATACTTTTAGTGGAGACAGGGTTTCACCATGTTGGCCAGGGTGGCCACAAACTGGGCCTCAGGCAGTCCACCCGCCTCGGCCTCCCAAAGTGCTGGGATTAAGGGCATGAGCCACCATGCTCGGCCATGTGATCTGAAATTCTAACGGAAAACAGAGAAAACCATTTTTCCCTATAAGTAGATATCTTGTCATGTCTCATACATGAAACCAAAAAATCAAAAACATCCACATATACCTAAAAAATCTAAAATTATTTCAATTTAAATCAATAAAGTTTACATAGGAACCCTAGCTAGAAAAGCGGTCCTTACCCCTGACCCGCTTCACACCTCACACCAGTCCTGCCTCCATCTTTCAGCCTCCTCTGCCTAAATTCCCGCAAAGCCCTGATCAGGCCTGAAGTGGCCTGGGTGAGGGGACCAGGCATAGGCCTGTTCCTTTTCTGCTCTACATTCTCACCTGAACACAGGTTAGAAGGGGATTGGGCAGGCTGTGCACAGTGGCTCACACCTGTAATCTCAGCACTTTGGGAGACTGAGGCAGGCAGATCACGAGGTCAGGAGTTTGAGACCAGCCTGGCCAACATGGTAAAATCCTGTTTCTACTAAAAATATAAAAATCAGCTGGGTGTGGTGGTGCACACCTATAATCCCAGCTACTGGGGAGGCTGAGGGAGGAGAATGGCTTGAATCCAGGAGGTGGAGATTGCAGTGAGCCGAGATCATGCCACTGCACTCCAGCCTGGGTGAAAGAGCAAGACTCTGTCTCAACAACAACAAAAAAAAGGGAATTGGTGCAAACTCAAAAAGCCCCAGTTTAAAAAAAAAAAAGCATTATTGAGGAAGTGAACTTAGCTCTTTCAAGGAAAAAATATTATTAACAACAAAGGGGCATTACATTTAGTTCACAGCTAGTCATTATGATCAATTAGCTCAAAGTGAGGTACTCCATCTAGGCTAGTGTCAACCAAGTGAAAATATTTTTTTAAAAACCTTTCATGAATCTTTAATTCTCTAAGACCAAAATCAGTAGTTCTCAAAATGTAGTCCTCAGACAGCATCGGTATCACCCGGGAAATGCAAATTCTTGCGCCCACCTCAGACCTACCGAATCAGAAATTCTGATGGCGGGGCCCAGAAATCTGTATTTTAACAAGCATTCCAGGTCACAGTAAAGTTGTGGAACTCTTTAGCCTGACCTGCAAGACTCTCTGTAACATCAACCTACATTTCCTAACCATTTCTCTACTGTCCCATACACAAATCTCACACTGCAAAAAACTGTTTTCTCAGCAAACCCTACGCTTACCTTGCTTTTTACTCCCTCTTATAATATTCTCCTTCCATTTTTGCATAACCTTACCCATTCTCAGGGTCTGACTTAAAACACACCTCTTTCATGAAATCTCTCCTTCCCATAGCTAGACGTGGCTTTGTCATCGCAATTTCTTGTTCCACTCATTCAGCATTTGATATAGACACTACGGTTAAATATTATACTTGTCTTCAAAAAGTATTACTTTCCAAGTAAGACTATATTACCTGAGAACAAGACTTATTTTTTCTTAATCACACAGCATTTGGCCTGGTGTCTTCCAGAAGTAAGTACTAGGTACATTTTTATTAATAATAATCAAACTGTCTAAGAAGAATGTGTCTCAAGTGTGGGTCCAGGCCTCACAGCTCTGCCTCCTGACAGTGGACCATCATCCTCACTAGTTTCAGCATTCTAAACACAGTAGCGTGCCCCTCTCGGATCCCACCCTGAAATGATCTGGACTAGGAAAATTTTATACAAAAGTTCCTGGGGTTCTCCAAGGTCAGAACCACAAGGCCTTCTGCTCAGATGACCGTAAGTGAAATCTTTCTTACCAGTATCAGTTTCTCTAACACATTCTTGCATGTTTGCTTTCTGTCACTCAGCACATCTTTCTGCTTCATTAGGACACGGTAGCGGCTGAAAAATTCTTGGTAAGTCCACCTATTAAAAGAAAACTATCTGAGTTTACTTAAAGAACTAGGATCTTCTCCCATTAGGACCCCTTACATCTGAAAAATGCCAGGCTCACCGTGACGGGAAACCAGCCGCACTGATTCGGATGGTTTCCAGGACACCGCAAGCTCTCAGTTGCTGCACTGCCCTCTTCTCATCAAACCTACACATAAAAATTAAAGCCATTAATCCACAAAGAACCTGGCTGGTGGCCACAAATTACTCTCCTCAGTCAGGGTGTAAATTCTTTTGTAAGAGCAAAATGGATAAATCAGAAAAGAAAGCATTCAGAAGTCAGAGCAGTGATCAAAATGGAAAACTATGAGAGAATGGGGAGGAGACAATAAGCAGTAAAAATAACTGTAAACATTACCTGCAACTCATAACACAAACTCTTATAAGAGTTTGCTGGGTGTTGTGGCTCACATCTGTAATCCCAGAATTTTGGGAGACCCAGGAGGGTAGATTACCTGAGGTCAGGAGTTCGAGAACAGCCTGGCCAACATGGAGAAACCCCGTCTCTACTAGAAACAGAAAAATTAGTCGAGCATGGTGGCACACACCTGTAATCCCAGCTACTCGGGAGGCTGAGGCTGGAGAATCACTTGAACTCGGGAGGTGGAGGTTGCAGTGAGCCAAGATTGCGCCACTGCACTCCAGTCTGGGTGATAGAGTGAGACTTTGTCTCAACAACAACAAGAAAGTCCACTGAGCACATTTAAAACAACACAACATGGCCAGGTGCAGTGGCTCACGCCTGTAATCCCAGCACTTTAGGAGGCTGAGGTGGGCGGATCACGAGGTCAGCAGTTTGAGACCAGCCTAGCCAACATGGTGAAACCCTGTCTCTACGAAAAATACAAAACTTAGCCAGGCATGGTGGCGGGCACCTGTAATCCCAGCTACCCCAGAGGCTGAGGCAGGAGAATCACTTGAACCTGGGAGGCGGAGGTTGCAGTGAGCCGAGGCCGCGCCATTGCATTCCAGCCTGGGCGACACAGCGAGACTCCGTCTAAAAAACAACAGCAGCAGCAACAACACCACAACATTCCTTTGTATTTTGCCCATACTCATTTCATGGCATGGCCTGACAAGAAGCTCTCAGAAGTCATTAGATCAGTATACAGAGCTCCCCTGGAATAAAGACTTGTCAACCCTGGAAATTTCTCTAACAGGAAGCACAAATTAAATATGCCTCATTCAGTTATATTTTTTTAAAAATTACTACTGTTCTAAACCTCGTGTCCACATCAATGAACAAGATTTTTATTTTGTATTACATTTTGTATTTATTTCACTCTAGGCAAATGGCATCCTCAAGCTAAATTGGCACTGAAGAGGAAGTATTAAGGTTTCCCTTCGGCCAAATGATTGCTCCTGTGACTTCCATAGTTAAGCTCTGAGCAATCCATCTAGGCCTCCCCTGTGCTATCTTCTCAGGTGTTCTGTTGGTGGTGGAAGATGGGGTTGGTTGATAAAAAGTCATGGTCCTGAGGGCTGTCCAGGACAGAGACCCAAGTGTAGCAGCTTCTTCCTGCTTCCCACTTCTTCCATGAAGGACTTCTTGGTGATGAAGCAGACAGAAAGACAGCAGTCCTTCAGAACTGCCCTCCAGTCTAAGGCAGAATCTCCAGACAGCAGGACTGGCACAGGGGTACGGAAAAGCGCACTCATACACTGTGGAGGGGGTGGGGGGTGGGAGCTATTACAACCTTTTTAAGTGTGCCTGGTCTTTGACCTATAAATTCCAGTTCTAGAATCACATTATTCCAATGAGATAATCAGACAAATACACAAAAATGTTTGGCACAGGATGTTTATTATAGCATTGTTGGAACAACTTAAATGGCCATCAGTAGGAACTAATTTAAATAAATGATACTATGTCTATACAATGGAATACTCTGTAGTCATTATGATTATGTGATTTTTATTTACCAAAAGGGAAAGTGTTCACAATCTATTAAAAGTAAAGACTAAACAGCAATCATAGCACAAGGCCCCTCCACACGGAGCATGGAGGGAAGGGAAGGTGGTTAATCAAGAACAATGTATGACAGTTAATACCAGTTATCTCCCTGGGTATGATGGATGCTTTTTCTTTTTCTTTTTCTCTTTTTTTTTTTTTGAGATGAAGTCTCGCTCTTATCCCCCAGGCTAGATAGAGTGCAGTGGTGCAATCTCGGCTCACTGCAACCTCCGCCTCCTGGGTTCAAGCAATTCTCCTACCTCAGCCTCCCGAGTAGCTGGGATTACAGGCGCCTGCCACCACGCCCAGCTAATTTTTGTACTTTTAGTAGAGACAGGATTTCACCATGTTGGCCAGGCTGGTTTTGAACTCCTGACCTCAAGTGATCCACCTACCTTGGCCTCCCCAAGTGCTGGGATTACAAGTGTGAGCCACTGCACCCAGTTGATGGATGCTTTTTCATTTATTTTTATATTATTCTGTATTTCCTGAAAACTGTCTTTACAATGTATATGTATTACTCTTAAAATTAGAAAAATAGGCTGGGCATGGTGGCTCACGCCTGTAATCCCAGCACTTTGGGAGGCCGAGGGGGGCAGATCATGAAGTCAGGAGTTCAAGACCAGCCTGGCCAAGATGATAAAACTCCATCTCCACTAAAAATACAAATTAGCTGGGCGTGGTGGTGCATGCCTGTAATCCCAGCTACTCGGGAGGCTGAGGCAGGAGACTTGCTTGAACCTGGGAGGCAGAGGTTATGGTAAGCCGAGATCATACTATTGTACTCCAGCCAGGGCAAGAAGAGCGAAACTCTATCTCAAAATAAATAAATAAATACATAAAATTAGAAAAATATTTCTGTTTTGTAAAAACAAATCTCCAGAAAGATTGATTCTCCCTTCACGCATGGTATCTAAAGCAGGAGGAGGTGTGGTAAAAACAGACACCCTTTGATAATTTCAACAGTGGAGAAGCAGCAGGTAAGCATTTGCCAAACAGCCTTGTCCTAGCCAGTGCTGGTTCCACCTAATGCCCAAATCAACAAAAATCCCAGAGAGATCAATTGAAGAAAATTCAAAACAGAAAACAGAACCAGAATGCTTGGTTGACCTCAACTTTTCAAATCTTCAGAAGGCTGATAATTTATTCTCACATTCTCAAAAGGGACAAAAACTGAAAAAATAATCTACTGACTAATGGTTTCCCTCTACAAGACATGAAGACTTACCCAAGTATTTTTTTCCTTATAAAAATGTAAGGAAAATATTGGTTTGCTTGGTTGGTTTGGCACTTCTTACAAGATAAATACTTTTTCATTGGGTAGTTCAGAAATACTTACGTGAATGGGAACTTGAAGTCATTAGGCTTGATACAGCGCACATAGTGAGGGGTAGTGGCATTGAGTGTCTCCATAAGCAGGTGCAGGGAGTTTCTGAACTGCATGAAAAAGGGCAGAAGCGGGTATCAAGGATTTGTCCAAAGTCAAAGATGAGGTAAAACCATGGGAAATTCTCTTCCTATGACACTAATGGAGATAACTCTGCCACTTATAAACTTGACCCATCTTCAGAAGAGGAGCTGCCACAAAATAAGAATGCTAGGGCTTTTGGTTAAAATTTGCCTAAATTCTACCATTTTCATGCTTACTCTACTAAATATAGATTCCTATACTCCCACTCCTTTTCCCCACAGGAAGCTACAGAAATCTGTTATGAGCTGTCATATGTAACTAACAATATAACCTTGCTTTAAGGCCATTTAATCACATAAAGTGGGAATTTTGATGGAAGATACTGGAAAATGTAGCAGATGACTTAAAAGAGTATAGGTAATGAGAGAATGACAAAGGAGAGGCAGAGAGGAGTTAAAATTAGGGACCTAGGATCAGGACTAGAGGCTGTGGACCTGGGTCAGGCCCTGTTCCTATCTACACCAGGCACAGGGTCACACGCACAGGAGAGCAAGCTGAGGAGCGCTCAGCCTCCATTCAAAGCCCTACTCCCTGTTCAGGCACTAAGCATGTATGTAATATTTCCCACTCTCAGAGAACATAAGACATCAAAGAAAGGTGAGGGCCCTGTTCTGAAGGAGCTGACTGAGGCACCATACAAATACAGAGACAAAACAAACAGAAAACTAAGCAAAGATGGGGTGGTCTGAGAGAGATGACATGCACTAGAAGAATTAAACTGTAGAGGAAATTATTCAGGGAAAGGCTTATGCAGTCACAGGTCTAAAATTGGGTGGAGAAGAGTTTTAGTGGACAGTGTCGTATGATATTACAGTGAAAGCTCTAGGCTCTCCTTAACTGAGGATCCCACCTGGGAGGCTGAAGAGGGAAGATCTGAGGTTTCAGATGAGCCAGAAAGGAAGGAGCCTGGCAGCAGCTCCCTGAACTCACCTGATGCCCCACCGTTTTCTTGTGCTCTTTGGCCATCTGGCCTGGTCTGCCTTTGGTGGGCTTTGCAGGAATGCGTGTAAGGGGTGTGCGCCCTGAGGAGGTGGCTGAGGTTGGACTGATGGCCTTCTCATCATCTTGAAATAGTTCTGGTAGCATCTTAAACTAAGTCAGAAACAGTATAAGGAAATTACATTCTAAACCAAACTTGAACATAAACCTTCACAAAATAAGTATTACAGAGATTCCCTTCCTTAAGTAATCACTGTCAGAGTCACAATCCAGAAAGAGTCACTATCTATGATAAGAGCCAAGAATATGAGAGAAAGGTGAGGTAAAAGCTATAAAAAAAAAACATGGAAAAATGCAATAATTCTACAACCGTGTCTGGGGGAAAGCAAAGTCAGAACTACTGCACCCGGACTTGAAAACCTAATCCACAGGAAATGACAAATTTAAACATATTAATGGGCTTGAATTATAATTATTTTATGGGGAAAATAGTAATTGAAAGCCTTATCACTTCATTTCCACAAACTGTTTTAGCATCAGGTGGAGAAAAACACTAGTCCAAGTTTGCATGTTATTTATCAAGTGTTTACTCACCTGCTTTATTTGTCCGCCTACTAACTTAAGTGCTAAGCACTAACTCAAAAACATCACCGAAAATCTCAGCAGGAAAGGGTCATAAACAAATTCTACAATATTAGAAGGTTTTAAAAGTTACGAATAATAATTTTTGGAAGATAATTTGGGTTATAGAAAAAAAAGTTTAAAATCCTACCCATATCCTATACATTTGATATTTGTTTTCGAGGGATTTATAACTTCAACAAATAATTCCTGTAATCAATTTTGTGTTCTATCAGGTTAGCAATGTGAAAGAATATTATAAGATCTGGTACTCAATAAGCAGGTAGATGATACTAGTCAATACGGTTGGGAGAAATTTTATGGAAAAAAAGAGACTTCAAACGAATCCAAAGGAACATCTTGATGTATGTATATACCTTTACAACAGTGCCACATCCCATATAAATAAAACCAGTTCTTCTAATTAGTCAAGCTATATTTGCAACTACAATTATTTATCTATTAACCTTAATACAACCCATTTAATCTTCATAACAATTCCATAAATTAGATGCTATCATGATTCTATTTTATAGATGAGAGATCTGAGGCATAAACTCAGTAGATGAACTGTGCTTCCCCTTATTAATCAGCTATACGGAAAGTAGAGGGTTAAAACTCATTTTAATGGTACTCGGTAGAACTGAAATTTAGTGGTATTTAGTCAAGTTGCAATTTATTTATATGCTTCCTGATATTAGATGTGGCAATGGAAGATTTCTTTATGGTAGAAAAATATCAAATAAGGCACCTTCTGATAAGTTTATAATTCCATATATATATATATATTTTTTTTAATTCCTTTTCAAGTTGTAAGCTAGAGGCTGCAAGAAAAAAGACAAAACATATAAATACACAAACATACTCTACATTGTATTACCACAAAAATAATTCTACTCAAAACACATAACACAGATATTAATCTTCTAAAATTAGTACTTTCAAGAGAACACATTTATACTATGTGATACTGGCTTCTATCAGGTGCAGTGAAATTATGAAGTTCATACCCCTAGATTGGGTTTCAGCAAAGACTGGGAGCAGAGGAAGCCTCCAAGCTATGTTAGGTAAGTCACACACTGTCCCCACTTCAATGGCAACAATGTTACACAGACTGGTGGTCACTGCAAATGATTTGTCAGAACGCATACCCACTTTATGACGACTAAGGACTCAAAAGCCAATTAGAAAACTAAATCAGAATAAAGACAACTGATCAAGGATGCCTCAAGAATGAGAACCTGGCCAGGTGCGGGGGCTCATGCCTGTAATCCCAGCACTTTGGGAGGCCGAGGTGGGTAGTTTCCTTAAGACCAGGAGTTCAAGACCAGCCTGGACAACATGGTGAAACCCCGTCTCGACAAAAAATTAGCCAGGCATGGTGGCGTGCACCTGTAGTCCTAGCTACTTGGGAGGGTGATGTGGAAGGATCACCTGAGCCGGGGAGGTCGAGGCTACAGTGAGTCCTGTGATCATCACATCACTGCCCTTCAGCCTGGGTGACAGTGAGACACTGTCTCAAAACAACAACAACAACAACAAGAATCAGATGAAAACCTGTGAATGTTCTGTTTCAGCTAAACTACTTTGACAAAGTAATAAAACTAGAATTTTATCATTATTTATAAATCAAATCAATAAAGATCTTTAACTGAATAATACTTAGAGACTGGCATTGTGGGAATTTTCTCTTACATATCAATCCTATAAAACTATAAACAATTAATGCCCAGTGACTGTTAGACACTTTAACCTTTTTTTTTTGGGAGACAGAGTCTCGCTGTCTCCCAGGCTGGAGTACAGTGGCACAATTACGGCTCACTGCAGTCTCAACCTCCCAGGTTCAAGTGATTCTTCCACTCAGCTTCCCAAGTAGCTGAAACTACAGCCATGCACCACCATGCCCAGCTAATTTTTGTATTTTTTTGTAGAGATGGGGTTTTGCCATGTTGCTCAGGCTGATCTTAAACTCCTGGGCTCAAGCAGCCTGCCTGCCTCAGCCTCCCAAAGTGCTGGGGTTACAGGCATGAGCTACCACACCTGGTCTCACCTTATTATTTTCTGAAGGTTAAAACTGGGATTTGGTCTTTATGTAATCTTTATATTATCAAAATAATAGATAGTAAAGGTTTTTATTCTAAAAACAAGTCAAAATATTCATATACTATTCCACTGAAGTTAAAAGGATTCTCTTAGAATAAAATAGAAAAACAAAGACTGCCAGTCAGTAATCTAGAGGAATTCACATGAAAATTTTTTATTTTTAGCTGAATACCTGAATATTCATTTTGCTGATCTAAGTAACTGGCTTCCTGCTCTGCTCTCTGTGGGATGAACATGAGCCATGCTCCCCTCCCCATTCTTTCCAGATGGAAGGTCAAGGGATGGAGGAGGGGATCAACCTAATCATCAATGCAATGTAGCCATCATAGCTCTTACCACCTAGAACATTCTTTTCCCTCTAGAAAGCAGTGTCTCTAGTACCTATGCCTAAGAAAAATAACTTCAAAGTGCTTTGGGCCACACTTGGAACTGCACTCAGTGATGATCCAGAGATCAGTCTCCATCTTGATGGAGTATGTAAGGCCATGTTTCTAGCACCTCCCTTCAAACTGACAGGGCAGAAAGACTGTTTTCTCTCATGGCCTCTCACCAAGGCACAACAGAGTCTAGAACCACTGTGGAGGCAATAATTTCACACAAAACTGAAAGAAACATTGCACAGGAGTTAAAAGCACAGACTCAGCAAGACAGCCTGAATTTTAATTTGGCTTGAAAACTCACTAGCCATGAAGTCTCTGTGTCTCAGGTGCCTCATCCATAAAATGAGAGTCATTAGATGAGTTAGCATTTTTAATACATTTAGAACAGGACCTGACATGCAGCTAAAATAACTTTGACTAACATACTAAGTCTTATATATTTGGTAAATTAAAAACTGAAACTGATTTTTGTTAAAAAATAATTTTTATTGTTAAAAATCTAATGCTTTGAATACCTCCTGGATTAGAGTAAGCCTATCCATAGTTACCTTGCTTGATTTAAGAACTTTAATTTGTTCTTCAAAAACGGTGTCTTTATTCTTTTCAAGAAATCCTTCACACTGGTATTCCACCTGAAAACACATGGAAAAATCTCCTTAACCGATAAAACTTTTGAATAGATATTATAATCATCAATAACAAGAATATTTATTAGTCTCAGGCTATACGATCAGCTCTCAACAAATGGGTATTATCAGTCTTTTCTAAGAAACCAGGGCCATTCCTGGTAAGAAGCATGTTAACTCTAGAATAAAACTCCTCAAATATTGTTTTTTCTAGGAAACAGTGGTAGTGCTGAGTAACTGTGATCTAAAAGATCCTCTCAGTTAGTGGGTGAGCAGATTCGTAAGTAGATCCTCTTCTCCCATGCTGGCCAGAGAGCTCTTCCAAGGCTGACTCCTTGTATCTCCTTCCAACCTAGGTCACCATCAAGCAGGGGTGTTTCCTCTTAGAAGAGATTACAACAGGAGAGAGAATCAGAAGGAACAAATGAGGGTCTGATGGGGACAGAGGTGAAAAGCTGCTGATGGATGAAGGTGAAGGCTGGGGAAATATTGTATGATTTGGTAAAATGGGACTACTTGAGAAGGGACTATTTCTTTTCCAAAACTCCAGCAACTTCAGTTGTCTGCCACTCAAGAGGGTCAAAGCTTGCAAGATAAAACCTTTAGGTGGCCCTAGGGTCTGAGCTCAAGGCTTCTAGATGGAATTAGGGCAGACTTAGAAAGTCCTCAATGCCTAAAGGAGACCCTGTGAAACTTACCCCAAAGCCTACACCACAATCTCCTTGAAATATAAATTACTCTCATTGCTTGTGATTTGCTAAGCACACTATAGAACCTGTGAAGCAGTAAGACAGTATGCCTTATTAGAAGGGACCCAGTGAATCAATTGCAGAGGGTGACAAAAGTCCACAATTGCTATTCTGAAACCCTTGAGATAAGCTATGCTTTAGGACTTGGAATTTTTCAGGCATTTAAGATGTAGTATGTACATGCACCATTTTTTCATATTTCCAGCAAAATGGAAGGCAATGATCTGTAAGAAAACATATTCATATTTCTACTGTGAAATATGCAAATATCCAGCCTAACTGTGATAAAGACAGACTATAAATAATCTCATGTTAATTCAGATCAGAGATCGGGTTTAGCTAAATGAGTTATAAAAAAAAAAAACAACTTAGTTTACAGAGTTTCCTCGATTTCAGAATTATAGACCCATACTTATTTCACAAATAACTCAATGTAGGTTAAAGGAAGAGAAAACCAACATGTCAACACTAAAGACTGCTGTCCCTTGAGCCCTGAAGAATGCAAACATCAGCAAAAGGAAAAAAAAGATACTCTTGACTATTGACTTTTTTCCACATTTAAGAATTCAAAAAGAAAAAATGATATAAAGCTTCCTTACTTTGTCAGCAAAATGTTGGATGATGAAAGCTTTGTTTGACAGACGAGGCTTTTCAAAGAGTGTACATTTGTTCAAATGTGTGTTGTACAATTTTTGGGCCCAGGTGTCATCTGTGCCTTTAGGCATCTATATTAATGGGAAAAAGGAAGAAAGAAAACAAGGTAAATACTGTGATTCTTCTAATGCATCAGCTGTCAAAAGATCTTTTTTTTGGCTTTACCTAAGAACTTTTACAATTCAGTTTAGGAGTTCATTCCTTCCACATTTCATTGTTAGAGGCCAACAACCAATTACTAATGAATACCATGACTCAGACCTTCTCATGGGTAACCCAGCCCAATCTTGGGGCAGTTCAATCTGCCTATAAGAAAAATCATGAAACAAATTTGTTGTTGTTGTTGTTTTTTAAACAACAAAAGCTGGCCGGGCGTGGTGGCTCAAGCCTGTAATCTCAGCACTTTGGGAGGCCAAGGTGGGTGGATCACCTGAGGTCAGGAGTTTGAGACCAGCCTGACCAGAATGGTGAAACCCCATCTCTACTAAAAATACAAAAAATTAGCCAGGCGTGGTGGCGGGCACCTGTAATCCCAGCTACTCAGAAGACTGAGGCAGGAGAATTCCTTGAACCTGGGAGGAGGATGTTGCAGTGAGCAGAGGTCACACCATTGCACTCCAGCCTGGGCAACAAAAGTGAAATTCCGTCTCAAAAAAAAAAAAGCTTCCCATGAAATATCAGGGCTATTATATATGTTTTCAAAATTCTTTTAAACAGAAAGACAAACATTACATGTTCTCATCTATTTGTGGGATCTAAAAATTAAAGCAATTGAACCCATGACTATAAAGAATAGAAAGATGGTTACCAGAGGCTGGGAAGGGTAGCAGGAAGATGGGGGATGGCTAATAGATACAAAAAAAAATTAGAACGAATAAGTCCTAGTATTTGATAATAATTTAATTATACATTTAAGAATAAGAATATAATTGGACTGTTTATAACACAAAAGATGAATGCTTGAGGGGATGGATGCCCAATTTTCCATGATGTGATTATTATACATTGCATGCCTATACCAAAATATTTTATGTACCTCCATAAACGTATACACCAACTAGGTACCCACAAAATTAAAAATTTAAAAAAATTCTGCCAAATAAAGGTAACATTTGTACATAGTGAAACATTTCCATAATTCAGAAAGATATAAAACGGAGAGTAGTCTCCTCTTGCCATTTCCTCCAACTTAGTTATTTCTTCCCCTCTCTCTTTTTTTTTTTTTTTTTTTTGAGACGGTTTCACTCTTGTCACCCAGACTGGAGTGCAACGGCACAATCTTGGCTTACTGCAACCTCTGCCTCCCAGGCTCAAGTGATTATCCTGCCTCAGCCTCCCAAGTAGCTGGGACTACAGGTGCATACCACCATGCCCAGCTAATTTTTTGTATTATTTTGTAGACGGGGTTTCACCATATTGCCGAGGCTGGTCTCAAACTCCTGAACTCAAATATCTACCCACTCAGCCTCTCAAAGTGCTGGGATTACAGATGTGAGCCCACCATGCCTGGCCTTCTTAAGTCTCCTTGAAGGCATGTATGTGAATAGGGTAATTTTACACACTCCTTGCATTGTTTTCAGCTTTGCAACAATAGCATTCTCTGCATTATTTATGGCTACTAGGTTGTTACTGATTTTTTTGTTATTATTATGACAACTGCCACAGTTTTCTTCTTACATGTATATACCTTAGATACTTTTGCAAGTGTAATCAAAGGTGGAATTCCCAGCAGTTCCATTCCTGGGTCAAGGGTATGTAGTTAAAATTATGATAAATGTTGTCAAATGTCCTATAAAGTATGTTGAATGAATTCATGCTTTTCATCATGAGTATATATGCAATATTCATTTAGTATTATCAAATGAAAGTTATCAAGTCTAAATTTGCCTACTGGATGGGTAAAGAGTGGTGTACCACTTTTGCTTTGGTTTGCATTTTTTTAAATCTCAAGTGAGGCTGAGAACCTTTTTGTTACACGCATCCTTAATGTTGTAGGAAGTCTGGGTGCTTAGGAGGGTACACCTGTGCTAAACTGTAACTTCCTGCATATAAACTAAAGAAAAATAAAGAGAAAGAATAGGTTTGCCTAAGATCACTCAGTGGTAAAGCTGGGGATCTAATACTTTTTTCCAACATGCTGCACCTTTAAATATTAAAGATACAACTCCATCCCTTTCAAATATGTCAGTAATATGGAACAACTAGTTAGTTTTACAATTATAACTATTTAGAACTATTATTCAAAATATCTTCTGCACAGTTTCTTGCATTTCTTTAAATAAATTCTATCGCCGAACAAAAAGTACTAAACATAAACAAATTAATAACAAAAGTGGCTAAAATTGGTAGTATCTAGTGTCAATTTTTCATGTAATTTAGAATCGGCTGAAAAGAGGGGGGAAATTCTCCTATTTTCACCTGTAATTAGAACTCTTGGGGTCTAGTGTCCCTTCAGAATGAAAGCATTTTCCCTACTTGTCACCACAATGGCATTCCATGATATACTAATGAATCTCTCCTTGAACCCCTTACCTTCTGACCTTGATACATCTATTTTGATAAACCAAGTACCCCAGGGAATCATACTTACCTTGCATTCCTCATCCAGTAAATCTAGAATGCCTAGTTTTGATTCTATAAGATTAATACAAGGCTGATTATCATAAAAATCTATGAGTGTCCATGGAATTTGTTCCTTCATATATTCTTCTTGCTCCAATTTGAAGACATGCTGAAATGAAAAAGAAAAAAAAGCAGTCATTACTGGATCATTGTAACAAAGAATGTAGTCAAGAAACAATGTTTATATAAAACACTAAGATGATACCAACATAATTTGAGATAATCTATGGCTTTCAACAACAACAACCTCATGGGAGAAGCATGATTTACACACAGAGAAAGCAAATAAAACAACAGGAAAACCTCAGCTACCTAGGATTCTTGGTGAACAAGTAATCTAGGTATTTTAAATAGCTGATCAATGTAGCAATCTTTGTGATCTTTTGATTATGTGTATTTTCAAAGCCACACTATGTATTTTTGGCTTCTTCAGTTATCGTACTGTGCTGCTAACAACATGGGACACAGGAATGCCTTGGCTGGCATTTAACAACTATGTTGATGCCCTCCAGGCTACTGAACCACGCTGGGCAATGCTTTCAGCATAACAAAGTACTTCTCGTAAGGACTGTGGTGCTGAAGTTCACGTGGCTCAGAATTAGTTAATAATTGGCCTTTCTCGTGACTGCCCTGATTATCTTTGATAGTCATGGAGTCTATGACTCACTTTTCTGGCTTCAGCCACTGTCCTCACCATTGCTTCTCATCTCCATTTACACAAAAATATATATTAACTGTCTACTATGTGCCAGTCACTGCACATGGTTAACAACACAGATGTGGATGCTGCCCTCATGGAGCTTGGAGACAAGTGGGAGAAGCAGACAGAAATCAAATAACCATAAGGAATATAATCACAAGCTATAGTAATATTACAAAGGAAAATAATATGAGCTATAAGAGCAAGAGTCCTCATCTAGTTTGGACACAGGCTGGTCAGGGGAGGGCTGTGTGATCTAGTCTCTAAAGATGAATGGGAGCCAAGCTAGTGCGGGTGGGAAGGGCAATCCAACCACCGCCACAGCTCCTGTTTCAGGCTGCTGCCCAGCCACTGCCCAGCCAATGCAGCTGACACCACCACTTCCAGTCTCTACAGATGCTAATGACTGCTACTCATTCTTAGGGAGTTTCTGCCTTCCTTTACTTATCTCTTTGGTCTCCTTTGGTTCTTTCACAAATCTTGCTATTTTTGTGGGAAGAAAAGACTTTTGTGATGACGATCAAACAACCCATATTTTCTAGGACCCCATGCCCTGTGAAACTTACATGCCACAAGATCTCCAATGAATACTCTCCTCATGTGTCTGGAACTTTCCCACTTTATTCTGTACTTATTGTAATGCTACTCTTGGCTCATTTGCATTTTTTTTTTTTTTTTTTTGAGACAGAGTCTTGCTCTGTCACCAAGGCTGGAGTGCAGTGGCACAATCTCGGCTCACTGAAACTTTCACCTCCCGGGTTCAAGCGATACTCCTGCTTCAGCCTCCTGAGTAGCTGAGACTACAGGCATGTGCCATCACGCCCGGCTAAATTTTTGTATTTTTAGTAGAGACAGGTTTCACCGTGTTAGCCAAGATGGTCTCAATATCCTGACCTCGTGATCCACCTGCCTCTGCCTCCCAAAGTGTTGGGATTACAGGCGTGAGCCACCACGCCTGGCCTCATTTGCAGTGTTTACAGTCTAACGAGCTATTACAAGCTTTAACAAAAAACAGTCATCCATAAGAATATTTATGTCATGCTAATAAAGACGAAACAGAGAGAGACTCTCTCATATTGTTTTATACTCAGTACCTGTTTTAAGAAAAAAACAAGGAAGTAAAACTAAAGACAGGCAACCCGGCGCCAGGCCCAAAACCAGGCCTGGGCCTGCCTGGCCTAAACCCAGTAGTTAAAATCAACTCATGACTTAGAAACCGATGTTCCTGACATTGTATAGAACATTGTGAAACTCCCTGCCCTGTTCTGTTTCACTCTGACCACCAGTACATGCAGCCCCTGTCACGTACCCCCTGCTTGCTCAAATCAATCACGACCTTTTCACGTGAAATCTTTAGTGTTGTGAGCCCTTAAAAGGGCCAGAAATTGTGCACTCGGGGAGCTCGGATTTTAAGGCAGTAGCTTGCTGATGCTCCCAGCTGAATAAAGCCCTTCCTTCTACAACTCGGTGTCTGAGAGGTTTTGTCTGTGGCTTGCCCTGCTACATTTCTTGGTTCCCTGACCGGGAAGCGAGGTAACTGTCGGACAGCCGAGGTAGCCTCTTAGACGGCTTAGGCCTGCCCTGTGGAGCATCCCTGCGGGGGACTCCGGCCAGCCTGAGTGACTCCAAAGAGTGCTCCTGAGTAGGCAATTGTCCCGGTGGAACACCTCATCAGAGCAGCGCATAGCAGGCCCCCACAGAGGATTAACACAGTGGCTGAACACCGGGAAGAAACTGGCACTTGGAGTCCGGACATCTGAAACTTGGTAAGACTAGTCTTTGGAACTTGCCCCACTCCATTTGAGTGGAAGCGTGGCCTGATCACCCACAGTGTACTTGTATCGGCACTTTTGTTTTGGTTTTGACTTGACTTGAATTGCTGGATACTTTGGTTTCGGTTTTGACTTGGATTAAATTTCTTGGTACTTGGATTTTGAATTTCGTGGTGTTCTGATTTTGGTTTAGTATAAACGATAAAAGCGTGTGTGTGTGCCCTCTTTACCTGTTCTTTGTTTTGTGGTGAGTGTGTGTGGTGTGAGTGTGGTATTTTGTCTTGCAAAAACATGGGTCAGGTGCAAAATAAGCCCACCCCACTAAGAACTATGTTGAAAAATTTTAAGAAAGGAAAAAAGCAGGGGGGGGGGAAGCAGAATTTATATAAAAAGAATGTTATATGGTAAATTCTTGTCCTGAAATAAATTAACTGGTTATTAAAAAAAAAAAGTTTGTAATAAGTCAGAAGTTGAGACATGTCAAAAAAAATTGTCTGCAAAAGACGTAAAAAAAGAAAAGTTACAAAAAAAATTTTATGCAAAAAAGTTATATAATTTAGAATACTACTGAAAAAAAAAACCAGTTTATGTGCAAGGTGTATAAAAAAAGGTAAAATATACCTTTAGCAAAAAAATTATAAAGAGGCATAAGAATGTGGATTTTTACCCTACATTAAAAGGTCAAAAAAATTATTGTTTTGAAAGTTTAGGCAAATTTTAAAACATTAACTGTAAAGAAAATTTTGTGTGTAAACATCATAGCTAAAGTTAAAAAGGTATCATCCAGTTTTTCTGTGAACTGGACATTAAAGTAAAAATGCAACAGGTTTTTCTTAAAACATCAACCTGCTCTTTAACAAAAATTGTAAAAGGTTAAAAAGAGTCTATAAAATCTTACCTTATGGTGAAACATGAAAAATTAGATAAATATGTCTACAAGGTTTTATTAAAATTAATAACACACTAATATAAAGGTAAAATTTAGCTTATCTGGTATAAAAATCATACAAAAAGCATTATTAAATATAAAATGGTGTTTAGCTTTTTTTTAGTCTAAAAACTAATAAAAATAGGTGCTAAAGGAAACATTCATTTTACTAGAAGATCATAGAAGTTAAAGAATTAAAACAAACTTTGGCAATTAAGACAGCATACCAGGATGCAAATGTCTGGTTGGAATGGATCAAATATTCCATCTGCACGTTAAACAAAAGCAATTGTTATGCTTGTGCACATGGCGGGCCAGAGGCCCTGACTGTCCCCCTTCCACTGAGGTGGTCCTCCAGTTGACCAGGTGTGGGCTGCATCGTAGCTCTTTTCCAGAATTCTACAGCCTAGAGTAATAAGTCACGCCAAGTTCTCTCTGCTATATCCTGAAGTCCCTGCGGGTCAGCCCCCGAGGGCCATCCAGCTTCCGTCTCCTAACACTAAGTTCACTTCGTGTCTCTCATGGCAGGGAGGAGACTTAGCATTCCTTGGCAACTTGAAGGGATGCAGTGAGCTTAAGAATTTTCAAGAGCTTATCAAGAGCTCTTATTCATCCCCAAGCGGATGTGGGGTGGTATTGTAGTGGACCTTTACTGGGCACTCTGCCAAATAACTAGAGTGGCACTTGTGCTTTAGTCCATTTGGCCGTCCCTTTCACCCCCGCATTTCATCAACCAGAGGAAGAAAAAATAATAATAAGACATCATAAAGCGAGAGAAGCCCCTTATAGGTCTTTCAACTCTCACATCTATTTAGATGCAATTAGAGTCCCACAAGGAATACCAAATCAATTTAAAGCTTGAAATCAAACAATTACAGGATTTAAGTCAATATTTTGGTAAATGACAGTCAATAAAAATGTTGATTAGAATAAACTACATCTGTTCCGACCAACAACAATGAGCTTTTCATGAGTTAAAAAGAAACTCATGTCAGCCCAGCCCTGAGGCTACCTGACCTGAGAAAACTCTTTACACTCTATATGTCAAAAAAAAAAAAAATGGCAGTTGGAGTTTTAACCCAGACTGTAGGGCCCTGGCCAACGCCAGTGGCCCATCTCTCAAAACAACTAAACGGGGTTTCCAAAGGCTGGCCCCCATGTCCAAGGGCCCTGGCAGCAATGGCCCTGTTAGCACAAGCAGCAGATAAGCCAACTCTTAGGCAAAACCTAAACATAAAGTCCCCCCATGCTGTGGTAATTTTAATAAATACCAAAGGACACCATTAGCTAATAAATGTTAGACTAACTAGATACCAAAGCTTGCTCTGTAAAAATCCCCACATAACCACTGAAGTTTGCAACACCCTAAACCCCGCCACCTTGCTCCTGGTATCAGAGAACCCAGTTAAACATAATTGTGTAAAAGTATTGGACTCAGTTTATTCTAGTGGGCCCAACCTCCGAGACCATCCTTAAACATCAGTAGACTGGGAGCTGTACGTGGATGGGAGCAGCTTCGCCAACCCCTGCAAAGTGACTCTGAAAAAGACAACAAGCCCTGCTCCAGTCACACCCGGAAGCTGACTGGTCCACGCATGGCTGAACCATGAGGAAACTCATCGCAGGACTCATTTTCCTTAAAATTTAGACTTGTACAGTAAGGACTTCAAATGACCTTCCTCAGACTGAGGGCTGTTCCCAGTATATATATATATATCAAATCACTGAGGTAGGAGAAAAGATTGCTACAGTCCTATTATTTTATGGTTATTATAAGTGTACCAGGACTCTAAAAGAAACTTGTTTATATAATGCTACTTTATCCAAGGTATGTAGCCCAGAAAATAACCAACCTGATGCGTGTTATGACTCATTTTAAGCCTCCCATGATCACAGTTTTTAAAATAAGACTAAGGACTGATCCTTTTCTAAGTGACACAAGTAAAGTAACAGCTAGGACAGAAGAAAAAGGGGTCCCCAAAAATGTAACCTTAAAATGTGATGCCTGTGCCGCTATTAACAGTAAGTAGCATAGATTGGGATGCGGTTCTCTAGATTGAGAAAAAAGTTACACAACAGAAAATAATTATATCTGTCAAGAATCATATTTATGTGAAATGTGTCAATACTGGTCTTGTGTCATTTATGCTACTTAAAATAAAAATAAAAAAGATCCTGTTTGGCTCCAAAAAGAAAAAGTCAGCCCCTCCTGCACGAGTGGGAGCTGCAACCCTTTAGAATTGGTAATTACAAACCCCTCAGACCCAAAATGAAATTAAAAAAATACATAACATTAGGCATTGATGAAAAAGAACTAGATCCTAGCGTAAGCATCCTAATAAAAGGCGAGGTTCAAAGACACTCTCCAGAACCAGTATTTCAGACTTTCTATGATGAACTAAATGTGCCAGCACCTGAGATTCCAGGAAAAAACTAAAAATTTGTTTTTGCAATTAGCCGAATATGTAGCCCAGTCTTTAAAAGTCACTTCATGTTATGTTTGTGGAGGAACCGTAACAGGAGATCAATGGCCACAGGAAGCCCAAGAATTAGTTCCTACAGACCCAGTTCCTGACGAATTCCCGGCCCAAAAGAACCACCCTGACAATTTTTAGGTTCTAAAAGTCTCAATTATTAGACAGCACTGCATAGCTAGAAAAGGAAAAAGATTCACTCATTCTGTAAGGCAGCTTAGTTGTCTTAGGCAAAAGCTGTATAATAGCACTGCAAAAACAGTACCACCCAGAATTCCACCAGGACTAGACTGCCCCCACCGGGTTATACTGGATATGTAGACATAGAGCCTACTGTTAAGCTGCCTGACCAGTAGACAGGTACTTGTGTTATTGGCACTATTAAACCATCTTTCTTCTTACTGCCCATACAAACAGTTGAACTTCTGGGCTTCCCTGTTTATGCTTCCCGTGGAAAACGAAGCATAGCCATAGGTAATTAAAAAGATGATAAATGACCTCCTAAAAATTTATACAATACTATAGGCCTGCCACTTAGACACAAGATGGCTCATGGGAACACTGGACCCCCATTTACATGCTTAACCGAATCATACGGTTGCAAGCTGTTTTAAAAATCATCACCAATAAAACCAGTCAAGCCTTGACTATTCTGGCCTGGCAAAACAAAAAACAAAAAACAAAAAACTCAGATAAAAAAATGCTATCTATCAAAATAAACTGGCTCTTGACTACTTGCTAGCAACTAAAAAAGGGTCTATAAGAAATTTAACCTTACTAATTACTGTCTACACATAGATAACCAAAGGCAAGTAGTTAAAGACATAGTTTAAAATATGACAAAACTGGCACATGTACCTGTGCAAGTGTGGCACGGACTTAATCTGAGAACCATGCTTAAAAATTAGTTCCTAGCACTAAGAGAATTTAAAACTCTTATAATAAAAGTTATAATAGTAATAAAAACCTGCTTACTGCTCCCTTGTTTGATACCTGTAGTTCTTCAAATGATTAAAAAAGCTTCATCACTACCTTAGTTCACCAAAATGCTTCAGCACAAGTATACTATAAAAATCACTATCAATCTATTGCACAAAAAGACTTAAGTAGCAAAAATAAGAGTGAGAACTCCCACTAATAAAAAGTGAGAGTCTCAAAAGGGGGGAATGAGGAAAGAGAGAGACCCTCTCATATTGTTTTATATTATTTTATACTCAATACCTGTTTTAAGAAAAAAACAAGGAAGTAAAACCAAAGACAGGCAACCCGGCGCCAGGCCCAAAACCAGGCCTGGGCCTGCCTGGCCTAAACCCAGTAGTTACAAATCAACTCATGACTTAGAAACCGATATTCCTGACATTGTATAGAAGAACATTGTGAAACTCCCTGCCCTGTTCTGTTTCACTCTGACCAGCAGTGCATGCAGCCCCTGTCACGTACCTGCTGCTTGCTCAAATCAATCACGACCTTTTCACGTGAAATCTTTAGTGTTGTGAGCCCTTAAAAGGGCCAGAAATTGTGCACTCGGGGAGCTCGGATTTTAAGGCAGTAGCTTGCTGATGCTCCCAGCTGAATAAAGCCCTTCCTTCTACAACTCGGTGTCTGAGAGGTTTTGTCTGTGGCTCATCCTGCTACAATAAGAAAGCAAATTTCTTCTGTTCTTTTGATTAATGAGAAGGCAAATAGGGCACCATATGTCAGCAGGACACCCTGACTGATGGTATGAGTATCTTCCAAAACAATGCGCTCTGTTTTTAAAAATTTCATTAATTTATATGCAGTCTCAATATTGACAACAGAAACACTGCTCTAGACATTAAATAGAGCATTATTTCTCACACACCATGTCTAGTTTGGAAAAGCTCCTGGGGTCTTTAAAATTTTGGATGCTCAATTGTCAAAGAATACGGGCATGTAGTTCAATATGGCAAGAGATTCTTGGTCAATATAGTGATGCCTTCAAACACTAAGCATGCCAGTCACGGAGTTTCTCATGCTGACTGTCCCCAACTACATCCCCAGATCGAGTAACAGCCCTATGCAGTCAAGTTCTTTATACTATGAGACCCCATGTTCCTAGTCACAGCTGACTAAACCAGTGTGGGTATGTGAGGGCAGTCTCCTGCTAGAGACCTCTGATGAAAAACTCAACAGTGTTAATCAGATTGTCTCTCTCTCAGGTATTTGAACTGGGAAACAAGAAAATAATCAGGCAATTAGTAATGGGAGTTGAAGCTGAAAGAAGCCAAAATGAATGGGAGATAAGCGAGTTAAGAGGATGAGAAGAGCATTCCAACCACTGCTGGGTTCACAGGAAGTTTAAAGTGAGTGAGAAAGGAGAGAGCTTGAGGTGGAGAAGATGTATACAGACTAGAAGGAAAGAACCTGCCATAGGATAGGAAGAGGGTGCAGATCAGTTGTGCAGAGAGAATCAAAGATGCAGAATGTAAGGGGGTATGTGAAGAGAGAAGGAGAAACAGGTGGATAGAGACAGAAAGCAGGAAAGAGGAGGAGACGCAAGAGACCAAAACACACATGCAGACAGGAGGCCCCTGAAAAACAGACAAACTAGCCAGTTCCTAAAGAGGCTGGCATTGCGTCCTTCCATTCCAGTCACTCTGTGTGGAAACAATCGGGAAGAGTGGAAGGCTGTGGCATTAACTAAGTATTAAGAAACTCAGAAACACCTTGAGAAACGGTAATGCTCTGTTTAGTTTCTGATAGGTTTTTATTAATTTTTTTATGCAGAGATGAAAATCATATTAGTAGTCATCTTATTATGGAAACAGTCATAGGCCTAAGGTTTTAAGATCACTTCTACGTTATTTCACTGTGGTAGGAAGCTTAATTTGCTAAACAAAGATGGTTCAAGTTTTTACCATAGTATATGGAACATGTAATCAAACAGTCTAAAAGGTTTTATAATGACAAGCAACAACTCCTTGTCCCATCTCTCCCCAACCCCAGCCTCACTCCCTGGAGGCAACCATTTTTAATTCCCTTAGCTATTTCTTCTGATATTTACCTACATATTTCTAAAGAATATGCTTATCAGCTACCTTCTGATTTATCACTATGAAACATCTACTGATTACATTATGACACAAAAGAGGCTAAATTCACATACACCACCTCCGTCCCACTCTTCCACTATTCTCCCCATATTACTATTTTTAGATCCTCTTTTGTTTTTTACCAAATTTGTAACTTGCAATGTCTTTAAACATCTGGTTTTTGTGCATCAACTACAAACCATACCACTTGACCTCTCTCTTTACAAGTGAGGATTTATTAAGGGTGTCTTTCCTGCCCTTCAGCTCTATCTTCTAATTCCTATGGGTGTCTCATTTTAATATCCTCTTTCATCAACACTAAGAATCACTCCCACTCTTGCACTTAGAACTGTGCCTGGCACATGATGGACACTTTACATATTCCAACCCATTTAATCCATAAAACCACACACAGCAGGTACTATTATTACGTCCATTTTATAGATGAGGAAGTTAAGGCCCAGGGAGGTCAACTAACTTGCCCAAGATCTCCTGGATAACTGACACAGGGTAGGATTCCAACTCACACAGTTCACCTCTGGGCTCTGTGTCCTTCATTATTACAATCTGCTGACTCTGATTTTTAAGCATTTCTGAATCTCCCAACACCATGGTACTCCTCTAATATATTTAATGTTACTACTTCACAAGAGCCACTCAAAATATTCCCATTGCCATTGCCTCAGTGAATGTCCCAGACTGTTGAAAAGAGAATATGTAAAATTCTGCATTTTAGTTCTGACATCTTGCTAATATAGCAAGTAAGCATTAAGAAATTCCACATACAATTAACTTCAAAATAACAAACTGAAAGATATCCCTAGGCTCAAAGCTTCATACTCCCAAGCAATTACCTAACACACTGCCTGCTTCTTTCAATCTATTTGTCCCAAATTTTCATTATTATCAGACAGCAATCCAAGGATGGCCTTGAATCCCACCTGGCCCATAAAACATTTTTCTAATGTTGTACCATTCATTAATCATCAGTTCTAAATTCCATATAATAATTATAATTCACAACTTCATTTCAGGGATAAGCTTTTAAACAAAGACTAGGAATTCAAGAGAATAATTTATAGCAGAATATTATTTAAGGAAGAACATTCTTACCATATTGAATTGTTGCTGTAGTTTTTCATTTGCATAATTTATGCAAAACTGTTCAAAACTATTTATCTCAAATGTTTCAAATCTGTAACCACGAAGATAATATGGAAAGGGGAGAAAAGGAACAAAAAGCTTTTTAAAAATATTCAAAATATACACATTAGGAAGAAAGAAATGGGACATCCCCCAACATTGCAAAACTTTCTTTCCATATCAGTGAAGATAAAGATTTATAAGTCAGTAACAAGAAATATGTACCCAGCAGATGAGCATCAGCCATGCAGCAGAGAGGCTTTTTTTGTTGTGTTTTGTTTTGTTTTGTTTAACGGCCCTAGCATGCAGAGGTGTTCAACACTATGAGTGTTTGAGGGCTCATTCACCCCCAAGTGGGGAACATCAGAATTATGATAAACCCATTGCTCTTGCCAATTTACTGACTCACAGTGTTACACACACATAGGAGGGAAATAGGAACAGAGATCCTACAGGTTCTTTTGAAAAAGAGAACCAGAGAATGAAAAATTAAGTATGAAACAAGCACAAATATGAGGGAAGGATTTTAACAGCTAAAGACAGGTATCCAAATAAGGCAAACTAGCAAATAAAATTAGATTTTTAGAATTTCAGTGATAATTTACCACATAAGCATCTGAAAACCAATTAAGTCTATGCACTAGCTAAGTAAATTAGCTTCAGATTTGAAGCATTTTTTGTTTGTTTTACTTAAATTTTAAGCAACATGCAATTGCATCACCATCATCAAGGTATTCTTCAATTGTCGTAGGCAAAGTCTCCCTTCTCTTTACCAGTAAGAAACAGAATCAAATGCCCACTTAGACTTACTAGGTAAGTTCTAGAAAGGAATGCTCTCTGGCAGACCAATTAGCCAAATATACTCACCCGTAAATGTCCAGCACACCAATAAAAGAGTGCTGTTTGACAGCAGAATGGAGAGCCTGATTGACATTATCTACAATCCAGTTAAAAAGCTTGGCATAGATGTGCTTGGCCAAAGCATCACGGGCATTTGTGGCCTGCAGCTTGGAGATGGGCTTGATGTACGTCTCTGTGGCAGTAGCCAGCTTCCGATGGCAGAGCCAGTGACACATCTCCTCATAGTCCACACCCATGAGGTCACAGAATATGCAGAGAGGTTCATGCTTGGGCTGCCAAAAGATAATGAGTTATTTCCTATGACCAGATAAATCAAATAAGAATCTAGTAGAAAATGTTAACAAAGAGTTAAATAAAATTCAGCAATTTCTTTGTTACAACAAACACCAAGATAACTCAAAGTTGATTCGTGATAATAAACACATTCATCCATTAAACTGGTATCCAGGCAGCATTTTGCAATCTCTTCTGGGGCTCACTTCAAAAATTACCTCTTCCTTTAACTCTTCATAGTATTTGTTTGTATCTCTCTTAAAGTACCTTCATTCATTCAATCAAAAAATCAGTCAGTTAGTCAACAATTATTTACTGAGTGCTACTATGCGCCAGACAGCAAAAACAAACATGGTCCCTGCCCTCCTAGAACTTACAGTCACTCGGGAAAAATGGATATTAATGAAATGATTGCTCCCTAAAATGAAAAATACCACAAAGACCAAGGACACTATGCTGAGTCCATGTGAGAGGAATATGCTCTGTTTAGGAAGCAGGAGACAGTTCCCTTGAGAAAAGGAAGGTGCTAACTGGGTGAAAGGGGGAGAAAAGGACTTTCCAAGCCAAGGAAACAGCTGGCAAAAATATTCTGTGGTAGGAAGGAAATCACCTATAGGAAGGATTGAAGCTGAATGAGGGAGAAAATGTGAACTGAAGTCACAGAAACAGACAGAGGCTATACCCCAGCTGGTCTTTATCCTTAGAGAAATGGGAGACCACTGAAGGGTTGTAAGCAGGTAATTTGACAGTTATCTGTGACTTTTCAGATCAGAATGACTTTCATGACTTACATATCCCTGTACCCCCTAGAATATCTTCCAGGAGCCTTGCATGAGTAGGTGTTTGATAAATACTTGTCTATTTTAATCCATGTTAGTACATTATATTTTTCAACATCTTCAATCACATGTATCAGTGGAATCTGACAACATTTCTGGGGAACAGGCAGGGTGAACATTGTCTCTGGTGGATAAATGAGGAAATAGGATCCAAGATAACAAATAGCTTGTCAAAAATCAGCTGGCAATTGACGTCAGAGTTGGCATTAGAACCTGAGTCTCCTGACACCCTCATCTGTAGACTCTTCACACTCAAGCACCCCTGCCTTCTTTCATCCCCCTTTCGCCCAAGTAATCACTTTAGATACAAACCAGCACCACTGCCTGCTCAACTCCCTTACATAAGCAGCCATATACATGTACGTGTTTAGAGTCTGACATCATTTAGAAGTGGGTCAGGCGGGGCCAGGTGGCTCACGCCTGTAATCCCAGCACTTTGGGAGGCTAAGGCAGGAGGAACAGCTGAGCTCAGGAGTTTGAGACCAGCCTGGCCAACATGGTAAAACCCTGTCTCCACTAAAAATACAAAAATTAGCTGCTCGTGCTGGCGGACACCTGTAATCCCAGCTACTGGGGAGGCTGAGGCAGGAGAACTGCTTGAACCTGGGAGGTGGAGGTTGCAGTGAGCTGAGACAGCACCACTGCACTCCAGCCTGGGTGACAGAGTCAGACTCCATCTCGATTTTCTTAAAATTAAAAAAAAAAAAAAAGTAGGTCAGCATTCTGTAAACATATTCTACTTGAATGTTGTTACCATATTGTTCTATTACATCAAGATGGTTAACTGTTTGGTTTAAATTCTCCACAGCTTTACTCATTTTTGGACTTCACCTATCAATAATTGAGAGAAGTCAATCACCTCCCACTCTGACAGCAACTTTGTCTCTTCTTGTGGTTTCTGTTGATTTTTGCTATATATCTTTTGAGGCTATGTCATTAAGTACATAGAAGTTTAGCACTATTACATACCCCTGGTGAATAAAATCTGTTCTCTTTAAAGATGGGATTTCATTCTGTTGCCCAGGCTAGAGTGTGGTGGTACAATCGTATCTCACTGTAGCCTCAAAATCCTGGGCTCAAGAGATCCTCCTGCCTCAGTCTCCTAGGATTACAGGCAGACACCATGCACAGTGAATAAAATTTTTATCATTGCAAAGTCACTCTATTTCCTTCTAGCACTGCTTTTGGCCTCAAAGTCTATTTTGTTCAATACCCGCACAGTGCTGCCAGTTTTACCCTAGCTAGCATGTCTTTTCTAAACTTTTTTTTTCAAACTTTCTGTACCTCTATAGTTTAGGAATGCTTCTTTAAAAAGTATATACCTGAAACTTTTTTTTCTTTTTTCGACATTTATTTTAGAATTGGGGGGTGCATGTGCAGGTTTGTGCACGAGTACATAATAAAGGAATATTGTGTGATGCTGAGGTTTGGAGTATAAATGAATCCATCACCTAGGTAGTGCACATAGCCGCCAACTGGTAGTTTTTTTCAACCATTACCCTCTCTTGTATTCCCCCGTGTCTGTTGTTCCCATTTATGACCACGTGCAACCAATGTTTAGCTCCCACTTACATGAGAACATGTATTTGGTTTTCTGTTTTTGCATTACTTCGGATAATGTTTTCCAGCTGAGTCCATGTTGCTGCAAAGGGCATGATGTCATTTTTTTTATGACTGGGTAGTATTCCATGGTTATATCTGAATTTTTTTAACCAGTCTAACAATCTAAGTCTTTTAGCTGGAGCATTTAGTCCATTTTTAATTATTTCTATCTTATTTTGTTCTTTTGGTTGTCCTGTTATTCAACATTTCTTTTTCTCCCTCTTTCTTGCCATATTTTGATTTTTTTCAATGCATTTTCCTCTCCACTAGTTTGAAAGGTTTACTTTGTTACTATTCTGTTATATAATTAACATAATGTAACTAGGTAACACTAACTCCAAACACCCCATCCCAATTTATCCTCTGTTATTCAATACTTTAGTTCTACCTTTTGTGTGTGGGGGCAGGGTAGGCGGCTAGAGATTCATTTCATATTTTAAACTTTTTATCTAATTTTAGACTAACAGAAAAGTTGCAAGAATAGTACAAAAAATTCCGTTCACTCAGATTCCCTAAATATTAACATTTAACCACATTCCCTTTTATCACTCTCTCACTTTTTAACACACACACACACATATATATATATACACACACACACATTACTTTTTCAGAACTTTTTAAGAGTAAATTTCAAACACAATGTCCCTTTTATCTAAATATTTCAGTGTGCATTTCCTAAAATACATGGACATTATCTTACATAAGTGCAGTATAATGAAGAAAATGAGAAAATTAGCAATGATACAACCCTATAATATAACCTGCAGATCTAAATCAGTCTTTGCCAGCTGGCCTAACAGTGTGCTCTACAAAAAATAATTAATTTTTATGGTCCAGGATTCAATCCAGGATCATGCATTGAATATAGCTATCATGTCTCATTAGTCTCCTTTAACATGAACAGTTCTTCATTCTTCTTTGTCTTTTGTGACCTTGACTTTTTGAAGAGTCCCTCAGTTTGTGTCTCTATGATATTACCTCATGATTAGATTTTGGCAGAAATACCAGAGAAGTGCTGTCGCACACATCCAAAGCTATGTGATATTGATTGGTCCAAATATTCGTACCATCAATTGTGATCACTTGGTTAAGGGAATGTCTGCCAGGTTTCTTGGCTGTAATGATAACTATCTTTCCCTTTGTAATTAATACATGTCTTGCAGGGAATTCTATCTTTTACCAGATCAATATACTATTATTATTTTAATTAATCAAATTTTACCTACATTTGCCCACATTTTACTAACTTCTTAGTTCATTTCTTCTTGCATCTTAGCTCTTCTAACTGGGATCACTTTCATTCTGCCTAAACTATATCCTTTAATATTTAATATTTCCTCTAGTGAGGGCTCACTGGCAACAGCAGATTCTTATAAGCTTTTTTTTTTTTTTTTTTTTTGAGACAGTCTCACTCTATCCTCCAGGCTGGAGTACAGTGGCACGATCTCAGCTCACTGTAACCTCCGCCACCCAGGTTCAAGCAATTCTCATGACTCAGCCTCCCATGTAGCTGGGATTATTGGCATGCGCACAACGCCCAGCTAATTTTTGTATTTTAAGGAGAGAGAGGGTTTTGCCATGTTGGCCAGGCTAGTCTCAAACTCTTAGCCTCAGGTGATCCACCCGCCTCAGCCTCCCAAAGTGCTAGGACTACAGGTGTCAGCTACCACACCTGGCCGCTCTTAAGTTTTCAATTGTCTGAAAATGCTTCCAACTTTAATTCATTCTAGAAAGATATTTTAACTGGATATATAATTCTAAGTTAATAGTTTCCATTCTAAGAACACTGAAGATATTATTCCACTGTGTTCTGGCTTTTCTAACTGCAGCTGGAAAGTGAGCTATCAGATTAACTGCTATTTCTTCAAGGGCAATCTCTTAATCTCTCTGTTTGAAGTTTCCTCTGTCTTTGATATCATTATGATGTGCTTAGGAGTAGATTTCTTTTTATTTATCCTAACTGGGATTTTCTGTGGGTTAGTCATTTTCACAAGTTCTAAAACTTTTTAGTAATGATCTCTTGGAATATTATGTCTGCTTCATTCTCTCTCTTCTCTCCTTTATGAATTTTCATTAGATTAAAATTAGACATGATTACTCTATCCCTCTCTCTTAATTACTGTTTCAAGTGCTCTATCTTTGGGTCTTATCTTGCATTTTGGGCAATTTCTTCACATCTATCTTCTAGCTTATCAGTTTTCTCTTCAGTTGTGCCAAATCTGCTGTTAATTTATTTTGGCATTCTTAGCAGGTATGACTCTGCTATCTGTCATTTCTCCTAGCTCCTTCTATTTTGTTTCACTGGGGGACTTGGATTTCTGATTGTGAGTCAATACTTCTTGTAACTTTTCTGATGGGACTCCACTGAGGCCTAGACTGAAGGTGGGTCCTCCAAAGTAGATTTGCAGTTGCTTCTGTCAGGTGCCTAGGCCACTACCGGCCCAGGATCAATTTAAGCTATATTTTCTTTATGTAGTTTTTTGAGACCTTCCAAGAACTATGAAATCAGTCTGGGAATGAATATGTGTGAGAGTCAGTTTGCTGTTATAAATTTTTAGGGAGCTAGTTTTCTGCCTCCACTTGGCACCAAAGTATGGGTCAGGTTAAGTTTTCTTTATACTCTTGGAGTGGGTGGTGGGCAAACTGATTACTAGCTCCCCACTTAGGGTCTCAGCTTTAGGCAGGAGTCTTTGTGTTCCCCTGTTTGTATGAGTCCTATGCTTTGCCTTTGTCTTCTGTAGCTCACTTTGCTATGAAACCCAAAGCTCAAGGTCACTGGGTTCAGCAAATGCCTTCAAGGTGGAGCAGAACTATCAAATAGATATGTCTTACCAGTAACTTCTAAAGCTCATTTAAGGCCAGGCACAGTGGCTCATGCCTGTAATCCCAGCACTTTAGGAGGCCAAGGCAGACAGATCACCTGAGGTCAGGAGTTCGAGATCAGTCTGGCTAACATGGTGAAACCCCGTCTCTACTAAAAATACAAAAATTAGCTGGACGCGGTGGCACACACCTGTAATCCCAGCTACTCGGGAGGCTGAGGCTGGAGAATAGCTTGAACCCAGGAGGTGGAGGTTGCAGTGAGCCGAGATCACATCACTGCACTCCAGATCAGGCGACAGAGAGAGATTCTGTCTCAAAAAGAAAAACAGGAAAAAACAAAAAACAAAAAACAAAACAAAAACTCATTTAATCTCCGCCTACCCCAAATAGTGAAACTGTAGTACTTATAGCTATCATCAAATCAATAAAGTTGACAAGCACTGGTTAGAAAGTAAAAATAACAGAATTACAAGAACTGAATGGAAGTAACTTCTGGACAAGTTCCATACATTGTAAATACTATTCCTCCAAGATGATATTAATAACTTCTAGACATCTCAAATAGGAAAATAGTACACTCAAATTTTAGGTAAGACTCATAGTGAAGTGATACATGTGATATAACATTAGTCACGACTTTCTTGATCAGGAGAAGCCTAACATTTGGGGAAAGGTCACAAGGGCAAAGATGAAAGATGGTGATGCAAAAATCAATTGAGTTCTTTTTTAAAAATCCAGTTTGTATGCCAACATTCAGAGTAGGGTTATTCATAACAGCCAAAAGGTGAAACAACTCAAATATCCATCAATCAACCAATGGATAAACAAAATATGGTATCTCCATATAATGGACTATTATTCAGCCATATAAAAGAATAAGTATTGACACATGCTACAACATAGATGGATTTTGGAAGAAGCCAGTCACAAAAGACCATATATGATATGATTCCATCTATATGAAATGTCCAGAACAGGCAAATCAGCCAGAAAACAGATTTATGGTTACTTAGGGCTAGGGAAATTGACACATAGGTAACAATAAGTAAAGGGTACTGGGTTTCTTTTTGAGGTCATGGAAGTATTTTAAACCGACTATGGTGATGGTTGCACATATCTGTGAATATACTAAAAGCCACTTAATGGTACACTTTAAATGAGTATGATATGTGAATTATATCTCAACAAGGCTTTTAAAAAGACTAGCAATGTTTCATTAGAAGAAATCGGGGTTTAAATTAGAACTATCATTTTGCCTTTTACAAAATCACCATTAGAAAAAAAGAGGCTGGGAGACGGGAGGAGGAATCATGCATCTAAAATTAGGACCAATGGCTTAGGAAAATTACACCTCAAATAGAATCATAAAGAAAATAATGAGGATCAAGCTTTCTGAAAACCAAACTCTCTGCCCATCTAGCTCTTGGCCCTTGGACTAATAAATAAGTTACAGGGCTGGATGCAGTGGCTCACACCTCACACCTGTAATCCCAGCACTTTGGGAGGCCAAGGTGGGCAGATCATCTGAGGTCAGGAGTTCAAGACCAGCCTGGCCAACATGGTAAAACCCTCTCTCTACTAAAAATACAAAATTAGCTGTGCATGGTGGTGTGCACCTGTAGTCCCAGCTACTCAGGAGGCTGAGGCAGAAGAATCGCCTGAACCCAGGAGGCGGAGGTTGCAGTGAGCTGAGATCATATGCCTTTGTACTCCAGCCTGGGCAACAAGAGTGAAACTCCGCTTCAAAAAAAAAAAAAAGTTACAGAAAAAGTTTTCTTTTCAAATCATAAAGTCACTTATTTTATATTATATCATGTCTCACACATCTAATATAGTATCAAAGTAGTATATCCAGAAAAGACAAGAAATAGATTCTTTTCTTACAGGAGTAGAGAATCTGTTTTTACACAAGAGGCTACAGATCCAGAGAAAAAAGGCAACTGAGTTGAATAAATGCCATTTAAATTAAGGCCTTAATTAAGAATGCCAAACTGAATAGCATGGCTCTTTCCACAAGGACCTCAAATCCTAGTAGGTAAAGGCAAGCAAGAGAGACCTTTATGGAACAATGTGATTTGAGCTACAATAAAGGAAAGCAGAAGGGGGAGTGTGTATCTAAGAAGACATGCTAGAGATCTGCCTGTGAGAAGTGAGTAAGAGCTGGCTAGGGAAGAAGAGCAATCTACGAACCCCAGCAGGGAGAATCTGAGCAAAGCCAGGAGAGACAGCCAGCCTGGCATGGAAATGGCTGGATGTGGAGTGTGCAAAGCAATGAGAAAGAAGCTCAATAGGATGTCAGGTGTCAGTCATGAAGGCCTTTCATGTCATGTCATGTCATGCCAAGTAAGGTGTTGGGTCTGCTTCTGAAGGCAGTGGGGAATCCTGAAACATTTCAGTAAGGGCATAATATGATCCCTTATAGCTTTAACTTCCAAGAGTTTCTGATCTTGTGGGGCCACATCTGCATCACAGTCACTAACCTCATCTATCCAACTCTCTCTCTTTCACTCTCGATCTCTGTCACACACACCACAAAATCACTATGCACCAGGGATTAGAATCCATATTTCTTTATTCTCAGTTTGAGATTCTCCTTTTGATAATATATGTCTTTGATAACTATATTTCTGATAATATTGAGAGAGAGACTTAAACTATATTGCTTCTTTACACAATCTACAAATCTAAAACACAATTCAACTGCCATCCCACTAAAGCTTATTCTGAACTTACAGGTATTGTGCAGCTGTCTGCGTCTCGGGATGTAAATCCAACATTGCCTAAGTGAAGGATGCCAGCAAGTATTCGGAAAATTCCCATTTGATGAGATTCACTAATTCCTGAAACAAGAGAGTGAATGAACAAGTGATTAATTTCAGAATAGCAACTAAACAATTATAGTAGACAATTTTAAGCCTATTGTTAATTCCTGAATATTGGCAGATGTTGTGCATATTATAATGTGTCATAGCTAACAACACTTTCGTCTTTGTTGACATTAACACATTAGGCAGTTTAGCATCATGGATGGATAACATGGCTGCTGACTGTGGCTGATCTGGCTTGAGACCTGGCTCTGGTACAGACCTATCATCTCAAATGGACAGGTAACGTCAGTATTCTATGCCTCCATTTTCTCATTTGAGATATGAAAATAATAGTGACTATTTCAAAGTATGTGAAGATTAAATGAGATAATGCACATAGCATACTTAATACACAATGTGACATACAGTAAGTGCTAAACAAATTATTGTCATCATTGTCACACACTGGGTTTAAAATTAATAGTATTACCATTTCTATTTATCTCTGCTCCAAATACAGCCCAATAAAGCTGTTACTTCTTAAGGCTGTTTAAAAAGTAATTATTTAATCACTTCTTTAAACTACAGACCAAGTGTAAGTCAAAGACACCAAGATTAGAAGCGTTTGGGCTGGTGCTATAACCCAGCCTGATGAGTATGCATCCAAACACAGTATCAGAGCAGAAGTTGAAGGATAAGGCAAGATGAGAAAGCTGGACAGCTTTCGGCTTTTATCAGATCTGGCTTCATTTTTAAATAACGTAAGAATCTCATGAAAATTAGATACAATTGCGTGCAAATAGAAGCAGTGAAATCATTTCCAAATATGTAATCTAAGAAAGGATAATTCAGTACCGACCCTATAATAATAATAATAATTATTTTTTACCATCTCCTGCATTATGACTTTTTCTTTTTTGTTTTTTGACACACAGTCTCACTCTGTCACCCAGGCTGGAGGGCAGTGGTGTGATCTCAGCTCACTGCAACCTCTGTATGGCTTTTTCAAATTCACAATTTACTGTTTACAAATAGATTTAGCCCGAGAAGAAATGCAGCGATTTTCAAACTTTTAATATGCATATGAATCACCAATAGATTTTGACAATATGCAGATTATGTTTCAGTAGGCCTGAGAAGGGATTCAGGATTTTGCATTTCTAGCAAGGCCCACAGTGGTCCTGGTCCACACTGTAATTGGCAGTGCTTTTAAATTAAGTTAACTCACCTGAGGGTACTACTCAAAATGCCATCATATGATTTTAGAGTTATTTATATTCTGAGGTTTTTTTTTTCTTTAAGTTGTTGATGACAAGTTCTAAAGATTAATTTATTCATATGTAGGCCCAACATTTTTTAAATCCCAGAAACAAGATAGTGACATCTGAGCTGCTTCAGAAGTGTTGGAACAGAAAAAAAAATGCTGGAATAAACTACATGTAATGTAATATTCTGTCATGATGCCAACTCAGCCACATTTCCCAGCCACAGAAAGATCCCCAAAACCAACCAAACAAACAAACCAAAAGCTCCTACAAAATGCGAGCTTGTAGAGGAGCCCATTTCACTTAGCTTCATGTTTCAGATTTTGTAAAAATTTAAGCAAAGAATTACAAGTAGCCCTCCCCTGATGCCCCAAATATATTTTGAACAGTTTTATTGAAGGCTAATTTGCATACTAAAAAATTCACCCATTTTGAGTGTGCAATTCAATGATGTTTTAGTAAATTTACAAAGTTGCACAACTATTACCACAATCTAATTTTAGAACAGTTCTATCACCAAAAAGAAACCTCCTGCCCATTTGCTGTCTAAATGTGTTCTATGTGGAATATTAAATCTTTTAGCAATACTCGCCACTTAATATAAAGTCAAGCCAATATTCTAAACAAAGGTTGCTTGAGTAAAAAAGCTATTCCTCAGAAGAGCTCAAGAATAAAGTGACATTACCTAGCAAAGTGCAGGCCTGTCTGGTGTGTGCCATCTCCTTTGCATCATCCACTCCTTCAATCACAGGACTGCCTCCTTGTTGCGTGTAATTAAAGTCATCTGCATTTCCTGTAACGAAGAAAAATAAAAGTTTTCTGGTTTATGAAAAAGCCTTGACTTCTACCCTTATGTCCACTCTGAATCAGAGGTGGTGATAGCACAGTTGAGTGTACAGGGTCTAGAGTTTGACTGCCTGTGTTTTCAATCGTATTTTAATAAAAAACTAAAAATTAAATAAAATTTAATTAAAAGGGGTAAAATATTTATAGTTTATTTATGTTAATTGCTAAAACAAATAGTCCTTTCCTAAAGGTTTTATTCCAATCTACACACTAGAATAATTTCCTCAAATCCTTTACTCCCCTCATAAGAAACCCTACTGGCCTCTAACAAATCAACTCCTTTAATTTTTTTTCTTTTAATCAAGGCAAATATCAAACATATACAAAAGTAGAGAGACTAACATAATGAGCCCCTAGGTACTCATTACTCATCTTAAACAGCCATCTAAAATCACCTCCAGGCCAATACTGTTCCATTTATACAGCTACTTACTCCTTCTCTACCCTATGGGTTATTTTGAAGCCAACTGCTGACTTTTTATCATATTATCCATAAGTATTTCAGCATGAGATAAGCTCCTTTTTAACAAGTAAATTTAGGAACTTGGAAATTAACAGAAAACAATACTAGAACAATAAATTTAATGCCATATTCATACCTAATCGTAGCATTTTAAATTCAGGTAACTTTGCTGAGGCACAAAGCTGATAGAAGATATGATAGTTTCTCTCCTCTTCTGCCTTTGAAATAAGAAGAGTTTTCAATTACAGCATTTTAATCTAAAATTCAGAAAATTCTATCATAAAATAAGATTTTAATATTTAATTATCTCAGTTGGTTAAATAAATTATACTCTCCAATATTTCCTAATGCTTATTTCTGATTATTAAATCTTCTGATTTATAGTCTATATGCATATATATGAATATGTGTGTGTTGGTCAAATTCAACATAAAATATTGGATAGTAATGCTTTCTGAACTAGTGAACAGCTTGATATATGTCTACAATCATAAAATAATCAGTGCTTTTGGGGGGAAACTAAAACCATTTTTTTTTTCTTTGCCATACTCAATACTATTTTCTAATGGTACCTCTTAGATTCACAGTCTTCCAAATGCTTTGAAAAAAGAATAATCCCATTCTTGCCATATTGTAGACTGGACCATCTACTGTGTTGTTTGTAAGAAAGCCACAAATGTACATCTTCTATATCATTTTAGTTTATACATTTTAAATCAATAACTTTTATAAAATAGAAAATAAATCACATATAAATTCTAAGATAATTTTTCAGTATTTCCTGAGAGTCTTTTCCACACATATATCTAAAAAATACAGTTGCAATAATATTGTTCATACACCTAATAGTTTATCACTATATCCTTGATTTTTACAGTAGACTAAGTTGGCTAATGAATCTTATTAATAAGGCCAGGGTCAGGTTTGATGCCCACAGGGGGCTGATGTCTGGAAAAGAAAACCTATTATAGGGACAGAAGCCACTGAACAAATTACCAATATACTAATGACCACAAGCATGATTAAACAAGAGATCAGGTGGTTCGGCACACAGAAACTACAAAAGCCTGTGAGTCTGCAGAAATGCTTAGGTCCTCTTTGTACATAAAGGACAGTACAAGTATGCCTCTTCTGATTGTGTGATTCATTTTGACAAGCCAAACATCCTTGACATTCTATATCTCTGGAGACTGGGAAACTGCTAGAAATGGTTCAGTGTCTCTAAACAAGATAATAAGGATTGGGCCTTACCATTTTATATTAAGCACTACTAGCCTTTGGTCTCATACTGACCAAGGACCATCTTTCCTCCCCGCTTACTCACTTACCTATCAATCAAACCTCTACTATTTGAACTCTAACATTTGAATCTTCTCTTAGATCTACCTCTGTTTCACCCATTCTTTCTTCTGGTTATCAAAGTAGACACTTTTCAAAAAAACCTACACAAATGGCCATCAGTGTAGTAACACTGTTCTGTATGTACCTAGATATTAAATATAATACTTCATTTGTATTGCCTTACTATACAAATCAAGTATTATATTTTAGGTGGCGACAAATCAGGCACAGCCCCAAAGTCAAAGCCAGAGCAACTTCAGACTGCTCAAATTATCAGACACTTTCAAACCTATGACAGACCTGGGCTATGGAAATTGTGGATGCTGTTACATGGCAGTGTCAGGGGCATTTGAACCTCAATGCAGTGGGCATGCAGTTGAGGTTAATGAAACCTAAATGTCACAGCATGAGGGAAGCAGTAGGTCTACAGAAGCCCTATACTGAGAGTGTGTGATAAATCCATACCTATAAACATATAAATGTATGCCTGTTAGTGATGTAAATATATAGTATCTTCCACTTTCCAATCAAAAGGGATCAAGAGCTTACATGTGAATGTAAACCCTACACAGATGCATCAACTGTTTTTTTTGATAGCAGTTCACAATTGGGTTGTGAAGATTTTTTTAACCCTCACTATTCTATCTGAACAATAATATATTCTAAGAGAGGAGAAGAAGGAAGGAAAGAGGACAAGATAATTTTTTTTCTTGAACCAAGTTCAAACTGTAACTTATTGAAAGCATGGAACAATACCTTCCCTATCATTTGGAAATATGAGAGACAAGACTAAACTAATAGCACCTGTTCTCAACTAAGCTTTCCTGCAAGCACCTGTAGGGAAAAGCCAAACCTAAAAGTGACCAGCCCCAAAGACTATTAGCGTTTAAGTGGTACTCCCCTGCCTCTAACAGGCACCATTTTCCATGCTTCAGTCCAAGTGTGGTTGGAGGTAATATTGTCATAATATGCTCAAAACTATCTAGAAATAAAATGCATACCAGCAAGCATGGACTCAACAATTACACAGCAATCTAACACAAGTACATTTGTGAACATGGCTGGCTTACCTGGAATACCACTCTGGATTTCTCTAAAAGATAAGTTCTCATATTGGCACCAATGATTCGATATCTCTTATCAAAACCAATCTCAATATACTTCCCAAAACGGCTGCTATTATCATTCCTGGTTGTTTTAGCATTTCCAATTGACTAAAAAGCAAGAGAGAAAATAAGATTTTAGACATGTAATTAACAACATGACATTTACAGAATCTGCTCAGAGAGAGAAAAGATGGAGTAGAACACAGGTCCTTAAAACTGATTTTTTTTTTTTTTTTTTTTGAGACAGAGTCTTGCTCTGTCACCATGCTGGAGTACAGTGTCACGATCTCGGCTCACTGCAACCTCCGCCTCCCAGGTTCAAGCGATTCTCCTGCCTCAGCCTCTGGGATTACAGGCACATGCCACCACGCCCAGCTAATTTTTGTATTTTCAGTAGAGATGGGGTTTCACCATGTTGGCCAGGCTGGTCTCAAGCTCCTGACCTTGTGATCCACCCACCTCGGCCTCCCAAACTGCTGGGATTACAGGCGTGAGCCACTGCACCCAGCCAAAACTGATTCTTTTAAGAACAGAACCACTTTTGCCACTGCAGGCACAGGTGTATCTTTTGCTCACTGCACAATCACACAGATATATACTAATAGTTCTTATTTGTCTTGTTATTCTCACAAAAATGATTTTCAGAAACAGCAGACCTGAACTCAGAGGTTAGAATATTTTCATAACACCTTTTGGGTTATCTGAACGTTCATGCCAGCAAAGAGAACAAATGACAATGAGAGCTGCCAAGGCATGGGCTTTGTTAGGTAAGTTTCAGGTTTTTATATTTTTCCAAAAAACTTCACCTGCTTTACATAAATAAAATGGTTAACACCAATTAACATTTCCTGGAAATGCTGCTCTGGTGCTCAGGGTCTCTTTAGCCTGATATTTCTATCACTTTATCCTGTGGCAACAAAGGTCCAGTTAGACTGTTTATTAGCAGAGTATTAGTATTACCCACTCAATTTAAAGGCCATTTTCAGGACCAGAAAAAGAAACATTTGGCTCTGGATTTTGACAGTTAAATCTAGCTTACAAAATATCTGCTACAGAATGCAGAGAATATAACTCACTGCTAAATGTTTTATATAACCTTAAAATTTTTAATGCCATATGGCTTTTTGATTTAGGTAACTCGCTTCTGTAATTTTTTTTTTAAGGCAAAGCAAAAAAAAGGTGTAGTCAGAAAAGCAAGTGTTTACATAATGCATATATTAAATGTTTAATAAGCAAATTTCATAAAAGATTAATCTCTTTCACCTTCACAAAGCCTATGTTAGGATTAGTATATTGAAACTACAGCAGAGAGAAAGATGTGAAAATACAATGTAGTTTTAAGAGTGATACAAATGTAAGTAATGAAAACAGTAGTAACATAGCCATACAAGTCAGCACATTAGATTCTTTGATCAATCAAAGAAAACATATTTTCACTTTCTGAAATAGAGTATAGATATCATCCTATTTTGTTTTGGCAGTGAGGACACTGCTATATTTTATATTAACATTTTAAAATCTTTTCTAGAAAAATAAGAATAAGAATATCTTCCTGGCAAAATTACAGAAGGATCTAATGTAGCCTGAGATAATTTATCTATTCATTTACTCAGATGTTACCCCTCTTGATATTACAAAACACCACAGCAAAAAACAGTCTGTACACTGTCTCACTATTTTATTTAGAAAAGGAGATTAATTATAAATGCAGACTTTTCTCTCAACACAATATATTCTTCCAAAGAGCAAACGAAAGGTCACATGCGATAGAAGTAGCAGCAGCTACTTAATAAACACTCAGCAAATATTAGTTACGGGCCTAAGCACTTTCCTGCCAGTAACTAAGCAAGTGGAGGAAGGGTGGGCCACAGCTTCTCCTCTTTCCTCAACTCTTACCCCACCTTCCACATATCATCTCTCCCCATCTACTCAGACTGGGCGTCAGAGTGGCCCACCTGTCGAAACACCACCACATTGTGAGAAGAGGCAGGGATTGACTAGAGTTGAAGCAGATCCTTTTGTTTTCAAGTAAAATGCATTTAAACATAGACAAACAATGGTGGAAAGAACAAATGAATTAGAAGCCCGAAGACCTATCAGACCAGACCCTATTATCAACTTGCCATTATTTAATCTCTTTGAGGACCATTAGTATCCTCAAATGTAAATTGACTAGGATAGTGGAGCTCTAGGGTTCTTTTTAAAAAATAAAATTATTTGATTCTAAGTCCTGAACCTGATAGCGAAAGAAATTTCTATACACAAACAGTACCTTTTGTCCACTCCCTCAATTGTTGCCTCGGCCACATAAGCACTGTATTCACAAGAGACTCCCTAATACTATTTTCACTTTAATTAGCAAGAAGCCACTAAAGGAAAAAATAAATTTTATGATCTTGGTAATCTTGGTTTTACTATTTTAATGTAATGATGCATGAGCCACTTCTTTGCTAAATGGAGAGGAAAATCTTCAATTATGGTTATTGAAATTAAAAAGGAACAATTGGCCAGGTGCGGTAGTTCATGCCTGTAATCCCAGCACTTTGGGAGGCCAAGGCGGATGGATCACCTGAGGTCAGGAGTTCGAGACCAGCCTGACCAACATGGTGAAACCCCATCTCTATTAAAAATACAACAGTAGCTGAGCGTGGTGGCATGTGCCTGTAATCCCAGCTACTCGGGAGGCTGAGGCAGGAGAATAGCTTGAATCCAGCGGGTGGAGGTTGCAGCGAGCTGAGATCATGCCATTGCACTGCAGCCTGGGCAACAAGAATGAAACTCTGTCTCAAAAAAGAAAAAAAAAAAAAATAAGATCCAGGCCTGGTACAGTGGCTCACATCCATAATCTCAGCACTTTGGGAGGCTGAGGCAGGAGGATTGCTTGAGCCCAGGAGTTCATTTGAGATCAGCCTGGGACAGGCTGAGACAGAGCAAGACCCTGTCTCTTAAAAAAAAAAAAAAAAGTTTCAGTGTGCTATTCCCATCTTATGATGATAATTTCCAGGAAAAAATGAAAACATCATGAAATGGAGCAAATAGAGTAATTATCTGTACATCATTCACATTTTGCAAAAGAAGCCTACGTTGAGAATGAGGAGCTTCCTTTTTGAACAATAATGTGCATATCTCTTTAGACACTGGATTATAATGTTAACCGTGTAGGATGCTCATTATCCTATGAGGAGTTTCAGCAGATCACTGGAGACGCAGATATATCTTTCCTGACATCACAGCAAAGGGCTCTGATATAGGGACATAGTCTTGAAATGATTTAAAGCTACAAATTTTTCAGACTACATACTCAGTATTTTACCTATGTTTTCTTCCAGTAACTGATCTTCAGCTCCATATTACATTTCCATCTTTCAAACTGAGATGCCCTTTTTTGTAGTTATTGAAAATTAGTTCAACTCTTTACCAAATTTTTCTTAATCCAAATTCTTATAGATGAACAATTTCAAATTATTTAGACAGACTAAATAACAGAGAAGGAAGCAGGTGAGCATAGCTGATCCCTTTATCTTTTACGTTCATCCCAGCAAGCAGGGCATATTCTTTATAATTGCGTATTGTAAGTATTATCTTTGACTGCTGTGGTTTGGATATAACATGTCCCCACCAAAATTCATGTTTAAATTTGATCCCCAATGTGGAGGTGCTGGGAGGTGGGGTCTAGTGGGAGGTGTTTTGGTCATGGGGGCAAATCTATAGTGAAAGCCTTGGTAAAGTTCTCCTGCAGTGAGTTCTCCCTCTGGTGAGACTGGATTAGTTCTCTCGGGACTAGATTCATTTCCACTGGAGTGGGTTGTTATGAAGTCAGGAGGCCCTCAGGTTTCCCCTGTTTGCGTGTGTCCACTTGCCCTGTGACATTCTCTACCATGTTATGCAGCACGCTGGCCCTCACCAGAAGCCTAGCAGATGCCAGAGCCATGCTTACTGTATAGCCCACAGAACCATGAGCTAAATAAATCTCTTTTCTTTATAAATTACCCAGCCTCAGGTATTCTGAGGCTACAGTTACAGCAACAGTAAATGGACTACGACAGTGGCTATTCCAAATTTTTAATATCACTCCTACTAATACAATTCAAATCTGTGTTGTAGAAAAACCAATAAAGTTTTTTTTTTTTTAATAGTTCACTCTACTCATGAAAAATTCTAGAAGGTTCATTCTAGACTTCAGTTATCCTCAAAGACAACTTCAAATCCTAGTATTATATGGTCCAGACCCAGAAGAAATGGGATTACCTAATGCTATCACATTCAAGACTTTGGGATATTTCCAGTGCTAGGGACTAAAATGGCTGGAACTGTTGTCAAATACCAAGAATCTGTCATGACCAAAACCAGTCAAAACAACAACAGCAAGAAAAGAAGCCATACTGTTTGCTGACCCCAAACCAAAAACTGGCTCCACAGATTCTATTTCCCCAGTATTAACACCAGTGACATCCAGCACTGTATCTGTAGCTTACATTCCTTCAAAATCTTAACATCTGCTTAACATTTTCACTATTCTCTTTCGGTGCAAGCATCTGTTTCTTCCTGTTCATCCTATTTCAGAAAGCATTCCCAGTATTTTTTTCCATAGCACATCCAGCCCAGGAAACCTCTGAATTTCCCCATCATATCTTGTTTTTCGATCCCAAAAAGTAGAAGTCCTGCTGCTCTAGAGGGCAGCCCTACAGATAAGAGGTCACAGCATTCTGTTCTGAAGTGTCACACGCAGCACTGCAAACCAAGCACAATTACCTCTAGATAGATTATTGCAAAAACCACTTGTACCACAGGTGCACCAGGCCGATTTTAACTCCATCTGTGTTTGGGTGACAAATAAGGCTTGACAAAGCAAAAAGACAGGAATAAAAAAATGCCGATTTGAATTTTTAACAAGGAAAGTTTGCTTCTGCATGTCCAAACTAATTTCTCTCCATTTAACAAAATTAATTCTTCTCCATTTAATAAGTCTTCATATAAAACTATAACTTTCCAAAAATCATATTAACAGATAAATAATACTCTACAAACCCTAAAATACTCAAATTCTCACACAATTAGTTCCATTTTCATTGGCGCAGGCATTTCTACTTTGTATATGGTGCACTCGAATTTTGAAAGCACATTCTTTCATAGTTCTTCCCCTGTCAAAACCTTATAGTTACTGAATGTCTTTTACAAACCTATAGCTGTGTTACATTCTTGACAGAACAATAACAACAACAAAAAAGCTTATAAAGATGATATTTAAGTTTACAGTTCAAATCTGGAAAAAAAATTAAAACTTTAGCTATATTAAAATTTAAGCCAACTTAGGTTGGACTAAGTACAGAAATGAAATATGGGCAAAGGAATAATGAAACTCATTCATACTTGAGCATAACAAATCTTATGTTTTAGAAGGAGCATAAATAAGAACTAAGGACTTGGGGGAAATGAGTAACTTGTACTTCTGGCACAAGGAAAGGAACAATAGATATGAGTCAGTTAATGAGGAGAAGGGAACTTAATTGCTGCCTGGTATTTAGGGGCAACAATTTCACTAGTAGGTCAAAAATTCAGGATTATAGACTAAAGCAGATTCCGCTACAGCTGGGCTTTATTAAAAACGTCTACCTTACCAAATTTTTACTTTTCCTAGATTTTTTATAAACATGTAGAAAAGTATTTTCTTAATTTTAGTGGCTGGGAGACCCCGGGCTTTCTTGAGACATGCTGCATCAATCAATTTTTTGAGCATGTTTCTTATCAAGAGAATATAGGAAGAAAGCCGAAGACTCTGCTGTCTTACCTCCATGATGGGGTTGGACGCCAAGACCTTTTCCTCCACGTTGGCCTCACTGGCAGAACCACTCACAGTTGCAAAGTATCGCATGGCATACTTAGCTGAGACTGTTTTTCCTGCCCCAGACTCTCCACTTACGATGATGGACTGATTTCGTTCATCTCTGTAAAATAAAAATAAAAAAAAAGGAACTGCCAGTGCTGCCTGTAGCAGGATTGATAAGGGAACCTATGGTCTCTATGGAAGTAGGGGGCCAATTAATGGATTTTTTGGTCAATATTGGTGCTGATAACACCAAGGTTGCAGGTTCAATCCCCATACCAGCCACCAGAAATGTTTCAGGAATTTTTTTTTTTTTTTTTAAGGAATCAGAGAGACACATGGGGTTGAGGAGGATATTTATTATTTAGGTGCACTAGCCCAGTCGGATTAACATCCAAAGGACAGCCCTGAACAAAGAGTTAAGTTACCTTTTAAACATTTCATGGGGTTGGGGGGAGATCTGTGCAGGGGAAAGCATATTACAGAAGCAAGAAACAAAGACAGTTATTCAATTAATTGAGACATACATTACATCATTTCTTACTTTTCAAGAAAAAATATGTTTTATGACTTGGGTTTATCTGTCTAGTGACTTTGCAGCTGCACAGCTAGAGAAACAGGGTCTTCACAATGCCTGGGAAAGAAGGAGAGATAAGGCTCACTAGCCAAAGAAAAACAGGCAGTTAATTTTTAAAGGACTCCAGCTCTTTCTCTTTCTCAGGAGGAACTGAGTTTTCTTACATACAACTGAGTTTCTGCTTACACATTCTTTAATTTCTTTTAATTCCTGTTCCACTGCCCACTTGGGAATGTGATTAACATTATTTCTTCTCTGTTCTTTGTGATAAGGCACAGTGAGTTTTTGCTGGTTCATACATGCAACAATGTGGAAAGGAACATAAGAATGATATTTCCATTAGCCGGGTGCGGTGGCACACGCCTGTAATCCCAGCACTTTGGGAGGCCGAGGCAGGTGGATCACCTGAGGTCGGGAGTTCAAGACCAGCCTGACCAACATGGAGAAACCCCGTCTCTACTAAAAATACAAAATTAGCCAGGGTCTTGGCACATGCCTGTAATCCCAGCTACTCGGGAGGCTGAGGCAGGAGAATCGCTTGAACCCGGGAGGCGGAGGTTGTGGTGAGCCAAGATCGTGTCATTGCACTCCAGTCTGGGCAAAAAGAGCGAAACTCTGTCTCAAAAAAATAAAAAGAATGATATTCCCTAAAAATAATATCTACTTATAAATTAAAAAGTAACAGAGAAGAAGAAGATATCAAGCATTAAATTAGACAGCATCACAACTAAGGATGAATCTCCAATAGAGGGCCTCTGAATTCTTACGCATACAAATCTCAAACATATTATTTCATTACTAAAGAATTACTTCAATATCTTACAGTACTGTTGTCAACCACTTCAGGAGATACTCTCTGGAGCCACAGAAAAGAAATTTAAATTTATACTATTTAATTAAAGTTACAAAACCATTTAAAATATTTTAAATTATCTACCAGCTAACAATCCGCAAAATGGTGTCTTCTACAAATTCCAGTTCCTACTAAAGTATCCTCATCACTAGAGAAGAAATAGTCCATTTGCTGGCTTGGCTTCATTCAACTATAAGTTAAGTAAGGTCATGATCTGTATCCTCATGTGGTTGATGGATGTTGTGGTTTGAATGTTCTCTCCAAAATTCATGTTGAAATTTCATTGCCAACATGATGAAATTGGGAAGTGGGGCCTTCAAGAGCTGATTAGGTCATGAGGCCCCTGCCCTCAGGAATGGATTAATGGCATGAATGTAGGAGTGAGCTAGTTATTATGGGAGTGGGCTCCTGATAAAAGGATGAGTTTAAGCTGATTTTCTCTCTGCCTCAAACGCTCATGTGCCCTCCTACTACTGAATGACCTTCACCAGATGCCAGCACTGTGCTCTTGGACTTTTCAGCCTCCAGAACAGTGAGTTAAATAAACTTCTGCTCTTTAGGAATCACCCAGTCTGTGGTATTGTTATAGCAGCAGAAACTGGACTAAGACAGTCATCTAATAGGAAAGACAGGCCAGTAATTCAAGATTGTAATACACATGATGGGGCAGTAAGAGGAAGAACAGGTTATCAGGGAAGGTTCCCTAGAGATGACAGCTGTACAAGGTCTACAAAAATGAGTAAGAGAAAGCAAACAAGGACTACAGAAGGCAGGAAGGGTACATTCCAGGCAAAGGGGATAGCATAAATGAAGGCTCCGAATCAGAAGTTTGGAAAGAACAAATCACTCAGTTTATCTGGAAAATGAAGTAATGACAGGTTTATGATTTCTGGCTTGGCCAGTCCTTTCAAGGGCCTCCACAATGATCCTAAATAGGCTGGGTACTGGCTGCTTTGTAGTGGAGGTGAGCTCTTCTGACCTGTTTCCAGAAGCTCTAATGTGAACTAAAAGCCCTCACTTAAAAATACAGCTTCATTCATTCATTTAACAAACACATAATGAGCAGCCACAATGTGCTAATCACTTTATGGAAATAAACGATTCTAGGGTCATAGTCAATTGAGAGAGACTAGAAAGGACACAGTTAAAATGCAGTTGGAAGTAACTGCTATAAAAAAGGTCTATCTAAGATACTATGAAAGTAGAAAGGAAGAGTATGGAACCAGTAGGAGATGTGAGGAGAGATGTCAGGAAAGCATTTTCAGAGAAGGTAATACCACAATTTAGAGGGTACTACCAGAATTGACTCACATGATCATTAGGAGAAAACCAGGTTCTGTGAGAATAAGGAAATGGAAGTTAAATTATGTAGAAGCACTTGAAACCCCAGGAAACAATTATTCAAGGATGAGCAAGAGAGAGAGACAGAAAGAGAGAAAGAAAACGAAAGAGAGAGAGAGAGAGAGAGGCAGGGTTGGAGAGGGTGTCTGTTAGACTTTATTTTCCTCTTATAGTCATCAGTGACCTTATATCTATTTGGTCTGTTGGGTCTCTCCTTATAGTTTTCATTTTATACGACATATATTATTTTATAGATTTTCCTTTTGAATTTTATCCTTTAAAATACGTAATCTCTCTAGTTTATCATGGTCATACCAAACACTATTCATATCTTCCAAGATCATCAACTTGTCCTCTGTAAAATTAATAAACATACTTTCAGTTACATCTATGGCATTAACACGGAAATTAAGTAATGCGTGCCTCAGACCTGAGTAATGCAGAACACAATTTAATATCTCCACCTATGTTGATGTTAACTCTCTGATAACCACCCACTGAGTGTTGTCATGTACCGTGATGAAGTGTACACGCACCTGCACCTAGGTCTAAATTTTTAGCTTATAAACAAACATGGCCATGTGAAACAAAATCTACAGCTTTACATTTTTGCAGGCAACCAATCTGTTTCTCCCTTTATTTGATCCCTTGTTAAAAAGAAAAAATATTAAGTTAGTGTAATAAAATGCTTTCTTTCAAAACTGTGTTTTTACTGTGGTGTCTTAAAGATGTGGCTTCACTGAGACTTTAATCTCTCTCTTGTTAGAGAGATGCTAAGTTTTTCTATATTATCACTCATCAAAATCAAGCTGCTCTGCTCTCTGTGTCTCTCTGATTTCTACTTTTAATTAGTCTCAAAAAGAAAATGCTTAAACCCTAAAGTTAATACTAGACAATGAGTTTACAATTATAATATTAATTTTATTTTTGAAGCATAACTATTTACTATGAAAAAGGTTGCTGGCACTGTTGAATGCTGTGCTATAGAGAGGCAGACAGACTCCTCAGGAAATGAAAACAAGTGTTCCCTAGAGATACTTGCTGAGGTCACTCAGTTCCTGGTGAGAAGCTTGTCACATGGCTATCAGATCCCCTCAAATCAACCTGAGTTTTCTATTCCATCAGTACACAGCCTATACACTATATAAAGATGCTACAGCAGAAATAGCCAATTATATTTGTTTATAAATTTTACACACTCTAGTGCTCTAATATGTACTGTATTTTATTCCTACTGTAACCTTCTGGGGTAGAAAATAGTCAGTAAGTCCCAAAGTAGTAGTTTAATGTTATGGTTTGAATGTGTTCCCCAAAGTTCGTATGTTGCAAACTAAATCCTCAATGCAACAGTGTTGAGAGGTGAGACTTTAAAATGTCACTAGGCCAGGCATGGTGGCTCATGCCTGTAATCCCAGCACTTTGTGAAGCTGAGGCAGGAGGATCACTAGAGCCTAGGAATTTGAGACCAGCCTAGGCAACATAGTGAGATTCCATCTCTACAAAAAAGAAAAAATTAGCTGGGCATCATTGCACATGCCTGTAGTCCTAACTACTTGGGAGGCTGAGGTGGGAGGATCACTTGAGCCTCGGAGGTTGAGGCTGCAGTGAACCATGACTGTGCTACTACACCCTTGCCTGGGTGACATAGTGAGACCCTGTATTTAAAAAAAAAAAAAAAAAAAGGGTGACTAGGTCATGAGGGCTCTGCCCTCATGGATGGATTTATGCAGTCATAATGGAAGTGGGTTAGTGATTGCAGCAATGGCATCCTGATGAAAGAATGAGCTTGGCCCCCTTCCTGTCTCTGTCTTACATGCTGTCTTACCCTTCCACCTTCCACCATAAGATGACGCAGTAAGAAGGCCCTCAACTAGATGTAGCCCATCAACCTTGCTCTTTCCTGCATCCAGAACAATGAGCCAAACAAACTGCTGTTCACTATAAATTACCCAGTCTGGTATTCTGATATACCAGTATAAAACAGACTAAAGTACTCATAAAAATGGAGAACTCTAAAGAGAAATCATTTACTGTGAGCTGGGGTCATCTGAAAGTAAAACCTGAGTGGAATAATGAAGTATAAATATAAATTAGACAGATAAAAAAGCATGGAGCAAGATATTCTATGCTAAACAAAAGATGCAGAAATAGAACTATGCCATCTTAATGTGAGGGAACAGACCTGTTAGAATAGGGCCAGGTAGTTGAAAGTAAGAAAACTAAATGACAAAGAAGAAAGGCTTCAGAGTCTCAAAGCTGGATTCAAATTTCAGCTCTCAGATACCATTTATTAGCATATGGCCTGGACAAGTTACTTTCCTCACCTGTAAAGCAGTGGTGATCTGCTCCAGGGATGTAATGAGGATTACATGCCTTGCACCATGTTTGGTACATAGTAGACCTCTAAATATGGTAGCTATTTATTAAGTTAACCCACCTTTATATAACATATATAAAATTATCCTTATGAGGTACCATGTATTACTTGAAGTCTATTTGCATAAACAGGATACTTAGCATCACAGGGCAGCTGAGTCTCAGCTGAAACAGAAGAGATTTTATCATCTGTAATAGTGTGCACTTGGCCAGTGAACCTCCGCACAGTGGCGCACCCTGAGACCACATAACCAAATGATGGAAGGGGTCACTCTAAGGAAGGGCCTGGTAATAAATAAATTCAGAAATAATAAAACCAGATGAGAGACTCAAGTCAATGAAAAGAGAAATGTAGACATAAGACCCCATAATGATGACAACTATGATGATAAGAACAGATCATATTTGAATAGAAGTTAGTATTTTTCGAAGGGCTTCTGTGTGTATCACCTAATATAATTTTCACCTCCAAAGTAAGCAGGAGAGACATGTTTTCCTCTTTGGAGGACAGAGTAACACCAAGAGGTTAGATGGTTTGTCCAAGGCTGATGACTGGCATAGAGTAGAGCTGGGTTGTTACACCCCACATCTCTTGATTTCCAGGAGAAAATCTATGTAATGCTGCTTCTGCTTTGTTACACAGCTACCTACAATGGTCTCCCCTCAACTAAAAAGAAAAATGTTTATGCATTAGTTCTCATCAAATATAAAGATAACAAATGCATACCACAGAAACCTATACATGTAAAACTAGACCATCACTGACACTGTTCCATTTTATAGATGATAAAATGGAGACAGAGGGAGACTAGATTTGAGCTTATATGGTCAGTTATTGGTAGATAGTGACTAGTACAGATGTCTTTTTCACTAGACCAAAGTTAATTGCATATAATTAACTTATTTCAAGCAAATTTAAATAAATGAAACTTAGTCAATGAAACTGATTTACACTATCACTCACAGTGGAGAGAAAACACAGCAAAAAAATCCATCAGCACTACCTGGTTTTAAGGAAACAACACAAAACAAAACAAAAACCCTAGTTCCAGCATGAGAAAAGACTGGCAAGAATGTCAAACAAGAATAAGAGAAAAAAATAGGTATGGCAGTCCACTGAGTTTTTCTCCATAGTAAGTCAACAAGGACAGTTAAAATTAAAAGGCTATTCTAGGAAGGTATTTTATGAGGGCATTGTACTCTCTAAGGAGCATGTTTAAAAAGAAGCCATGAGTCAAGGATCCTGCTCAAGGATCCTGGTTATTGCTGATGTCACCGGACATAGATCTGCTTGGAAAGAATCCCTAGTATGAGTTTTGTTTTTACGATAGATGTCAAAAACATCTTTTCAACCTTAAAGATCTAAATTAGAACTCTGCTCCTTTCCCCCTACTCCCCACCCCACAACACACACAACCTGCTCTTCCTGCCATCTTCTACATCTCAGTAAACAGCAACTCCAACCTTCTAGGTGCTCAGTCCAAATCCTTACTGTCATCCTTAACTCCTCTTTCTCTCAAATAACCCCACATAAGCAAGCCTTTGGCGGTTCCGTCTTAAAAACATACCCAGAATTCATCTATGTTTTACTACCTCCACTAATTAAATGATCATCTCTTGTATGGATCAAGGCAATAATCTCCCAACTAGTCTCCTGGCTTCTAACCTTGCTCCAGCACAGTATGTTCTTTAATTTTTTTGTAACTTTACTTTTTTGTTTTTGTTTTTGTAGATAAGGTCTTGCTCTGTCACCCAGGCTGGAGTGCAGTGGCGCCATCTTGGCTCACTGCAGCCTTCAACTCCCGGGCTCCAGCGATCCTCTCACCTCAGACCTCTGAGTAGCTGGGAGTAAAGGCACATGCCACCAAGCCTGGCTAATTTTTGTATTTTGTTTGTAAAGACAGGGTCTCATTATGTTGCCCAGGCTGGAGTGTAGTAGCACAATCATAGATTACTGTAACCTTGAATTCCAAGGCTTAAGTGATCCGCCTACAGACGCGCGCCACCATGCCCAGCTAATACTTTTATTGTTAATCACGCCTGACTTCATGGGGTAGGAATTCCTGTCTATTTAATTTGTATCCCCCATGCCCAGAACAGTGCCTGGTGTTTGGACAGTGTTCAGTAAATCTCTATTAGATGAACGATGAATTGTACCTTCCCTGAAGACATGAGGGATCCCTAGAAATGATGGTAATGTGAAACACCAGGATTTGCATCTGGAAAGATGACATCTTTGTTTGACAAGAAAACAATGGCAAGAAATGATCCTGCAGCAGTTATTCCCTACTGTAAGCCTAAACAGATACAGTCTATTTAACTGTTGTGGCAGATGTTATGGGTACAGATCTATTTATATAAATGGTAAATATAATACCATATCTGATTGAGGCAAATTTTAAAACTGTCTGAAAAAGAAAACCAAGCAAAAGGAAAAAAGACAACCTGCAGTTAAGAAATCACCTTGAGTGACTGAGTCACAACAGATCATAATGAGAAGAAACTACTACAGGAAACCAAGGTAAATCTAAAGGTAGAAAGCCATAAATATTCATATAAACCTAATACTATCTGTGAATGACCAGTAACAAAGATGGTAAGAGCTATGCTTTTGTATTTAAGACTACTACTTTCCAAAGAGTCATATAATTCTCTGAGCACTATACAATTTTCTGAGATTATTTTTAGAGTCTAGCCCTCTATGTGATTTTTTTCTCTGCCCAGTAGTTCTCAGGTTGTACTAAGTGGTGTTGAAACTGTACTGCAATGCTCTGATACTATACAAATCAGCTATTGGTAGATTTTTCCCTTATAGATGGAATTTTCTAATTTTAAGCTTAAAAAATAATTTTTCTTAAGCTTTGAACCCTAATTACTATTTTATAGCAGAAGCTGGCATAATATGACATGTTTTGTAGTGCTAACCTATGTTTAGTCATTTTATATTTAATACATTAATATTTCATAATGTCAGACTAATTGAATTTGAAAACTGGTCTTCCTAGTTATGTGACTTTAGAAAAGTTACACAACTTCTCTGTGCTTCATTTTTTTCATTTGTAAAATGAAAATTAATAATAATACCAAATTCGGAAAGTTGCTATGAGAATAAAATTAGTTAATAAATGGAAAACAATTAAATAATGTCCTTCACAGAGCACATGCTAGCTGCTATTAGAAGTATCCACATTAATATTATTTTATTATTAAAAGGGCATAATGATTTCTAGGGCTTTGTCACTGAAATAATTCTAAAATTCTGTCACATGCTGGACCAATCATGTATACTCTCCCTGGCTGGACAGGAGAAAATAAAAACCTCTGCAGTATTCGTTTTCCTTCCACCTTATAAATTACTCGTGGGTTTCCCATATTATATTTATAATATGTTCTGCTTTATAGGCTAGAGAAATGAATTAAACTTAAGCTATTCTTCTACACATTCACAGTTTTATATTTTATTATGTTATTAAGAGCATAATCTAGTCTTGAAAGTAGCATTTTTCTCCCATTTTCCACCCTCAAAATTTTGGGGTTCCATGGTTAATATAAGAGACATTTTGCCAGGTGCAGTGGCTCACGCCTGTAATCCGAGCACTTTGGGAGGCCAACGCAGGTGGACCACGAGGTCAGGAGATCAAGACCATCCTGGCTAACACGGTGAAACCCCGTCTCTACTAAAAATACAAAAAATTAGCCGGGTGTGGTGGTGGGCACCTGTAGTCCCAGCTACTCGGGAGGCTGAGGCAGGAGAATGGTGTGTACCTGGGGGGCGGGGCTTGCAGTGAGCTGAGATTGCCACTGCACTCCAGCCTGAGCGACACAGCGAGACTCCGTCTCAAAAAACAAAAAAAAAAAGAGAGAGACATTTTGCAGATGCTGTTCAGGATAACTGATGCCCTATCATAGCATACTAACATTAAAATTCACACTTTCAGTTGGGCATGGTAGTGCATGCCTGTAGTACCAACTACTCAGGAGGCTGAAGAAGGAGGATCACTTGAACCCAGGAGTTCAAGTCCAGCCTGGGCAATATAGCAAGACCCCATCTTGAAAGAAAAAAAATTCACACTTTCCTTTAGATTTAATTCCTTAGGATTCAGAAAGATTTTTTTTACAGCTCCTAGGCCTTTTAGTTCTGGTCTATTACTCATTAACTGACTGACATTGGGTAGGTCACTACACTAATCCTCTCGTCTGTAAAACATAACATCTGCATCTGTCTTTTCCTAGTCACAGGATTATGATGAAATTTCAAAGGCAGTTTTTAAAAACTCTATGTCCCTTTATAAATGTGAGGCTTTTTTTTGTTTTTCTTGGGTTGGTTGGTTGTTTTTGAGATGCAGTCCTGCTCTGTGGCCCAGGCTGGAGTGCAGTGGCACAATCTCGGCTCACAGAAACCTCCGTCTCCCAGGTTCAAGTGATTCTCCTGCCTCAGCCTCCCAAGTAGCTGGGATTACAGGTGTGTGCCTCCACACCCAGCTAATTTTTGCAATTTTAGTAGAGGCAGAGTTTCGCGATGTTGGCCAGGCTAGTCTCGAACTCCTGACCTCAGGTGATCCGCCCACCTTGACCTCCCAAAGTGCTGGGATCACAGGCATGAGCCACCGTGCCCAGCCCACTTTATTATTTAATAATAATCCAAGCCACCTGAGACAAACTTGTCAAGGCTGCTTATTTAGTAATTATTTACAAGGTTGCTATCCACTTTAAAATATATGTGACTCAGCAAGAAGAAATTATCATATCTAATAGCCATAAAATAACAATGAAAGCTTCTACCAACCTGGCCATTTGCTTATAAGCTTCTTCAGCTACTGCAAAGATATGTGGATCCATATCACCCATGTTCTGACCACTGTATGCATTAATAATATCTTCTCCATAAATAGGCAGCTGTTCATAGGGATTTATAGCTACTAGGACTATACCTGGGAATAGGGTGGGGGACAAGAAAGAAAAAGAAGTCAATGATACCCTAATGGGCATATCAAACTTAGTAAAGTCAGACTCACAGTTAACATAATCTTTCATTTCAATTTAGTTAATATTAAACCAATAAATTGAGGATCAAAATGTATCATAGTCTTTGCCTCTGAACCCATTATACATAGTTCTGCCTAAAACACCATTTAAAAACTGGACTAGGGGGCTTAAAATAATGTGGCAATGTTATAAGAACTTTAAATATCTTCATATATTTAATTCAAAAATTCCACTTTACTTCTACAATTTATCCAAATGAAATAATCAGAAATTCATGCAAAGAGGTTTTTTTTTTTCCCCCCCCACAAAGATGTTTATCATAATGTTATCTGTAACAGTGAAAATGGAAACAAAATATTTAGGGCAAGGAGACTAGTTGAATGCATTCTGTTACATCCATATGATAGACTACTAAGCCACCACCAAAAATCATGTTTGTTTGTTTATTTTGAGACAGGGTCTCACCCTGTCACCCAAGCTGGAGAGCAGTGGTACTGTCTCGGCTTACTACAGCCTAGACCTCCCAGGCTTATGCAATCCTCTCACTTCAGCCTCCCAGGTAGTTGGGACTATGGACATGCAACACCATGCCTGGCTAGTTTTTGTATTTTTTTGTAGAGACAGGATTTTGTCATGTTGCCCTGGCTTGAACTCCTGGGCTCAAGTGATCTGCCTGCCTCAGCTTCCCAAGGTGCTGGGATTACATGAGCCACAGCACCTGGTCCAAATCATGTTTTTGAAGGACATTAAATGTCATAGGAAAATATAATGCAAAACTATATATAGACTGATTCCAATTTTATATCAACTTATACCTCTCATGCATATAAAGAAAAAGATGTAAGTCAATATTAATACCGGCTATTTTTCAATGGTGAGTTACATATAATTGTTTTTCCTTTTTTATACTTTTCTGTATCTCCTAATAATTTTTCAGTAGGTATATATTAACTTAATGAAGTCGTTCATTCAACAAATGTTTATTCAGTTCCAACTACATGTAAAGTCTTTTCTAAATGCTGAATTTACGACAGTAAACAAAAAAAAACAAAAAGGCTAATCTTTACCCTCATGGAACTTAAATGCTAGTGGGAAATTCAGACAATTAACAAGATAAGTAAGAAAATATATATATATATACACACACATAATCACAGATTAAATAGTAAGGAAAAGAAGGCAAAAAATAATGCAGGGAAGAAAGACAGTAAGGAGGGGTTTCTGCCTTGATAGGGTGGCCAGACAAGACTTCACTGAGAAGGCAACATATGTGCAAGGAAAAAAAATGGACGAAAAATAAAAATTGAGAAAAAGAAATAATTACCAGTAAAGAAAAGTTACTATCAATGATATAAAGGATGTCAATTATTTTAAGAAGAAAAGGTGGCTGTTGCTGTCTAAAACAGGAGAGTAATGAAAAAATCATGAACACTGAGTTGGGTATACCACACGAATGAATGAATCCAGATTTGAGCTTCAGAGGACAGAGTGATTAGTGAAAGAACGATAAAGACGTCAGTGGAGAAAACACAGCCAGAGGAAAGGGAGAAAATAAAAGATAAGAACAAACCGGGAAAGAAAGAAAAAAGAAGGAAAGCTGGAGAAGGGGGAAAGGAACACAAACATACACACATGTGGAAGCTTTATTTCTTGGAGGGATAAAAATCACCATGAGCTGGGTGGCTGGCAGCTAACACTGCAATGAGCAGAGGCCCAGGCAAGCAGGAGTGAGCAAGACGAATCACCAGAGTCAAGTTAGTTCTGCATGGCCAGTAACTGACCACAAGATAACACTAAATCTCTTGAACCTGCTCCAAAGATAAGTCCTTGGACATCTACTCTTCGTGTAGTAGTTTTTGGAAGAGAAGAAAATAACTGGTGAATTTGGCACCAAATCTGACATATGACTTCTGTGAGGGAAAAAATTTCCAAAAGATGGGCCCAGTCTTTTTTACTTTTAGCAAAATTATGTAAGCTCACAAGTGAGTTTATTCAGCATAAATGTAACTTGGCTAATAAATACTGGTAAATCTTTCAGACAATGCTCAAGTGATTTTGTCTCTCAGAGAAAATCCATCCACAGCCTGCTTTCCCCATGTACAATATTTCCATGGCTATGTCCATTCAGGAAAGAGTACACAGTCTATTCAGAAAGCAAAGCATACTTACCACAATATGTATAAATAAGTTTGGAATCAATAAAGCGGACTCTGAGATTATGGAGCACAGCAGGCTCATGAAGATAGCTGAGGGCTGTGAGGTCATTTTCACCAACAAGTATGTCAGGATTTCGTAAGTGAGGCAGCTCCTTGGTCTTTGGATCTAGACGGTATTCCAAATCCTGAAAATGCACAAGGCACAGAATCTAGATAAATTATGGCAAGGACTATGAAAAAGAGCCATGAATTTTGCTCACTTCCTATTCCTGATTTGCTTCTCAGCTATCAAATGCATTATTTTCCTAGCACCTTCCAATATCACAGAAGCTGGTGGAGATGGAAAACAGTATGAATTGCGTTTTCATCAGACATACTAACTTATATAACAATTTTTGCTAATATAGTTTGAAAAGTTATAGCCTAGACCTTTTTCACCCACCTACTGAATCAGAAGTTTTAAATTTTTAAATACGTTTCTCTCCTCCATCCCCTTTTACCTATAAAAAAGTGGCAGACAATATAAAAGAGTGGTCAAGAGCTTGACTCTAGGATCAGATTGACCTGGATTCAAATCCTAATACTAGGTTTTGAATTACAGTATTTAACCCAAATCCCTCCTTTGTAAAATAAGCTAACAGGGTTATGGTAAAAAGTAAATGAGGCAAGTCTGGCATGTGGTAAGTACTTAGGAACCCCTAAACCACGAGACCCAAGAATCCCCTGAAATTATGTGCAACACTCTGTATGTGCAAGTGTGTACTTTTTTTGAGGCAAGACAATTCATAGTTTTCATTAGATTTTTGTTTTGTTTTGCTTTTTTTCTGGGCATAAGCTGATTCATTCATTAGAGTTAGGCTGGGTGCAGTGGCTCACACCTGTAATTCCAGTACTTTGGGAGGCCAAGGTGGGCGGATACACTGAGGTCAGGAGTTCGAGACCAGCCTGGTCAGCATGGTAAAACTCCGTCTTTATTAAAAATACAAAAATTGGCCACGTATGGTGGCTCACGCCTGTAATCCCAACACTTTGGGAGGCCGAGGTGGGTGAATCACCTGAGGTCAGGAGTTCAAAACCAACCTGGCCAACATGGTGAAACCCCATCTCTACTAAAAACATGAAAATTAGCCAGGCGTGCCAGGCGTGGTGGCTCACGCCTGTAATCCCAGCACTCTGGGAGGCCGAGGTGGGTGGATCACGAAGTCAGGAGATCGAGACCATCCTGGCTAACACGGAGAAACCCCATCTCTACTAAAAATACAAAAATTTAGCCAGGCATAGTGGCAGGAGCCTGTAGTCCCAGCTACTCGGGAGGCTGAGGCAGGAGAACGGCGTGAACCCAGGAGGTAGAGCTTGCAGTGAGCTGAGATCACACCACTGCATTCCAGCCTGGGCGACAGAGCGAGACTTTGTCTCGGAAAAAAAAAACATTAGCCAGGCATGGTAGTGGGCACCTGTAATTCCGGCTACTTGGGAGGCTGAGGCAGGAGAATCACTTGAATCCTGGAGGCAAAGGTTCCAGTGAGCCAAGATCACGCTACTGCACTCCAGTCTGGGTGACAGAGCAAGACTCCATCTCAACAAAAACAAAAACAAAACAAAACAAAACAAAAATGACATTTTAATGGGGTTCCTGGTCCCAAAAGTTAACAAGCACTATTCACTTAACTTTTAATAGAGATGGGGTCTCACTATATTGCCCAGGCTGATCTTGAACTCCTGGGCTCAAGGGATCCTCCGACACTGGCCTCCCAAATGCTGGCATTACAGGTGTGAGTGACCACTACTAGCCACTACTCACTTTAAAGTCATGGGAATATGGCTTTATGGCATAGCCAACCATGAATATTGTCACTTAACTATATATTAAGGGGCAAAAAACATAGGACAAGTGAATAGGAATAAAAATTCAATTTAGTGGTAGGGAGGGACAAGGTTTTGTAAAAAGCCAGTTTTGTTAATACTGAAAATATATACAGAGGTCAAATAGTCAAATCATATTTGAATGAATTATGCTAAAGGAGAGAAAAATTAACAATTTACCCCTTAGCATTTCTTGCTGCCTGCTTATCAGAGAGTATCACCCTTGCCTGGGGCTGACTGGTCCTTGCATTGGCCCTGTAAATACACAATTGTCTGTTCTGGTGTTAGCCAGAAGACTCCAGAATGGCAGAAGGGCAACTCAGAGCTCTTTTCTCAGTCTTCATTACAGGGTGGGGTTGTTTGTGGCGAGTGTGGGGAGGAGCTGAAATTGAAATATTAGAGAAGACACTAATTTAAAAGGTAGAGAAGATCTGTAACATCTTCACAGAAATTTCTTTCTTGGAGTTAGCCTTTAAATGAATATAACCTGCTCTTCTAGAATCAATGGACATCATTAAATAAATATACTCTTCTACTATTACAAAAGCCATGCTTTCTCTATTTTAATCTAGGACCCTAAGTGACTATAGTTTCTAAAAAGAGAATGATTCTTGAATAGTTAGTGAATTTTATAATGTTTATTCTTCTTGTTTGACCCCTGTCCCTATTCTTGCTTTTATTAAAGGTATGTATCATTCTATTTCTATATTTTTTAAAAATACTAAGGATTAATAAAATTAAACATAGACACTGTACTCTGGTTGGCAAATCTGCTTCTCATAGGGGTATGGATTAGCAATTCTGAAATAACTTTACATATGTAATGAATAAGTAATATATTATAGATAATGAAAACCAAAGAGAGAAGTTACAGTATACATAATCAAAGGAAGAATAATAGAATGAACCTGGTGGCATTGGACTGGAGAAAAAAGGATCCCTATTAACTCACGGGTTTTATTTTTTTAAAAGAAGGTCAAGGCTGGGTGCGGTGGCTCACGCCTGTAATCTCAGCACTTTGGGAGGCCAAGGTGGGTGGATCACTTGAGGTCAGGAGTTCGAGACCAGCCTGGTCAACATGGTAAAACCCTGTCTCTACTAAAAACACAAAAATTAGCCAGGCATGGTGGCATGTGCCTGTAATCCCAGCTACTCAGGAAGCTGAGGCACAAGAATCATTTGAACCCGGGAGGGGAGGCGGAGGTTGCAGTGAGCAGAGATTGTAGACTCCATCTCAAAAAAAAAAAAAAAAAAGGTCAAGTGCGTAGCTAATGCCTTTAATCCCAGCACTTTGGGAGGATGAGGTAGAAGGACTGCTTGAGCCCAGTAGTTCAAGACCAGCCTGGGCAACATAGCAAGACATCCATCTCTAAAAACACATTTTATATATATATAAAATGTATATACAAACACATACATATGTAAACATAAAGTAAGTATAGATGGTTGAGTATACATTAGTATAGTATGCATACATATTAGTATCTATCTATCTATCCATGTATATATTTTTCACGCTCTGTATGCTAAGAGGGCCTAGAAGTGGTGTCATCTTAATAGCAATGAGCACACCTAGTGCACAGATCTTGGTTGTCAAATACTATCCTCCGATATAAGGTACCAGGGTTGGGAAAGGGGAAATACAGGATAAGTGTCTTGGGGTACCAGGAGAAGTGTTATATCTTTAAAAAAAAAAAAAAAAAAAAAGCCAGGCACAGTGGCTCATGCCTATAATCCCAGCACTTTAGGACGCCTAGGTGGGGGGACTGCTTGAGCCCAGGAGTTCAAGACTAGCCTGGGCAACGTATTGAGACTCCATCTCTACTAAAAATTTTAAAAATTAGCCAGGCATGGTAGCTCATGCCTGTGGTTCTAGCCCCTAGGGAGGCTGAGCTTGGGAGCCATGATCAAGCCACTGCACTCCAGCCTGGGTGACAGAGTGAGACACTCTCAAAAAAAATAAAAAAGGATAGGGACCTGTCAAAAAAGGCAAAGGACCCAATCTAAGAGAGATCTCAATGACCAAAGCTGGAAAAATGTAACTAATAAAATAAGTAATGAGAGTAATGAAGAATAAAAGAAATACCCATGAGTCCATAATAAATACATGATTAAATTAATAAATAAATGGGACAGAAGAAACAATACTTCCTTCCCTATAGAAGAATTCTAGTTAATAAGTATACAAGGAAGGAAAGAAATGGAGAATCACCACTAGAACACAATAATACTTGCTGCAGGCAAGACACAGTAATGAACACTGGGCAAATATTAGCAGGCAAAGTTTAAGGAGAAGCAAGATATATGAGTGGCCTCAAAATATCTGCCCCAACACAGTGACATTCACTAATTACAAAGGGAAAACAGTAACTTTACAGTGGATAACATGGCAGACATCACCTTAAGCAACTGCTCATGACCAGTAATCTGCAAAACTCCAATGTAGTCAAATAGTATAAGCACTCATCTTAGAGTCATCTGTGTTCAAATCTCTCTTCAAATTCCAAAAGCCACTTCCTGGCTGTGTGACCTTGAGCAAAACTACTTAAGGTCTCTGAGGTTTGGCTTTCTTATTTGGAAAACAGTGATTATATCACCTGCCAACCCATAGGGTTGGTGTGAAATTTAACATGAGAAAATCCACTCCAAAGTGCCGGACATTTTGCCTAACACGGAGCAGATGACCAATAAATGTTAAATAAGTTAATTCCCTAGTTTGGCATTCAATGCCCTCCTAATTGGCCTAATTCTTCCCTGCCTTCATCCTAGCTAGTGTCTTCCCCTCAGTTTTGCTCTCCATGCTGCCACCAATGAGTCTTCTCTAAGACCTGGCAACATGCCTCTTTTTAAAACCACTACAAGCACTCCCCATAGCACACCAGTTTAAATGCAAGAGTTTTAGGATTAGATATGAATCTAAACCCGACAATCGTAATAAATTCATAGGTCAAAATGAAAGCTTTTAAAAGTATCTGCTGGCCGGGCGCGGTGGCTCAAGCCTGTAATCCCAGCACTTTGGGAGGCCGAGGCGGGTGGATCACGAGGTCAGGAGATCGAGACTATCCTGGCTAACATGGTGAAACCCCGTCTCTACTAAAAATACAAAAAACTAGCCGGGCGAGGTGGCGGGCGCCTGTAGTCTCAGCTACTTGGGAGGCTGAGGCAGGAGAATGGCGTGAACCCGGGAGGCGGAGCTTGCAGTGAGCCGAGATCACGCCACTGCACTCCAGCCTGGGAGCACAGCGAGACTCCGTCTCAAAAAAAAAAAAAAAAAGTATCTGCTATTTTCACTAATCTATGCCATTAAAAACGCTATCAGGATAGAAAATTGAGTTTGCCATTTTTACTAATTTAGTAAGTAAAAATTCTAGGTAAGTTCAAAATTTAACTTCCATTGAGAGTTTACTTCACAGTAAACTTACTCTTTTGAACTCCCTTCACTTTATGCCAAGGACGACAAATGAAAGTGAGATCTCACCTTTCCTTCCTCGAGGTGAAGTAGCAGGACTTTATCTCCTGGCTTATAATCTTTGAGCAGCTCTGCTGACTTCCAGACTTCCTCTGGATCAGGTATCCAAACCCTGGCAAACTAGAAGACAAAAAGAAAAAAATTTAAACTAGCAAACCAATTATTTTACAATAATATATAAACATATAACTATTTATAATTAAACAATTTACGAAAAAAGACATCTTGGCCAATATGAAATTTCCTTTTTTTTTTTGAGACAGAGTTAAGCTCTTGTCACCCAGGCTGGAGTGCAGTGGCCTGATCTCAGCTCACAGCAACCTCCGCCTCCTGGGTTCAAGCAATTCTCCTGCCTCAGCCTCCTGAGTAGCTGGAATTATAGGCGCCTGCCACCACGCTCAGCTAATTTTTGTATTTTTAATAAAGACAGAGTTTCGCCATGTTGGCCAAGCTGGTCTCCAAACTCCTGACCTCAGGTGATCCACCCGCCTTGGCCTCCCAAAGTGCTAGGATTACTGGTGTGAGCCACCATGCCCGGCTGAAATTTACTTTTTAAATTAGTAAACAAAAAATATTTTAGCCCTCATAGCACCACCATTCCCAAATTATATAAAAAGTGTGTTCTGACGAAACAGTTATGATCAAAGCTTGACTTTGCTTTATACAGTAAATGCCACCTGAAAGTATAATTTTAGGTTAAAATGTACATATAAGATCTATTTTTGAAGCTATGGTATTGTGGTTCTGCCAGTTTCAATAGCTCAGACATCTTTTTATGGCTGAGTTTACAATTTGGAATTTTTTTTTTTCTTTTGAGACAGAGTCTCGCTCTGTTGCCCAGGCTGGAGTGTGGTGGCACAATCTTGGCTCAATGCCACCTCTGCCTCCCAGGTTCAAGCGATTCTCCTGCCTCAGCCTCACGAGTAGCTGGGGCTACAGGCATGTGCCACTGTGCCCAGCTAACTTTTGTATTTTTAGTAGAGACGGGGTTTCACCATGTTGGCCAAGCTGGTCTCGAACTCCTGACCTCGTGATCCAAAGTGCTGGGATTACAGGCATGAGCCACCATGCCCCGCCCACAATTTGGATTTTTTATTGTGGTTTGCATCCTGTGCTCTGCAAAGCCTTAACGATTTCTCAGATATCCTTCAGGAGCCATCACAGTAGGGAGAAGAGGAGAATAAAAATAACAAATTTTTAAAAACTGAAAAAACACTGTTGTTCAGCATTTTGCCTTCATTATTTTATAAAGATGAGTGGGAAATGGTAAAAATGGCACAGCCAGTCACTAATAAACTTAGCTCCTGCAGCCTCAACACCATGAAAAAGGCATGGTAATCATCAGGGATTCCTAAAGCAGCAAATATTTTGCCTCAACTAGACACTCTCTGGACATAAGCCAGAAGATTATGTGGTCAATTTTGAAGAAAAAGAACAAAATATACTAACATGCATAAATCTTTCAAATACCTCATTGAAGAAGTGTTTTATGTGCTTGGACTCTCTGGGAAGAAATTTCCCTTTAAAACATGCATAACACTAAACCTAAATGCCCATTTTCATGAACAAATCACATATGAAAACAGGAATCCTAGATTCAGCCAGCAAAAGAAAGACATGATACAATCAATCATGGCTGGCATGGGCCCGACTGAACCCGGTCTCTGGCCTGTATCTGTATCCGCATTTCATGTAAATTCACCTCTACATTTCATTTTTAACAATGATCAGGGTACTAACTTACTTGGAGCTTTGAGAAGGAGCATCTGGATTTGAGTATGTTAAATGTGGGGCAACTTCCCAAAGAATTGTGATAATGTAATGACTATTCTAAGTACTGGGCACAAAGTTCTGGAAGCTTGTAACAAGGTCATTTCCAAGAACAAGAGAAATTTATATGACCCAGTGATGAACTTACAGATAGGAGAAAGCGAAAAGAAAGTGGGTGAGCGAAAGTACAGGTAGATCTGAGATTCAAGATAATTTAAATTAAACATCTCCTGTAAGAAAAACATTTCAGCATGCCATGCCACTGTCCTGGATATTATGTTAACCTCTTCTTTTTTTTTTTCTTTTTTTTCTTTTTTTTTGAGACGGAGTCTCACTTTGTCACCCAGGCTGGAGTGCAGTGGCGCAATCTCGGCTCACTGCAACCTCCGCCTCCTGGGTTCGAGCGATTCTCCTGCCTCAGCCTCCCGAGTAGCTGGGACTATAGGCACATGCGACCACGCCCAGCTAATTTTTTTATATTTTTAGTAGAGACAGGGTTTCACCTGTTAGCCAAGATGGTCTCGATCTCCTGACCTCATGATTCGCCTGCCTTGGCCTCTCAAAGTGCTGGAATTACAGGCATGAGCCACTGTGCCCAGCCTATGTTAACCTCTTTACTGACAAATATTTTCAAGCCTTCCTGTTAGGAAGTTGCTGTGGTATATTGCCGTAGTTTCCAAACTACCAGATTTCATGGCTGGTAAAAATTTTTTTTTCAAGTTTGGGGACTAATATAAGGTTATTAACTAACTTTTAGTCTTGACAAGTAAGATTATAAAACCATTAATTATTGGCAGCACTTACAGACAAGTAGAGGCTAAGGCCCTCACACTCAGCACAGGCAACATAAATACCAATCTACTATCTAATATCACCGTCGTTTTATAAAATGAAGGACATTTTAACAAGAAAACAGTAGGACAAATAGCCATCATAGCTTTTTGGTTTTCTGTTTTTCGGACACGGAGTTTTGCTCTTGTTGCCCAGGTTGGCTCACTACAGCCTCCAGTTCCGGGATTCAAGCAAGTCTCCTGCCTCAGCCTCCCAAGTAGCTGGGATTACAGGTGCCCGCCACCACGCCCAGCTACTTTTTTGTTGTTTTATTTTTAGTAGAGACAGGGTTTCACCATGTTGGCCAGGCTGGTCTCAAACTCCGGGCCTCAGAGAGTGATCCTCCCACCTTGGCCTCCTAAAGTGCTGGGATTACAGGCCTGGCCCTCACAGTTAACACACAAATCCCTTACCATGGTCTACAAAGGCCTTCATGACCTGTCCTTTCCTTCCCCTGCCAACCTCTAAGCCGGAGCCATGCAGATCTTATTTTAGTTCTTCAGGAACACAGTTTTGTTTGCTCCTGTCTCTAGACCCTGGCCCTTGTTAATTCCTCTATAATGTACTTCTCCCAGATCTGCTTATGCCTGCCTCCTTCTCACTTACATGATAGCTCAAATGTAAACCTCTTCAGAGAGGCATTCCCAGATCTTTCTAGCTGAAATCAATCCAAACTACGATTACCGTTCTCCATTTTACATTCTTCAGCGCTGTTTTTCACTATCTGAAATCACTTGCTGTTATGTTGTCTATTTACTTATTTACTGTCTCTCTTCCTTCATTAGAACATAAGTTCCGTGTCTGTGTTGTTCAACACTGCAGGCAGTACTTAGAAGAGTACCTGACACACAGCTGGTGCTTAGTAAGAATTTATCAAAAGAAGATCAGAATAAAAGGCATCTCTTTAAATTGAATATAAGTAGTACGATTAAAAGCTCACTCAATTGCTTTAATTTTATCTTATTATTACCAACACATACAAACTTTTAATCTAAACAGTTTGCAGAGGAAAGAGTATAGAACTAGACTATGGGTTCTAGTCCCAGGGCTACCGGATGGGCCTTGGCCTTTATTTCAGGCAACAATAAAATGAGGATGACAACAATAGTCTTCCAGTTTATTGCAAAGGCTTACACACATAGAAACTTCATGAAAAGCATAAACCAATACATTAGTACAGGGTGGGGTTGTTACTGTTTTTTCCCATAGGAAGTGATTTCTCAAGTCATATATCAAACATGTCACTGAAATTTGTTTTACAACTTTTTTCCCAGGTACACAGTCTATAAACTGAGTAATATCTGTACATATCACTAAAGCCTTACTCATGCAATACATATTTCTATGTACTAATTGCTCCCAATCTGAAGCTTATTTACAAAGACAACATTTTTGTAGCTTTCTCTGGAAGGCATTACTGGTTCCAGAAAAGATATACAAATATAAAGAGATTAAGAGTCGGGATGGGCACGGTGGGGCTCATGCCTGTAATCCCAGCTCTTTGGGAGGCCGAGGTAGGTGGATCTCTTGAGCTCAGGAGTTGGAGACCAGCCTGACCAACATGGTGAAACCCCACCTCTACTAAAAATACAAAAATTAGCCAGGCATGGTGGCTCGTGCCTGTAATCCCAGCTCCTCAAGAGGCTGAGGTGGGAGGATCACTTGAGCCCAGGAGGTGGAGGTTGCAGTGAGCTAAGATCACGTCACTGCACTCAAGTCTGGGCAACAGAGTGAGACTCCATCTCAAAAAAAAAAAAAAAAAAGAGAGAGAGATTCAGAATCATGAAATGACCTATTACATTGACTGATGAAAACACAAAAAAGGAAAATGTGTCCGAGTGAGTTTGTAAAAGCATGACTGACCAGTGCCTAAACATGAGGAGACTTGAAATCTAGAAAGCGCCTTCATGCTCTGTGTCAGTAGGGAGCTCCAGCTCAGATTTCCACAAGTATTTTGCAAACAGTAGATACTTTGCCAAAGACTAGATTTCCAAGGGCTAGATGTTAACAACACTTACAGATAAGCAGTGGAAGGCTAAGGCCCTCACATGCACCAAAAGCAAGATATTTAAAGACTGAACACCACTCTCATAACCAACTTCCTCTTTATCTTAGCTTTACCTCTGGGGAAAGCATACAAGGAGAAATAGGTCAGAAACCATTCTATTATTACCATTGCCTTTCTGTGTTTCTTTTCCATCTTAACCAATGAGATCAGTGACTGCAGAAACAACTATGCCAGAAGGGAGTCAATTTGAGGATATATACCTTAGATGCTGAAACAGGGAAATCTCAACCTGACACGCCACTTCCTACTGCCTTTGTCACTTCCAACCCTGCCTCCCACTCTTCCTCCAGGCCGCGATGCAAAGACACACGGCAGGAATAGAATTAAACTTGTCCAGTCACATCCAGTGAGAAGACCGGGGGAAGGGAGGCAAGAAGACAAGGCCACTGGAACACATGAGAAACCTAGAAATAGGACACAGTGTGAGTCGGGCAGGAATCAGAAACAAGGA